GCTACGGCTGGGCGTGGCATCGTCCCACAGTCGCTTGCTTCCTCCCGAGCTTTTGACACTTGGAGTTTCTGAAGCCCAAAACCTAATTGCTTTCCGCGGGGATGCAGCTGCAGACTGGCTACCAGCTCCTCTTAACAAAGGACATTCACTGTTACTTTCTCGACCCTTGAGCCATTCATTGGGAATGGATCTATTGGGTTTCAAGGCAAACAACTGGTAGTGTCTATCATGTAAAAGCAAAACAATGGGGGAAGCCTCCCTTTTTGGTTTTCCAAAAATCACAGGTTCGCGAAACTCATTGTCCACGAGTTCGATGACAACGATCTGGACACCACATCTGCGGCTGATGGCTTTCAAAACCAAACCACTGATCCATTGCCCCTTTCGCGTCAGGGAATCCACCCAAGCATCAAAGGTGGTGGGAACAACACCTCCTTCAGTGTTCTCATCCGCATCCGTATCAGGACACCAAAAAGGGGAATACATGCCACTGTTTTTCCGAATATGGTCTTGGACATCACATCTTAAGGTCTTGGCCGCGACCGCAGCACTGGATTGCGCTTCCTGGAGACTCAGACCACTGGCCATACCCATAGCGACACACAAGCTTAGGTAGCCACAGTCACCCCCTCCTCCACATTCAATTGTCGTGAAGTCGGGATGGTTACTAACAACATCGGTTTTAACCTTTTTCTTGATTTGTTCAGTACCCTCGACTTTTTCTTCCTGAGGCAGCGGGGGAGCAACAGCGGGAATGGGACTGGTAGAGCTGGCATGCCCCCATTTTCCACCTGCAATGGGGATTGAAGCACCGCTCCTGGAACGGCTTGGAGCTTTAACCAGCATGAGCATGGTGTCAACATGTTCAATTCCAACCACTTGAGTGCAGCTATCAAATTGATTGGGGGGCTTGGTTCTAACCAACCACGGGCACTTGCGTCTTGGGGGTCTCAACACCGAGGTTTCAGAACATCCAGCATTCGAAAGAACAGATTCCACATCATTAGCAGTCCAATTGCGGGGGACCCCTTGCAGGAACCAACTGCCCGTTTGGGCCGGGCCAACCCCCGTGCCCCTCAGACCTAATGAGTTTCCCCCGCCTTTCCGGTAGGCTACCGGACATCCAGAACTACTAGCTGCTTTTTGGCAGACTCGAGCGTAGTATTGCCATGCTTTTTCATCTTCCAACTTTTCAACCCAAGTGACATGACATGGTTTAGGCTCTTCTTGTCTAAGGCGGCTGAGGAAAACACCTTTGCTGCCGCTCAGTTTGGCAACTTCGTCAGCGGAAGCTTTATCAACTTTGAGGAAACCTTCAAGAACAGTTTCCTGGCCACCGTCTTTCAAGGTTTGCGTGGTCTTAGTCCACTTGAAGCTAGAGTGGAAAGCAGAAGCAGGAAGCAAACTCTTCACAGTTTGGATGGGGGCTTTCACAGTTTCCTCCCATTGGGTATCGTCAAGGAAGGACTTACAAACAGCAACCCGGAAACACGCCAACTCACGGTTGACTTTCGGGGAAGTGGAGCTCAGAGTGAATTTTGGGAGCGGAGGCAAGTCAGTGGCCAGTGGCAAAACCCAAAATTTAGTCAGCAGAGGTCCTTTATCTTTGGCCTGCACCGGGAGCAGGACAGACTTGGTATCTTTATCAACCGAATCAGCTTGTTTAGTTTGGACCAAGAGACCAACACTATCTTTTAACTCATGCACTGAAGCCAAGTTTTGTAAGTGCACAGCTGACTCAAGGGAGCGCACCAAGCAAAACTGAGCTTTCCCACCCTGTCCTTTCTCGAGAGACTGCAGCAAGGTCTTCTCTGAGCTCAAATTACCGGGGGCAAAAACAGACGGGAGAATAGAAACGGAAGGGTCGTTTTCAGCTTTGACCCCAGTAAGTCTGTTGTGGTTTTTCTTGCGCGTCACCTCAGTCCAAACATGTGGGTTAGCGGTGTTAGGGGAGCCCTTCGACACGATGTCAGCAAAAGTGGGAAACTGTCTAGGAGGCTTGTCGTTCCCCTTTTCCGAGGCAGGCAGAGGATGGGTCAACCGAGGTTTAGGTTGTTTGTTTTTAGGATGCTTGAGCTTCCCTTGACTAGCGACCTGAACAAGGTTACCTAGCCGATTCAACAACCCATCAGCTCCCTGTTTGGAGCATCTCTCAACCAGTTTAGTCAACGCAACTAAAAGAGCACCTTCACTGTTTGGGGGGGCTTGCTGAATGTTGCCCTTCCCTTTGCCCTTGGCGCTACCTTTAGAGAATCCTTTGGATCCTTTGTCTCCAGGATTAGAAAACGATCCCTTCAGACCTTTTCCTTTGGCATGCACATGCTTAGGAGGAGAACCCTTGGGGGACCCTTTGTGAGAACCAGTTTGCTTATTATCTCCAGCAAAGGACTGCAAAAGCGTCTGCAAACTAGTAAGAAGGTCAGCTTCACTAGGAGAGCCACCTCCTCTGAGAGACTGGTTCAAGGCAGGCTTACGTACAGCAAGCTGAGTGTTAAGGGTCATGTACGTGCGCTGTTTCCTCCTTGGTTGGAAAGCAGGCGGCTCACATCTGACATGGTGTCTTTTACGCCATCCCCTCCTACAACAACACACGCGAGCAGAGAGAACAAAACGACAAGGGGAACACCATCGGGGCCCAGGGTAGAGAAACCAACCAGCCAGGCAACGCAGCAAGCGGCCCAAGAGGAAAGCCATCCCGAGCACGAGCAGGCAAGCAAACGCAGCGAGCAAAAGAGTCGCAGCGAGAGGAAAGGGACACCTCAAGCAGGAAAGCCTACTCCCGAGCGACCCAGGAAAACATCCCAAACTTGGCCCCGTAGCACGGCCAAAACATTCAGAGACATGGCCCAGGAAACAGAGAGAGATCTCCTGAGCATGAACCAGGGAAGGATACACCGTTGATCCTATCATATCTGACAAAGTTGTGGGACAAACCACTAAACCTTCACGCCAAATCTTGCACATGCATTTGCAACAACAAAAAAGCCAGGAAACATGGCAGACCACTTTCCAAGGCACTAATTTAAGACAAGATCCACCAAGGCCGCAGCAGCTGCAGCCCCTTGCACCGCACCGAATTGCCAGCAGCGCTAGCAGCGCCACGGCGAAGAACATGGCTCAACACAAAAAACTAGGTTAAGTTGATGCCGAGATTCTCGAAAAAGATGCCGAAAAGTGTGAAACTGGGATCGTAGTTCGATGATATTTAGCTCATGCGTCCAAGTTTTCAACTTGTCGGCATCTATTTTGGGTTTGCTAAATATACATATTTTATGAATCCATATCTGGTTGGTGGTGTACCTACCCCTCTGAGAAATATGAGTCAGTTGGGATGATGACATTCCCAATTAATATGGAAAAAAACATGTTCCAAAGCAGCAACCAGTATTCCCATCATATTCCCATTGTTGTTGGTTTATAGCCTATTAACCACGTGATTAACCACGTGATTAACCACTGAGGATTTACCAGAAATGTGGATCTAACCAGCTATTGATGGTTTTCAACAAAGATTCGACATAAAATCAATACAGGAAAGCGCGAAACTCATGCCTAAGTCACGCCTGTGTGCTGAAAATCTGCTTTCCCCCATCTAAATGCAATTTCCAGGAAGTCATGCCTATGTCATGCCCGCAACCCAAATCACCATCTAAATGCAGCAGAAACCTTTGCTTCATTTTGATTAACTGATACCAGTAGTACCGCACAAGGCGGTGGCGGAAGTTTCAAAAAACTGTAGCCTGTAGGAAGTGTTGGGTTTTTGAGTTGCATGGGCGGCAGAGCAAGCCGCTCATGGATCGTTTTTGATAATGGTTTGTTGTGAAATGAATAGTGAATCTGAAAGTGAAGTGTGAGATAAGGGATATGATATATACTGGAGAAAAAACGACGTCAGAACGACGTCCGAACGACGTCCAGGCGACGTCAACTCATTCCCTAGGAAAGGCCACTCCCCACATGATGGCTGAACAACATGAGGCTCCTAGTACGTTACAGTAATACAAAGGAAGACATGGCTACTCAAAACACCAACTAAATGCAACGACCAAGTCTGAAGTAACTCAGATGTGAAGTCTTTGCCCAACATCAAAACACCAACTAAATGCAACAACCAAGTCTTAAGTAAGTCAGATGTGAAATCTTTGCCCAACATCAAAACACCAACTAAATGCAACGACCAAGTCTTAAGTAACTCAGATGTGAAGTCTTTGCCCAACATGCTGAACACCAACTGAATGCAGGATTTATATAAAATCATGGATCCGATCATGAAAACCAGAAAATCATGCATTTCCTATGCGTTTCACAAAAAGGCACGACTTTTCAAAATCAAGTGCTCCGAAGCTATTTTCAACGATTCCCACTAATCTAGGCACGACTTTAGCAACTCTCTGTACCCTCTGGGCAAATGTCAAATAGCTAAAATTAAATTTGCCATAGAAATACTGGATTGATCCATTAAAAATGGTGGATCTTTCCAGTTCGCACACTGTTAGCAGAGGGTAATTGGTCAAAAGAAGTCCAGAACCCGCTTGAAGTCCCTAACCTCGGGACGAGAACTCCCCTTTGACAAAGACAAACCACATTTAGGACATGTTGAAACTGTTCAACATCTTACCCTCTGATGATTTCATGTAGCGAACTGGAAAATCACCCTTTTTAACGGCAAATCAGCATCAATCAGCTATAAGTCGGCCATTTTCCACAGAAAACTGTGAAAAATTACCAGACGGTATCCCCTAACAGATCCCCTAAGAAACGGACACCAAACTGGACAAATCAGCACTGATAAGGAGAGAGTCAGACTGTGTCATTGTACACTAACGGAGTTTATCCATATTTATCGTGAAAAGAAAGGCTAATGTATGTTTATCCTGGAAAAATTCCATTGTACACTCATGGTTTAATTATATACATGTTTTTCCATCATCCAATTTTGGTACATTCATCCAATACTTGATGACTAGCCGTAGGCTAAAACCATGAGCACTATCCGCGTCCTGCACGCTGTTGGAACGATCAATGGCAGGTGGCCGCATCCTAACTGCAGATCAGGGTGGGTTGGAAAACCCTACAGAAATTTTGCCACAAACTCAAGGGACCGAATGTGGTGATCCTACTCATTGAAAAAAATCTGTAGGATATCACCCTTGAGAAAATTGGTTTTCATTTGGTTTGAAAAAAATATCATTAGCAACATATTTGATATTTGGTCATCCATTTTTAGAAAATGAACCAAATGGGATTGCATGAACATATTCCAGACATCTGCATAGTTTTCTTTGGAGAACATATTCGAACATGTGTCATAAATACTCTTCGTTCCTGTGAGAATGTCTGGTGGAGAAACAGACATATCCAACGAAAAAAACTCTGGTTTGCAATATGGGTGTGTCTGAAAATAGTGTACCCCTTTTTACCCAATGGTTTTGCTGATCATTATCCCTATTAAATGGCTATTTCATTGGGAATATACCCTATTTTCAGACAAATCCATATCAAGATCAAAGCTACTTCAAAGTTTAGACCAATTTGAGGATTGAAAAAAAATACCTGGAGTCGATGGACTAATCAGTGCAGAATCCTAAATGACAGTTTTCCAGAATCCTAATTTTAGTGGACTAATGGTGGACTATAATCCTTTTCCAATGATTATATGTTGAATTATAATCTTCAAATATGGAGTTGATTATATGATTATATTTGATCTATATTTGGAGTCATTTGGAGATTAATAATTAATTATATGATTATATGAGTATCCTCAAATATGGAGTTAATTATACCAGTTTAATCCTCTCTGCAGAGCCTTTGACTTTCCAGAGTTTCGTCTTCGGCCTCCATGCACTGGTCGTATCCTCATCCTCTGCTCTCACCCGCCTCAGTGCGATGGAACAAAATTATACAGTTCAAGATAGACGACTGTGTAGAATAGTGTAGGTACAAACATGTATGTATAATATTACATACATATACATATAATATGTATCTATATATAAACATATCATAGATACATATAGCATGTTTGTATATAATTATATATATGCATCAATGAAACCGTTTTCATACTCTGTGCTGTATGTGTATGTGCAAAAGTGCATATCGATATCTCCAACAACTGAGAGGACCTCCACTTGTCTATCCAGCTTCATGTCATTCATGGATACACCTCCCAAATTTACACTGGAACCCCAAAAAGGGGCCTGGAAGATCGTTTACCTTTTCGATATGGCAATTTAAGTATCAATATCGCTGTTCTTATTAAACTTTGTTGTATGGAAATACCCTCTGGTAATATATGATTTACCTACAATAAATTCTGATGTTCCATCGTTTTTCCATGGAAAAATTAGCAGTATTTGGTAAATCCCCACCACATCCACCAATTCGGCGGCCACGTCTGGTGAGGTAACCCTGGAAGATCTTCCGAAGTTATCCCGGAGGTGTGAAAAAACTATGGTTAACTATAAAGCATGGTTAAGGAAGTTAACTAGCTTGATAACTATATCCCCATAGTTAACTATATAAAGTTATAACTTAACAAAGTTGTCACACGTGGCTTGATTCCTTTAGTTGTCACTATATCCCCTTTTTTGTTTGGTGTTTTGATCCCCTGAAAATGATGATTGAATCCATCATAATCCAAATCCTCAAATAAATCTAGATAATCATCTAATTTATATGGATTTATATGGATTTATATGGATTTATATGGATTTATATGGATTTATATGGATATAACCATAATTATATATCGAATTATAATCCTCAAATAATCAATAATCCAGATAAATCCTCAAATAATCCATAATCCCTATAAATCTCCATTAAATGACCAAGGTCGCAAGGGGTACCCCGCGGCCGTCCCCATTGCCGTCCACTACCAGGGCTGAGTGGCTGCTCCAGACTGAAGATCCAGTCGACTAAGGGACTGTCGACGTGCTGACCTCGGGTGACAAATTGAACGTGGTGGAAATCCTACTAAAATAGTGGAATATAGTTTCCAGATTTCCTACAGTTATGGTCTACTGACATACATTATGGTGGAGTTTCCTTCTAAAACCATGCTGGAATATAGTGGAAGAACAAGAAATCGATGGAAATCTGAAGGTTGCTGTGTCTGTGATCGAGCCCATGGGCCCATGGTCCATCATCTTCCCACCTTCCCCATTCCGACGGATTATCTGTCAACTACCGCAGACACTTGGCCGAGATGTAGAAAACAAACAGCTGAAAACAGTCACTTCTTCACATTGTTCACATTGTCCTTTTCTAGAAAACAAAGTCTGAATGACTTCAGATCCATATAAATCCATATAAATCCATATATAGTTATATATATATATAAAATCCAAACAAATCCCATTAAATCACCATTTTTCCCTGCTCCCGTTCCCTGCTCCGCCGGCGTGTCTTTCGGCCCCGCACGCGCCCAGGTTTCAAACTTCTCGTAGTTCACCGCGCTGTTTCCCGCCAGCAGCTCCTGCTGACGATTCATAGGGTGGCTAACCAGCACAGCAGTGCGAAAGTGAAAAAAGTATATGATATAAATATAATATTAATATAATATAATATAATATAATGTAAATATAATATAAATATAATATAAATATAAATATAATAAAAATATAATATAAATATAATATAATATAAATATAATATAAATATAATATAAATATAATAAAAATATAAATATAATAAAAATATAAATATAATATATATAATATAAATATAATATAATATAATATAAATATAAATATAACATAATTATAATATAAATATAATATAAATATAATATAATATAAATATAATATAAATATAACATAATTATAATATAAATATAATATAAATATAATATAAATATAATATAAATATAATATAAATATAAATAAAATAAAAATATAATATAAATGTAATATAAATATAATATAATACAAATATAATTTAATATAATATAATAAAAATATAATATAAATATAATATAAATATAATATAATACAAATATAATAAGATAATATAATATTAATTGAAATATAATATAATATTAATTTAAATATAATATACATATAATATAAATATAATATAAATATAATATAAATATATTACAATATAATATAATATTAATTTAAATATAATATAAATATAATATAAATATATTACAATATAATATTAATTTAAATATAATATAAATATAATATAAATATAATATAGATTTAATATAAATGTATTATAAATATAAATGTAATATAAATATAATATAATATAATTAATATACATATAATATAATATAATATAATATTAATTTAAATATAATAAATATAATATAAATATAATATAAATATAATATAAATATAAATATAATATAAATATAATATAATATAATTAATATACATATAATATAATATAATATAATATAATATAATATAATATTAATTTAAATATAATATAAATATAATATAAATATAAATATAAAAAAATATATAATATAAATATAATATAATATAATTAATATACATATATATACTGTATGTATATAATCGTATATATATATATATACACATGTAACTACATATGTGTTGTGCTTTGAAACCGATGCGAAAGTCGTTGCTGCCAAGCATCGACAGGTTTCGTTGACAGATGGTCATATGGGGGTACCCCAAGCTCGCTGGATGGTTTATGATGGAAAATCCAAAATATTCAATGGATGCGAACTGGGGATACCCCCATGGATTGGAAACATCCACATTGACATATTGTTGTGCAATGTTGTGCAGATCTCTATGTCACGTTACACATTGCCATGACATTTCTACTGATTCAACGAGGTGAACCAGACGACTGGGGATCCCCATCACGGAAACTGCACCACCTGCAGAAACAAAAAAAACTGATATCACTTTGGCATACTATGGCATTATGGGTGAAAATATGACAGAGATACAGGAAGAGTCCTACTCTGGAATCCTACAACTCTACGAGTCGGATATTTTTCAATGTGTCCCGCTGACGTTTGGATAGACCCATGGCTGGTCCATGCCGAAAAGCCCCCTGAAAGCGCCACGGAACTAAAAAAGGTGTAAAAAAAACTTGCATTTCCAGGTTCCATGTGAGGAAACTCAGGCAGATAGGCAACAAGCACGACCCAAGAATTCACTGCGAGTCTAAATCCATTTTTCCAACCATTTATGCCCTACTATAACCACTACGAAAACGTTTAAGGCTTACCTATCCTCCTTTGTTTGATACAAATTCTGATGCAGCATCACCATCTTGCATCCATTACCACCTTACAACCCATTCATATCCATTTATATGCATGTCGATTCTATATCTAGTATATCATAACATGGTGTAATATAATATAGTCATACAACCATACGTGCCATACATCTCTGACAAATTTTTCTATCAACACATAAAAGTACATAACTCACTAGAGTTCATCATACCAAATGAGGGATGATTTTTGCAACGTCCATCCAACTCTCCACGTTTTCTTCACAAATTCCACTCCCATATTACCACTTAACCAGCGAACTCCAGTGGTTTATGATATGTGGCCTGGTTTCCTGACAAAATGGGGTACCATTTGGAAAAAAAAACATGGCTTTAAAGCATTTTGGTACTATAGTATGGTTTAAAACATGATTTAAAATGGTCATTCATTAGTAAATGGGTTTTAATACTAAAATAGTCTAATGAATGCCTTGGATGATTTGGGTGTACCCCGATGACTTGGGAAACCTCCATATGAATATGGGTCCAAACCCGGAAAACCCCATGGTGAACCCCAAAACTTTTTTGGTATAGCTGGATGTTCATCCCATGAAAATTGATAGGTTTTGACCCAGCCCATATGTATAACTATTACCACAATTATTGCTGTGATTCATGGGAGATTAGTATTATTTTTTACTATTCATGGGATTATAATGAGATATTACTAACCAATGGTATGTATACATATATATATAATATATAATAATATATATAATATAATATATATATAATATTATATATATATTATATATATATATATTAATGGATTTTAAAACTATTCACCAACCCCATCCCCACGCCTTCAGAGCGCTGTTCACCACAGCATCGGCGGTTTCACCACTGCCGCGGCCGTCCGACAGGGCGTGGGCAAAGCGCTTCAGGTCGCGGTCCGAACTCAGCCGAGACATTTGGCGGTCCGTTCCAAGGGTCAAAACGCTGGGTTTACCCTCTGGTTATGTCAAACAGCTATTGAACATGGCCATTTCTAGTGGATTTACCCATTAAAAATGGTGATTTTCCATAGTTATGTTAGTTTACCAGAGGGTAACTGACCAAAATTCTGATTGCACCAACTAATCACCATTTTTATACAGTATCGATATATCATTCCCTTGATATCACCATAGATTATAGGAGAAATCACCATTCATATAGAATATCACTATTGATATATTATATACTACCTCTCTGAAAATATGAAAGTCAATGGGAAGGATTATCCCATATATTACGGAAAATAAAAAATGATTGAAACCACCAACCAGCTAGAAAAATGATGGGTTTAATTGACAAAAATTGATAAAAATGGTGATTGAACCAATAACAAAGAGTGATTTAACCAACTAGACATGGTGAATTTACCAAGAAAAAATGGTGGTTTAACCAATTCAGCAAAAGATGTGTTTTGACCAACATAGATGATGGGTGTTCAAATCAAAATGGTGGGTTTACACATGAAAACGACGGTTTTACGCATAGAACTAGTAGTTGATCCAACATGAATAGGGATGCAACTACTGAAAGTTTGGGATTTAAGCAACAGAAATTGTTTTTTTTAAAGAAAAAAACAGCAGATGTTAGATGTTCTTTGTCCAAAAAAAAATCGTGAGGTTTACCAACATCGACTGGGGTTCAAGCAGTGAATCATCACTTGCTCCTAATATTAAAATGTCACCAGGAACCGTCAGGAACGGTTGGTTTTGATTGTCTTAGTATTGGATCTTCTGATCTTCTCATTTTGGGAGGGATTCAACCATGAACAAAAATATACAAAAATGATGTTTACAGTGTTTTACCCAGAAAAATCTATGGTTCTGACTCAGCAAAACTGGAGGCTTCTGCGAATGAAAAGATACAAAAATGGAGTGTTCACCAACTAAGACGTGGAGTTGTTACCAGCATGGGGTGCAAACCCAGCAAAACAGAAGCTGCACCAAGCAAAATGGAGTCCAAACTTGAAACCGACAAAATAAAGGACTTCAAGGAGCTGGGTAGCTGGGTGAATATGGAGGTCACCAGCGTAGCACAAACTCATTGGGAGGTTTTTACCAGCGTAAATGGAGGCGAAACACCGCAAGAATGGAGCTGAAAAACCAAGCAACAGATGTTGGATTTGACCCAGCAAAAATCGTGGTTTAAAGCATTTGACAACATCAAAAATGGAGGTTTTCGCAACGCGAAATGGGTGTAACCAAGAAAAATTCGCCAACCACCAAAAATGAACGTGCTGCGAACAAATTTGAAGCTTGAAGCAAGTAAAATCGAAGTTTCACCATCGCTGAATAATGATGTGTTTTCAGGTGAATTGTCACCGTTGCCGATTCTATGATTCCTGATACAGAACGCCAAGCTCGCAGTGCTGATAAGGCACAGTCTCTGATCTTTGTCAGTGTCGTAGACCATGAAGAGCAAGCGCAGTTTCTGCTCGGGCCTTCCACGCACCGCAACAGATGATGGAAGTCTCAATGGAACATGGCCGAGGCACCGTAGATCCCCATAGATCCTGACATAGCTTAGTTATAATACGTTACAATCCACTTTACCCAGGATACATAATATCTTAAAATATGAGAATCTGTTACAATCCACTTTACCCATTGCAATATTAGATATTAATAGTCTATAATATGTTATTCATGAGTTATATCTCATAGATCCTGCAATTCAATGCAATTCATAGATCCCAAAAGGCCATAGCTTTACCCCGTGTAAATCCCAAAAGGCCCGGCGCCTGCCCTTGCAGATGACTGCCACACCACATACGAACTGTTGCACCTCGGCGCGGTCACAATTGCAAAAAGGGGCGGATTTTCTGCAGCATTTTCTCAAAAAGAAACGCATTGCAAATCGACTAAAAGTAATATGGTTATTACATGTTATTACATGTTATTACATGTTATCACATGTTTTTACATGTTGTATCATGTTATACCTATGAAAATGGTGATTTAACCAAGAAAAAGTCTGATTTAATGGGATGTATAGCTGATTTATGATAGCTAAGTTGGGGGGTTACATAACTCCAGTTTCTTTAGGGTCTATGATATGCAAATAACTATAGCATTAAGGTGGTTTATAAACCAACGTATAACTGGGAGGCCCACATTCCAAGATCTTGTAAGAAACAATTTGACAACTCTCAATGATGTGCGTTACGTTCTTCAAACTGCAACCGTCCTAATGTACTCAGCAACATGATTGGAAAAGAATACCAGCGAACATTATCAACCCCACCACCGCCACCACCACCACCAACACCAGCACCACCCAACCCCCCAACATATCCAAACCTGACATGAAAGATGCCTTTACATGGGCTAACATGAGCGTATGAGGCAATTCCGCTGATGCGCCCGCAACCACCAACCAGCAGCATCATGTCTTATAAGTCATAATATATATATATAATTATATATATAATTATATATATAGAGAGAGAGAGATATCCCCATTGTATCCCCATGTTAGATGGTTCCCCAATTTCTTTCCCAAGTTCTCCGTTTTCGTCGGGCGGCATCCAAAGACCCGGAAGAGTTGGAATCAAAGCAGTTGAAGAGCGCCTCTGCTAATGCCTGCGCCAGCTGGGCTTACTCCAACTAACATAGCTTCGGAAAATGGTGCGTAGAAAAGGAAATTCATCATAGCTATGTTAGTTTACCAGAGAGTATCATGGGAACATCATGTTATAATAGGTTTACAATAGGTTTATAATTGGTTTAGAATGAGTTATAGTAGGTTTAATAATAGTTGTATAATGGGTTATCATAGGTTTACAATCGGTTTATAATAGGTTTACAATGGGTTTATAATAGCCTTAAAATGGGTTATTAGGTTTATAGTGTGGGTTTAGAACGGCTGTATGATGACTTTATCAGGGGTGAAAATTTAAACAACTATCTTCAGCAAATCCAGGTTATCATGGGTCTGGGTAAATTAAAATAATTCACGCACTTGAAATAAGGCTATCTTGGGGATGATTTCCCTATAAAAACCATGAATCCAGTGAGGGAGAACAGTGAGGTCGTGATGAAATTCATCCAGATGGGTGATTCCCCACCTGCCAGGTGAGGGTTGTTAGATTTTATGTCAGTAGCTTCCTCCTGCCTCCTGCCTCCTGCCTCGTCCTCCTCCTCCTCCTCTCCTCCTCTCCTCCTCGTCCTCCTCGTCCTCCTTGTCATCCTTGTCGTCCTTGTCGTCCTCGTCGTCGTCCTCCTCGTCCTCCTCGTCCAACTGCGACCCTCGACGCACAGTGTTCTCTGTCGGACCTCAACCACGACCATCCACGCCCAGTGTTCCCTGCCGGACCTCAACCACGACCATCCCCGCCCAGTGTTCCCTGCCGGACCTCAACCACGACCATCCACGCCCAGTGTTCCCTGCCGGACCTCAACCGCGAGGATCCACGCCAAGTGTTCCCTGCCGGACCTCATGAGATATGCCAGATAGAATGCCAGAAGATATGCCAGATGGAATGTCAGATAGAATGCCAGAAGATATGCCGGATAAAATGCCACGAGATATGCCAGATAGAATGCCAGAAGGTATGCCAGAGAAAATGTCAGATAGAATGACACAAGATATGCCAGATAGAATCCCAGAAGATTTGCCAGATAATATGCCAGAAGATATGCCAGATAGAATGCCAGAAGATATGCCAGAACATATGCCAGATAGAATCCCAGAAGATTTGCCAGATAATATGCCAGAAGATATGCCAGAAGATATGCCAGATAGAATGCCAGAAGATATGCCAGAAGATATGCCAGAAGATATGCCAGATAGAATGCCAGAAGATATGTCAGAATATATGCCAGAAGATATGCCAGATAGAATGCCAGAAGATATGTCAGATAGAATGCCAGTAGATATGCCAGATAGAATGCCAGAAGATTTGCCAGATAGAATGCCAGAAGATATGTCAGATAGAATGCCAGAAGATTTGCCAGTAAGAAAATGTAAAAATGTCACGGTGGGGATCACACGAAGTAAAGTTATTTTTTTTTACTGGGGATTATAACTGCGCAGGTCTTCGAGGTGTTGAGGTGGGGTCAATGGGCGATGATGCAGTGATGATGCAGTGAGAAACCAATGGAAAAATGGTGATGTAATGGTGATTTTATGGTGATAAAAAGGGATATTTAACAAAAAAATAGGGATTATAATAAGATGATGATGGGATGATAGTGGGATTAACTCTCATTAATATCCCATTAACTGTTAGTAGTGTTGCTTGGATTTGCTACAGGAACCCAAGAACAAGAAATAAAGACGTATTCCCATTCAGTCGATTCCCATTCAGTCCTGGATTTTCGCAATGACAAAAATCATCAGCAAATCCAGGTATCACCAGGTTATGCAATGTGGGGCCCCCCAGTGATGTTTGTTGGTTTATAAACCCCATGAACTATAGTTATAAGTACCATAAACCACAGTTATTGGAGTTATAAACCAACTTAGCTATCTTGGGGGCCCCACATTGTGATGGCTTATAATTGAGAATATGATCTTTTTTCACGGGATTAGAATGGAATTATATTAGAATTCCAGTTATCCCATTATAATTAATTCCCGTTATAGCCATTGTAGCCATTATCAGGATAACTGGAATTATCAGCCTATTATTATCCCATTCTATTTAATGGGTATAATGGCTTAGAATGGGATTATAATGGCTTTAATGGCTGATCACTGGAATTCCAATGGGAATCAATGCGCCATGCGGGCATGAAGTGCTCATTCCGCTCGGCTTGTTCGAAGGTATATCCCAATGGTTCATGTTTAAATCCCAAAAGTTCAACACTTAAATCTGGAAAAAAATCATGTGTCATCATTCTTCATCATGAAAACAACATGGAAACACACCATGAAGTTTACCATTTGCTATGGTAAAACACCATTTTTCAACGAGTACCCTGGTAAAACACCATGGTTGCCATCATCATCATCATCACCATCATCATCATCATCATCATTCATTTACAAGCCATTATAATCCCATTATAAGCCATTATAATCCCACTATAAGCCATTATAATCCCATTATAAGCCATTATAATCCCATTATAAGCCATTATAATCCCATTATAAGCCATTATAATCCCATTATAAGCCATTATAATCCCATTATAAGCCATTATAAGCCATCCCATTATAAGCCATTATAATCCATTATAATCCCCATTATAAGCCATTATAATCCCATTATAAGCCATTATAATCCCATTAAGCCATTATAATCCCATTATAAGCCATTATAATCCCATTATAAGCCATTATAATCATTATATTATAATCCCATTATAAGCCATTATAATCCCATTATAAGCCATTATAATCCCATTATAAGCCATTATAATCCCATTATAAGCCATTATAATCCCATTATAAGCCATTATAATCCCATTATAATCATTATAAGCCATGGTAAGCCTATACAGTTTGACATGGTAAGCCATCACCATGGCGTTGCCTCGCCTCGGGCACGGGCCCGGCGCAGTTCAGGAAGCCGGTGCGAAACTCTGAGGGTCGAAGCCTTGGTGACAGCCATTTCGTGATATGCTGGGCATCAAACCATGGGATCCATAGGAAAACCATAGGAAAACCGTAGGAAAACCATAGGAAAATGGAGGTTTACCCTCTGGGCAAATGTCAAATAGCTATTGAAAATGGTCATAGAAATAGTTGATTTTCCCATGAAAAATGGTGATTTTCCATAGTTATGTTAAATTACCAGAGGGTATTTATTAGGGAAATATGATGTACTGGGAATATCTATATATATATATATATGTGTACTGAGAAATTTATTGGGATATAATGATAGTAATACAATTGGGTAATATAGTAATAAATGGCTTATAATGGATAGTAAATATAATTATAGTAAATATCTATGATCATAATGATGGGAATATCTATGATCTATAATATAATGGGAATCAATGATAATATTCTTGGGATAAAAATAATATAATTGGGATAAATATATATATATACATATTATATGATATTATATTATATATATATATGTTATATTATATTATATTATATTATATTATATTATATATTATATTAAATATTATAATATATTATAATATATTATAATATATTATATTATATTATATCATATTATGTTATAGCTTATTTTATAATGGGAACATGTATGTGTATATATATAATGGGAATATCAAGATTAGTATAATGATAATATCGCCAACAGTAACTATGGTATATAATGGGAATATCAACAATAGTGTGACAATGGAAATATAAACAATAATATGATAATGGAAATGTCAAAATTATTATACAATAATAGTATAACCAACAATAATGGGAACAATATGATATTACCAACAGTATATACATATATATATATTATTACAGTTATCAGTTATTATTCACAAGTATATAATGGGAATACAACCAACAGTAGTGGGAATAATATGATATTGCCCTTGCATTCCCATTATTCTTGCTTAAAATTATTGGTTATATCATATTAAATCCCAGTAATTCTTGATTAGGCAATTTTACTCATTGAAACAACCTGCAGGTGACTTGGGGATTCCCCATTTTATGCAACCACCACCTGATAATATATTGTAATATCATCATTAAGTACTGGGATATATTCCACTTATTGTTGGTTATATCATATTATATCCCAGTAACTGATGATTATACACCTATATAACTAGACCATTTTATCAATCACATTGTTGATCAATGTTGGTTACCCTCCTTTTCCAAGGTTTACACAAGTGTGGTGTTTACCGGCTTTTCCACATCTTTCTGTACTGTAACCTTTACCCCAGGCCATATCCCCATCAATATTATCATCATACCCTCTGGTAAACTAACATAACTATGGAAAACCACCATTTTCAATGGGTAAATCCACTATAAATCACCATTTTCAATAGCTATTTGACATAACCAGAGGGTAAACCTCCATTTTCCTATGGTTTTCCTATGGTTTTCCTACGGTTTCCTATGGGTCCCATATCTTTACCCATTTTTAGGCTGGGAAATTCCCAAACTAAATGGAGGTTTAGAGCTGAGAAAATCCATCGAAGTATTCAGGGTGGATTTTGCAGCCCACGGAGCTTTCATGACACCGGAGGGTACCATCTGGTTATTTAATGGGTACCCTCAGGTAAACTGGGATCAAAAAGTGGTATAACCATAGGAAAACCATAGGAAAATGGAGGTTTACCCGGCCTGGTAATTTAATGTAACTATGGAAAGATCCACCCATTTTTAATAGGTAAACCATCTATAAACGGGCCATCTATACCATGGCTATGTTAAATAACCAGAGGGTATATCCAATACTTTTGGGGTGCAGTTGGTGTGATCTTCATGGGTATAACTATGGTACTATGGTTATAAACCTCCACTCATTGGGATATTGGGCCCCATTTTAAGCCTAAGATGATTGGAAGCTATATAACCGTGGTGGATATATGGAGATATAATAGGTCATATAAGCCTATATTGAGATATTGGGCCCCTATAATATGATTATATATCCACTTTCTTGGATTTGCTTAACGCCCCAAGATATCATGGGGATCATGAAGAACTGGGCGATGATGGATATAACTGCGGTTTCACTGTGAAAAACTTTTGGAGGTTGCTATAGACTTGGATTTGCTTAAGGAACCCAAGAAAAACTTTAGAAAAAGATTCCCTATAGATGTCCTATAATTTTTCCATATGTTATAGATTCCCTATAGATTCTAGCGGATGTCCTGGAAAACCATCAGAATGTTTACTCAGCAAAAGGCAACCTGAAAAAGTGGTCCAATTTTTCGACTCACCAAAAATTGGAATGTGTCGGCAAAATTGGTGATTTTACCATTTATGTTTCAGAAATTGTGATTTTGGCAGTTGAAGATTGCGACTTCTCCTTGAGCTAACTGAAGATCGAGGTTTGAAAAAGTCTGAGTTTACTCAGCTCAAAGATCACTCAAAACCAAAGTTTGCGATATCCCGACCCAAAAACAAGGATTTCCGGAACAAATTGGGGCATTTCCTGTATTGTTTCCTGCGGGACAGCGGAGTTTACCCCAACCAATTTGGGGGCTGATTCCATCCCCTCTTTGTAAATCATGTTAAATCATCTTAAATCACCATTTGTGCGTGTGTTCCGTGCGTGTGTTCCGTGTGTTCTTTTTGTTGAATTCAATGATAAAATCCGCATGTTTCTACTACCGTTCCAACCGGCGTTCGGAACTCCTTTAAGGCTGCTGGAAAACTCGCCGCGCACGGAGAGTCGGTTAAAGCCTTCCAAGATCTTGGCCACCTCCTGCTCGCCCAAAGCTGCCACCTGGGCCAAGAATCTCTGTCTGCGTGGTCATATATACATATTAAATACAAACATATTAGAGATTGCATTATATATATATATACACACATGTTTGATATTATCTATGAGATATAATATCTAATATCTATATAATCATTTAAAAGGATATACAAGGTATCAAATATATAATGTATGCGAGGTTTACTATGTCATATATAATATATAATACAATACCTTTTTTAAAAATGAAACCATATATTTAGAATGTATACTAAACATACATTATGTAAAACTGTGTATACAATACAATATATGAAATGTATATAGAACGTATTAGATATATATATAATATATGATATCATATATATATATAGTAATACCAAAAAAGGGATACGGCGGTGAATTCAACACTTTTTGATATTTCAGAAAATGGCCAAATGACATGAGCATCACAAGTCCACTCTGGAACACATAAAACTCCAAAATACGCACGTATACTTCTAGCAAGATTCGTCAACTTCAGATCGGTTATCCAACCATTGCAAGCGGTATCATCAACGGAGAACCACGAGCCTCTACCCTATATAATTATACATATGTAAAAATACTATCATGCAGCGGATATAGAAATATGCACATAGAAAGAGAGAGAGAGAGAGATATGTGTGTGTGTATATATATATATAGAGAGAGAGAGAGAGGGAGAGAGAGGCAGAGACGCTTCTTCACGACGTTTTTGCTGGGTGATTGTTTCCCATGTCTCCCTGCAATGTGCATGCGGATATCGGCCGTTTTTGGTTAATGCTCCACTGGGTTTTAAGGAAGAACAATGTGTTTTACAGTCTGTTTCTTTGGTTCTGTGGCCAATGTCTTGCTAAAGTTCAAAAGTCTCCACAACATGCCACAAGACAGGAAATAGCATGAAACAGCGGTGTTTTGAGAAGGGGATGCAAAAAACAGCATAAGCACCAGTGGTTTTTAAATGGTAAGCACAAAAACTGTGAACATTAAATACCGTGTTTTTGGCGGTTGAAACTCAATGGTAATTGGAGTTTGGATCCCTTCTGGAAATGCAACTGATTACCAGGTGATCCATCCATATGTCTGTGTACACATGTGCATATGGGGGTTTCCATAAATGGAGGTACCCATTTTATGGATGGTTTATAATTGAAAATATCCTACAGTAAATGGATGATTTGGAGATACCCCCATTTATGGAAACCTCCATATGCATGTATAAATGATTTTGACAGTAGAAAGTGATCGTTTGATCTTGAACGATGGCTACCGGAATCAGTGTCTAGAGTCTAGAATGAAGCCGTCGAGAAACTTTGCAACATACATCCTCGGATGCAAAGTATAATAACACCAAGAAATCACATGTTTTTTTGCCACTCGTCTGCATGTTTTTGCGGGTTGCTATGAATCTCTAAAGGGTATGAAGTTCAGTCAAACTAATGGTTTTCCTATGGTTTTCCTATGGTTTTCCTATGGATCCATGGAGAACCTGCCCCATTTATTGATGATTTTCCCAGCAAACAAGACCTCCATTTCGGCCACGAGGATTTCCCAGCCGGCTATACCACAAATCACATCATCTTGGAGTTGCTTAAGGAACCCACAAAGAAAAATATATAATATTAGAATATATCATATATATATAATGATATAATATTATGTATTTTATTATATTTTATATTATTATGTATTCCCTGTGTCGATTCCAGTTCAGTAGTGTATTCTCATTGGGCTCCAAAAACTCCTCGACTCATCCCCATGAATGGAGTTGTTTGTTTGCTATTCAATCCATATTTGTTGCCACAAAAAACCACATAAATCAAGGCGCAGCTTCATCATAGTCAGGAAGATGTCGGGAGTTGTTGCCTCCCATGGCGCATCGCCGCGCGCTTCATGCGACCCAGTACTGGGCCGTAACGTCGGAATGTCGAATGGATGTGGGGTATGGGGTGGGCTTCCCGTTGCCATGGCTTAGGCATTGGATGTTTTCCAGCCGATGATTCATTGGATTGGGATGGTTTGATGGATGGTTTTTTTCCAGCCGGAAGATTTATGGTAAACTAACATAACATTTAACATATTTAACCATAGTTCATGGGAGAAAAAAACATGGTTTCCGGTGTTTTTCGATTTTCCCAACTGGGCGATCGCTATCCCTCATGAAGGCCTGGAGCCGAATGGAGTTCGACAGTTCGACAGAGTTCTTTGGGGCGCTACGAAATGGCTCTGAAAATTGGGGCTGCCCCCAGTAAATGGTCATTTAACAAGGGAAAATGATGATTTCTACATAATTTTTACCATCGACTTTGGGGGTACCCTATTTTCGACAGCAGTAAGCTCGTCACAAGTGTTACCCTCCGTTCTACCCCCCCTTGTTCCAGCAATTCGGCAAAACATCGTTGTCTGGAACGAATTGAAGAATGAAGGTACCCTCTGGTAAACATACAAAAAGCTATTGAAAATGGTCATTTATAGTGAGATTTCCCATTAAAAATTGTGATTTTCCATAGCTATGTGAACGTTTACCAGAGGGTACCCTGGTAGACACAAAAATAGCTGGTGGATGCTCTAAAAAAAACCAGTCCGACAATGGCTTTTGACTCCTCAGTGTCCCAATCTTCACTAGCTGAATGATGATTTTCCGTTTTAAACCATAGGTTTTCATCCAGCTTGGATCCCAGATTGGATCCCCACTATATCCCAATATATCCCCATGAAATTCACCACTCTTGTTGGTCAATTCCCTATCTTCCTTGGTTAAACAAACCATGGCTAATATATGTATCATCTGCATCCAAATTATATCCCTGGTATATTACCCATTAAATACTGTACCGATTATATACCCATTGCAACATCATTATATCACCATTACATCTCTAACATTACCGTTAAATCATATACGTATCAATTATTCATAATGGGGATTTGATATATGATTGTATATCCATATTATATTATTATATATCATAGGGATTTAATATATATGATCGAATATCATGTATATATTATCTAAATACCCTGAATCATTGTTTGCCAAAACATCCTTTCTGTTAGTTTATCCCCACTATATTCCTATAAATCCCCATCCAAAACCACCACTTTTCTCGGTCAAATCCCTATTTTTCATGGCGTTTCTTCGCCACATCTCCCAGCTCCCCCCGGTTTTTTCAGGCAACGGCGGTTTTTCCCGGCGCCCCGCTCAGCTCTCAGCTCTGAGCTCGGCTCATTCGGTGCGCACCTGGGCAGGCGCCAGGAGCTGCTGGGAAATGCGGATTTCACCAACAAAAACTGCGTTTTAACCCATCAAAAATCGATAAAAATCAAGAATGGTGATGAAAAACCATGAAAAATCAGGAGTCAGCGAAAATTGTGATTTAACCAGAAACAAGATGTTGATTTAACCAACACAAATGGTCATCTACTCATCAAAAATGGTGACTCAACCATCAAGAATCATGCTAAACCTATTGGAAAATCCATGAAAAATCCTTCTTCATTGGTCGCATATAGATCATACACCGAATTTCTCCGATTGTTTTGCTTTGAAACGCCCACGTTTTTTTCGGCAATCTTTCAAATCATGGTTTCTGATGGTTCTTGCGTGTTTTCATTCCTACAGTTTTGCTAAACCATGTCAAAGCCCTGAAAATTCGTGGTTCTCAAAGGTTTTTCATGCTCAATTTCAAGGATTGACAGATATTGACAGGAACTTACCCTCTGGTAAACAGTCCCAAAAAACTATGGAAAATCAGAAAATCACCATGTTTTATGGGAGATTTTCCACTATTTCTATGGCCATTTTCAATAGCTATGTCAGTTTACCAGAGGGTAAACCTCCATTTTCCTATGGTTTTCCTATGGTTTTCCTATGGTTTTCCTATGGTTTTCCTATGGATCCCATATCTTCCATATGGTGAAATCGTTGGAAAGCCCAGAGGGTAAGACTGGTGAAGTCCTGGCGCCGCCATGCCGCCATGGCACCACCAAATCCTCATCATCACTGGACTGGTCTTCGAACATGGCGTCATAGGCCTGGCGAAAGTGATTTTAGGGCACCAGGATCACTTGAACATGGGGTTCCGGATGATTTGAACAGAAATCCCCAAGGAAAAATAAGGAGTTCAGCAACATAAAATGTGGATTTACCATGGAAAACAGCCCAAAAAATCTGCAGTATCTGTTCATCCATATCTGAGCAAACACTGTGATTAAAATATATGGTAAATCTTTAATACATGGTATATAAACATAGAAAATGTCTCAATCATTTTCATTGAGATCCGGATAGATATTTCAAAATCAGCATGTGGCGCGGTGATTTACTGGGACTGCAACCCATTTTCGATCTCAACTGGGAGCCCTAAACGAGACCCATCGCCATTCCGCGGCCATATGTTGATCATGAATCTTACCACCCCTACAATAACTGGTTGGTGGTTGAGCCCTACCCCTATGAAAAATATGAGTTCGTCAGTTGGGATCATGACATTCCCAATATATGGAAAAAAAATCATGTTCCAAACCACCAACCAGATAATATTAAACAACAAGTACCGGATTTACACAGATCAATGGGGATGTTTAATATTGGGTGGATGGGATTTCCATAGATTGCCATATGTTTACAATAGCTTTTCCATATATTTTCTCTACATTTACATATGTTTACCATGTTTGTTACCATAATTTTCCATGTTTTACAATCTTCTCCGAGATGTTTACCACACATTTTGCCACAGAACTTTCCATATTTGAACAAGTTTGTTCACCCAAAAAACACACGTATATCTATTATATACTGGTTGGTGGTGCAATAACCATCTTGAAAAATATGAAAGTCAATGGGAAGGATGACATCCCTTTTTTTATTATGGAAAATAAAAGCTATGTTCCAAACCACCAACCAGTATATATTACCATATATTACCATCTATGGTACTACTAAGTTACTAATAATTTACCTATATATATATATATATAATTAATATATTTGGCTATGGGTCAAAAGCCTGGTACCTCCCATAGCGCTGCAAGGAATCTGACCATCGGAACCGCACCTGTTGGATCTCCGGCGCTGTTGGATCTGTGGGATTCGGCTCCTGGGCGAGTGCGGTAATTTTTGGGCAACAGGACATGGATCCATAGGAAAACCATAGGAAAATGAAGGTTTACCCTCTGGTTATGTCAAACAACTATTGAAAATGGTCATAGAAATAGTTGATTTACCCATTAAAAAGGGTGATGTTCCATATAGTTATGTAAACGTTTACCAGAGGGTAATTCAATGGAAAATGCTGGGAGTATCATTTCATTTCATGGGGATACACTGGAAAATGCACTATCAATGGGAAAATCATAAAGATAGGGATATAATCGGATAATGCTGGGCATTTTTTTAAAATCATTCACTCACCAAAAAAATGTTGGGCCAAAAATTAAGTGGGATAATGATCCCCTATGCATCGACCATCATTCCATCCAGGGCTCGGGAAAAAACGACGGGCTCGGTCGTCGGTTTGACGTTTACCCCATGTGAGGTCGTGATGGGAAGATGTCATGGGATAAAGGTGGTCATTCAGAACTCGAACAGTTGGTAATATAAAAGTCATATAGTGGTGATATAATGGTAATATAATGGGAATATACTGGTGTATCTAATGAACCAGTGGTGATATAGTGTCTGTTAATGGTATTTAACCAGCCCAAGAGGATATAGTGGTGATATAATAGGGGAATAGAACTGGGAGACAATGGTGATGTAGTGCTAATATAGTATGAGTATGAGCATGAAGGATTACTGAGAACTAGTAGGAATTAATGGGATGCATAACCAACAATAACTAATTGGCGGTTTCAACCCCTCTGGAAAATATGAGTTCGTCAGATTGGATCATCATCCCAACTATTGGGGAAAATAAAAAAAGGTTCCAAACCACCAACCAGATCACCATCATATTCCCATTGTTGTTGATTTATACCCTATTAACCACTATTAATATCACTATTACCATTGATAATGATGATACAATAGTGATGATATACGGTTGAGACGATAGACGATAGTACTGGGAATATGTCCTCAGTCCAACGTGGCAATGGCAAATCCCCAGCAGATCCCATTGATTTTACATGATTCTATAGTCAAAGAAAGAAAAGTGGCTTGTAAATACTATATATATATAGTTTTACCATCTTTTATAGATTTTATTCAATAATTCCACTTTCTAGGAAATCCCCTATACTTGTCATCATTTTTGTGGGATTTACTTTTCTATCTTTGTGGGGGTTAGTATAAGGGAATTCTCCTTCGTATTTTTGCATCTCAAATGCGCATGAAATATGTTTAGATGATGATTTGTCATATTGGTTATAATATTTTCCCTATAAAAAAATGATTTCAATTTGGGGGGATACCCTATTTTCAGACCTTCCAAAAATGACGATTTAACTGTGAGTTTCCAAAAATGTCGTTCAGGCTTCAGTAGAACATCATATGCGTTTCCAAATGAAATGATTTATTGCAACTCACTGTATGAAGAAACACATTCCGAATGATGTTTGACGATTGTATGTCCGTGACAAAATTAACGTTCTTGCGAACAAAGTATAGAGTATGGTATGTAGTTTATCATTACATGTGTGAATGTGTGTATTCCTCGGATTTGACGGTTTAATATGGTTTGATCCATTTATGGTTGGCTCAAACACCAAGGATGACATTCGTTTACTGTAAACTTTCCTGGGAAATCATCCCATTGTTTTTTTTCCGCCCGAACGAACGTGTGCAACCCGAAAATTGATAGTTTGTAGTGGAAAATCCTCTTGAAATAAATTATTTGGGGTAGCCCTATTTTAGGAAACCTCCATATCATCATCTACCATTGTTGCGGAGTATCCTCACGCATATGTAAACCAGCATGCAGGTATGGGTCAAAATCAAGGTGTCAATGGACCCAAACAGACAGTCCCAAAAATCAAGATGGGTTTGTAGCAAATCTTGGACCCAGAATTCAACCCGTTTTGTGGGTCCAATAATTGATCATCCGTATTTATAGGTGCGACATAACTAACGATACCTTCGGGTAATCAAACGTGGTCTGCTGGAAAATCTACCATTTTGATCGGGGATTTCCCAGCTTGCCATCTTTGATTTTCCACCGGAGGGTACCCATTCTATCACCCATGCGTCACCAAAATATTCATCATTGTTGTTGGTTATATATCCCATTCATTCCTACTAAATACCATAAAATTACCCTAACTGCCCCCGTTCAGAAATCTGCATACGCCCCGAAGTTTCTTCGCGGCCTCAAGCACGATCGGCTCTGGTGCATCCGGCTCCTAGGCCACACCAGCAGGTTTGGGTTTTGATGGTTTAACCATATGTGCCATGGTCAAATTACATGGTATATGATGGTATATGATGGTATATGATGGTATATGATGGTATATGATGGTATATGATGGTATATGATGGTATATGATGGTATATGATGGTATATGATGGTATATGATGGTATATGATGGTATATGATGGTATATGATGGTATATGACGGTATATGATGGTATATGATGGTATATGATGGTATATGATGGTATATGATGGTATATGATGGTATATGATGGTATATGATGGTATATGACGGTATATGATGGTATATGATGGTATATGATGGTATATGATGGTATATGATGGTATATGATGGTATATGATGGTATATGATGGTATATGATGGTATATGATGGTATATGATGGTATATGATGGTATATGATGGTATATGATGGTATATGATGGTATATGACGGTATATGATGGTATATGATGGTATATGATGGTATATGATGGTATATGATGGTATATGATGGTTACATGCTTTGTGGTCATCCATCCCATTTTATTGGAATCTGAACATAGTGGCTTAATCTACGCCTATGAAAATGGAATGATGACCGTCCCCTTTGCAGGGTTTCAGCATGGCTCATATAGTAGAGCAAAGGGCTATTTCCAGGATGGTATAGATCATGTTTTCCTAAGTAATTTCAGATTTCCTGCTTTTCTATCTTTTTGGGAAGAGAATTCGGGAAATGCAAATATTGGGAACAATTCAAACTTATGGAATTTTTACATACTGGTTTTTCACCATCAACGATGCGCACAATATGTTGATCAACATTCATAGTGGCAATACGTCATCGATGATTTAACCATAAATGATGTAGTGCTTTCCTTCGGAAAACATGGGATGAGAAAGCCCTCAAAAAACATCAGCGATTTAAGCCTGGAAAACCATAGCATTTTTCACATGATTTACCCTCTGGTAAACGTTTACATAACTATGGAAAGATCTACCATTTTTAATGGGAAAATCCACTATTTCAATAGCTTTTTGTATGTTTACCAGAGGGTAACCCTTAAGGATTATATTAGCACTCCCTTTCGAAAGAGTAGATATGACTATGATGTGATGTGAACAGGGTGCATCTAGATATGACCTGTGTATGTGCATACTGTAGCTCGTTCGCTATGCAATTCCTCCTGAGAGTTTCTCCTCTAGACCATAAGACCAGAAGTAGCTCAGACATAGTGAGTTATCATCGATCACTTCAGTTGTTGGTCTTTGCACCACCAATTACTTGGATTTGGCCAAGGGAAATGGCCATCTATCCCATAATTCATGTTACCTATTATAATATATTGGACCAACAACATTATATCCCATCATATTCTGGTTGGTGGTTTTAACCATTTTGAAAAATATTAGTCAATGGGAAGGATTATCCTATATATTATGGAAAATAATAAATGTTCCAAACCACCAACCAGTACTGATACTAGCTCAGGATAGGTCAGGTCGAATTCGGAAGATTTACCCCTACTTGTCATCATCTATGATGGGATATAATAATCTTCCAATAATTATCCAATTATTACTGTATCCCATTATTGATTATTATATCCCATTATATTGATGGATGGCCCTCAACATTTCAAGCATCTTCCCGATTCGCCATGGGAAACTTCTTCGCAAATCCCACAACGAAAAAATTGCAGAATCCGGCTGGGTGAAGAACGACATGTTCCCAAGAAATATCGGATGATGAAGAAAAAACCATCTGGTTATGACTAACATAGCCATGGAAAATCCCTTATAAATGGAGGTTTGAATGGGAAAATCCCTTATAAATGGAGGTTTCTAGCTGGGAAAATCATCTATTTCTATGGGCCATGGCTTCCATGGCTATGTAACAAATAACCTGATAATTACAATCCACGATAACAAATGGTAACAATCAATCAATGAAGATACCATCAGTATCACCAACTAATTATACCCATGTTACTGCGGATTATCAGTATATCAATAATAGTTACAATCAATAAATTAAGATACTATCAGATTATCAGGATCACCTCCTAATTTGATTCCCACCCATAAAAATCCATCACAATTAAGATATCCTATGGTAATTCAACATGGTTTGCTGGAAAATCTACCATTTATAGGTGATCTTCCTACTCAAAAACCTCCATTTTGATCGTGGATTTCCCAGCTTGCCATCCTTGATTTTCCACCGGAGGGTACATTCCCATTCTATCACCCATGTGTCACCAATATATTCATTATTGTTGTTGGTTATATATCCCATTAATTCCTACTAATCCCCATTAATGCTCCATGCCTTTAGCCAACAATCCTCTATATGACTACTAACTATACCACCACTATATATCACCATTGCAGTCCCATGTTATTCCCATTATATCACCACTATATCCTCTTGGGCTGGTTAAATACCATTAACAGACACTATATATCACCACTGGTTCATTAGATACAGTATATTCCCATTATATTACCATTATATCACCCCTATATTACTCTTATATTCCCATTGTCCAATTGATGTTTGGCTAGTTAAGTACCAGCCAAACAGACACTACATCACCATTGTCTCCCAGTTCTATTCCCCCACTATCACAGCTCTTTTTGGGGGGGTTCAAGACCAACTTTTCGAGTTCTGAATTACCACACTAGATATAATCCCATTATATATATTGATTATATTCCCATTATATAATTACAGTATATTCCCATTATATATTGATTATATTCCCATTATAGCTATTGAAAATGTCCATTTATAGTGGATTTTCCCATTAAAAATGGTGATTTTCCATAGTTATGTTAGTTTACCAGAGGGTACCACACGTTTGGTCACCACGGCTTCCCCAAGCCTCATCAACTTCCCCGGCCGTTGCTTCCGCCGTGGTTTTGTTTTCCGCGGCCGGTGCTTCCGCCGACGCCCGCGGAGGCGGTGCCGATGGAGGCGCCTCTTCTGAAGGCTTCCGCGGGGGGTCCTGGCAGATCATGGGAAATTCATGGGAATATAGTGGGAATATAGTGGGAATATAGTGGGAATATGGCAGACTGGTAGAATAGAATGGGGAATATTCATAAGAATGACCAGTAGAATAGAATGGTGATGAATTGTGGAATATATCAGGGGAATATATCATGGGAATATATCATGGGAATATCATAGGAATATCGTAGATTCACTAATCAACAATTATTATCATGGTGATGAAACCATCCAGTTTATGGGAATATCATGCGGAATATCATGTTAAGACTATCATGGAGTAGTATAATCCTAGCCCGCATTCATATTGAACACCCCATGGTTAATGATCCCAAATATGTGTAAATCCCTACAATTACCATTGTTTTGGGGCGGGGGTCTTGAATAGTAGAAGGAAGGGATGTCATTTGAGGCTCAATTTGAGGATATTTGAAGAAATATAACCGTTTTAGTTGAGGAGATTTGAGGATACTAGGGATATCTAGGGATATCAGGGATGTTTAATATGGTTCAACTACTCTCTGGTAAACATTAAACATAGCCATTGAAAATCATGTTCAATAGGTAAATCCATGTAAATCCTCTATTTCCCATTGCTATGTTAAATTGCCAGAGGCTTACTAGAGGCTTAACCACGAATCATCACCAATAAATGCGCCCAGGAAAATCATCGGCGCCTGCACGACACCAAAGGCCTTCAGATCCGTCTTCCCATCATAGAAGGACGCCTGGACAGCATCTAACACATAGCTGGCAACATAGGCCTATATTTGTTGATCAAATATGATCAAATCCCTCAATTTCTTGGTTGACTCATGTAGTTTCTCTCCATGTTTGATGCTAACATCCGATTTTCTGTTGGCTCAATCCCAGTCTTGCATGATGGATCCTCATGTTGGTTAACTTCATACCTGGGTGATACCGCATAGCCCGCTTTCTTGCTGGATCATACCCCCTTAGACACCTGTTACCGACTCATGTTCGGTTGATATCACCATTTCACAAGTGGCTCAACAGCTGTTCCACCCGACATTTCTTGGGTAAATGCCCTTTGTGCTGGTCAGATATCTATGTCTGGTTGGTGGTTTCAACCCCTCTGAAAAATATGAGTCAATGGGAAGGATCATCCCATATTATGGGAAAAAAACATCCAAATGTTTGAAACCACCAACCAGGTGTCTTTGTTGTTTAAATCCAAATTCTTGTTGGTTGAATTCGATCTTGATTGAATCCCCACTTTTGCTACCTTACTCTTCCACGTTAGCTTCTTGTTTTTCCACTCTGATACTTCAATCCCAAGTCTCAAATTCCAGAAATCCATCTAAATCCTTAGGTTTCATGGTGAAATCCCAAGGTTTTCCATCTAAATCCCTAGGTTTCATGGTGGAATCCCCATGGTTTCACTCGATTTTTTGAATCCATCGCCTCCAGGTAGCGACCATCAAAGAGCCGGCCGTCCATGACCTGTCTGGTGAAACATGGTGAAACTGACATATGAATGGGATGTAAAATGATGGTAATATGATGGTAATATATTTGGATCCTCCATGGTTCTGACATATTAGCCATATTTGGCTATGGTTTATCTGGATATAGATCCATATTAGCCAAAATTAACCATGTTAACCATATTAATCCATATTAATCATGTATATTAACCATATTAATTAACCACATTAATAGCTACTTGGTGGTATACCTACCCCTCTGAAAAATATGACGTCGTCAGTTGGGATTCTGACATTCCCAATATATGGAAAGTCATAAAATTCATGCTCCAAACCATCAACGTCAGAATGCGATGTAAACTGGGATATGTTCATGGAATTATTCTCATGGGATGATAAGTTCTATTGCGTTCTAGTTGTAGATGACCAGGTCACCAATTGTTGGGATTCATAACTTCACCTTGAAATTGAGGTTCAATGACCCATCTTTGGGGGAGGTATAGTTGGTAGTTAACCCAGCACGGGAGAAAGTTGAGAAAGTTCGGACTGAGTTGACCCAAAACGATAGGAACGCAAGCAAACATTACCAATTTTCTGGGGTGTAGGAAAGCCACTGAAAGATAGGGAATTTTGGGATTTAAGCAACAGAAATGGGGATAAGCAGCCGTTTGGGGCAGTTTTGGCTAGTACTAATCCACCCAAACTGGCGAACAGGAGTTGAGATCATTTGACCAATCAAGAATTAGGATCTACAAAAATGCGTCGATGGGGTTCAAGAGCTCTTCTTAGATACGAGTAAATGGGGATGTGGCCGACCAAAATATGGATATCACCAGCGAGAATAAGTGAGGCTTTCCCTGGCTTGACCAAAAACTGGGCAACTTGTTAAAATGCAACAAAAACCAAGGCATTACACGTGAAAATGAGGAGAGAGTCAACTAACATGGGGCTATAGCCAGCAGCAATGTAAATACTACAGTCCCCTGAGTTGCGGTCATCACTTACCTATCATGGGGTGGAGCACCCTGAAAAATGGGGACTATCTCATGATACTACCCATGTTGGTTGGTGAAATCCTTATTTTAAGTGGTTGAAATGAAACCATCACCATTATAATAATTGGTTGATTAGTGATTAGTGAATCTACCATATTCCCATTCTATTCCCACTATATTCCGATTACAGTATAAAGATGCTGAATTATATGACGATTATCATTTCTGGTTGAAAGTCCATTTTTTGGAGCAACCCTAGTCGGGCATTCCCACTATCCATTGCTCAACCCGGTGGATCAGGGTTTCTTCTGCCCCATGGGGCATCAATTGCCATCGTCATATAATTCACCCATCTTTATACCTGTAATGGAGATTAAGAATGACCAGTAGAATATAATGGTGATGAATTATGGAATATATCATGGGAATATATCATGGGAATATCATGGGAATATATTATGGGAATATCATGGGAATATGGTAGATTCACTAATCAACAATTATTATGGTGATGAAACCATCCAGTTTATGGGAATATCCATGGGAACATCATTGGAAAAGAATATCATTGAACGGTATATAATCCCAGCAATGATGTGATATGATACTCGGACGCTAGTAGTATAACTTCGGACGCAGCGAAAGAGCCATTGATATGGAAAAAGTAAAATTGATCTCCCCGTGGACCGGGTCTTATGGGTCTTATCCTCTTCACACTGATACAGTAGAATCCCGCCCCTCTGGCCCCTCCGGTCTTGGTGCAGTTGCTCGAATGCATTCTTCAGCTTCCGATGAAAGTTTGAACTTGATGCACACGATGCCCTGGGCAAAATCTGGAGAGCAACACCAGTCTTCAGCTGATCCATGGCTGGTGATGTTGCTTTTGATGTATCCCTTCTGGAAAGCGAATCTCATCTATGTGCATGTATGCGTATTGATGTGTATATATATATCAGTTAACGTTAAACGCGTGAATACATAGATCATCTCCCGAAAATGAAATGAAGACATCTATGGAAGATCTGCATTTTTTTAGTTTAACATAGTTTAACCATCAAAAATCTGCAAATCTAACCATCTAAGTCTCCCAGAACACAGGCCTGCACGTGGCGCTCGATGGGTGTCACCCTCATCACCTGCGTTAGAAATCAACCGTATGGGATTTATTTCGGGATCTGACCAAGCAAAATGTGGGATTAGATGGGATCCATCCAAAATCTTAAGGTTAAATCCCATTAAATTTAAAGGGGTCCATTAAATCTAACATTCATTAGATCCCACATTTTCAATGGGATTTAACGATTGGCTAATAATGGGTCATAATGGTGAATAATAGTTATATACTGATGGTTAATGATAGTTAGTAATTGTGAATAATGGGATTTAACCTTAAGAAAATCTGGGATCTAATGAATCTAATGAATCTAATAGGAATTTGACCAAACAATGAGTGATTTACGCGGGGATTTTAATCAACAATCGGGATGATTTCAAGCAGCCGATTTGAGAAATCCAACCAACTGGTGATATTCTGGGTGAAATAGAAGATCATCATACCTAACAATTGGAATTAATCGTCATTGATGTTGGGGTGAACCCCAATTCTTGGATTTCGGCACTCCAAAATTCCTACTCCAAAATCCCTACTCCAAAATCCCTACTGAACCAGTTAGTACTGGTACTCCCATTTGATGTTTTTGGTCATCACCAGGTGCTTATAGGGGTTCAATGCATCCCATGACACTACAAGGTCAAGCGGGCCATGAATTCTTCAGCAATGGATCATGATACTCAACAACCCATCAGTCACCAACCAACTACAATGAGGGATTATGTGTATATATATACCCTCTGGTAAGCTAACATGGCTATGAAAAATCACCATTGTTAATGGGAAAACTCACTATTTCTATGTCCATTTTCAATAGCTATGTTAGTTTACCAGAGGGTACATACTGTAGACCTATTATATCAACAAAGTACTGTATATCCCCATGTTTGATGGCTAAGAGCCCTAGCCATCAATGACACATAATGATATTCCCATGATGTTTCCATTAGCTGGTGGTCAAATCCCCGTATAGCATATACAGATATACATATATGGGTATGGGTCAAAATTAGGTACCCCAACAATTGGATGGTTAGTACTAAACTAGACTAATATCTGTGGTCCCCTAGGTCTTCCATTTTGACCCACATCCATATAATTATATATATATAATAACACCCAAACAGATAGATTTTAGCAAATTATCGCAATTTTAGTAGGATCTTTAATTTTTCTATCTTGTTTGGGAGTGCTAGAATGTGACGCATCCAGATATAATATCATATAATTAGTATTTCTAAATTAAATGTCATATTGTTATATAAGAAGATGTGTAGTATAATTAGACATATACGTATAATATACATACATATATATATATTACATGAGTAAATCATTATGTGTATATATATATACATAGTATCGATATATATATAATATAGAAATGTCTATATGATTATGTCCTGTGTTCTAAATGAGTAATGTATCCCTATGATTCTCCCAGAAATTGATCCCAACCTGGCCGATCTTCTCACATTCCTCCTTGACCTGGCAATCGAGGCGCTGTTTGTTCCAGCAAGGCTGATACTTTAGCCTAGGGAAACGTGGAAAAAAATCAAAGATATTTAACAAATATATATACTTATATATATATATACTTATATATATATATACTTGTATATATACTTGTATATATAATTATATATAAATACTTGTATATATACCTATATATATACTTATATATATACTTATATATATATATACTTATATATATATACTTATATATATATACTTATATATATACTTATATATACTTATATATATACTTGTATATATACTTGTATATATACTTGTATATATAATTATATATATATACTTGTATAAATACTTTTATATATATACTTATATATATATACTTAGATATATACTTATATATATACTTATATATACTTATATATATACTTATATATATATACCTATCCTATATATATACCTTTATATTTACTTATATATATATTATGCACATTATATATATATATATTATGCACATTATATATATATTATGCACATTATATATATATGTAAACGAAGAAAAACCTGTGTAAGTTCACCCCAGTTCATTCAGTAGGCTAAGTAGGATTAGTTCACTTATAACTGGGCGGGTAGTCCAATTATAACACACTTACTAACTGGGATGAGCCACCAAGTATGGAAATTCCCAATTCGTGTTTCCGTTCGGACATGATCTACATTCACGGAGTTTCCATTCCATGTCAGTTTCCTGGGTAACCATGGAAGTCTTGCCATGTTAATATGGATATAACAGAATTTGACATGTTTTTGAGCAGCAAACACTGAAACACTGTGATTCTTATCAGTGTCAAGCAGCCGAAAGATATCTTTAAACAGGCATCGCCCCGTCCCCAGCATCAACCAGCGACCAACTTTGATGGGATTGATGGCTATCCGATAGGATCAATCCAGTGCTACGGATGAACCCTGTTCACTACGATTCACTACGTCTTCTCATTCATTTTGCCATTGAATTTGCTTCTAGAAGGGAACCTTCGGGCTTTTTGCGAAACAAAAAACGTCCCCATTTTTCATTCCTCCGTCCTGGACAGCTGGAAAGACAACTCATTGACTCAGCGATTTCGGGTCGGGGTGTACCGTGGTCAACCCAATAAATCATCCCAATTCCCCGAAAAAATGCCTTCAGAATTGGAGGTAAACCTACAGGATCGGGCCCCCAGTCGATAGCATTCAGTTGCCTCCGAAAAGTGGCGAAAAAAAAATGGTTTATGGTAGATAACATGATATAACCAACTAGTTCATGGGGTTTATAAACCAACATTCACATCACTGGGGGGGAACCATCCTGTTTTTGTTGTGGCTTTACCAAATATCTCAGCGACCGTCCCCCCTATGGGTAGTGCTTCTCCACCAAGCGACTTCTTCAATGAGCTCCTCGTAGAAGCTGGGACCTGCACCCATTGATTCACCGAAGAAATGAAAGGATTCACATAGCAATACCCGGCCTGGTAAACTGGGATCAAAAAGTGGTATAACCATAGGAAAACCATAGGAAAATGGAGGTTTACCCTCTGGTAAACATTAACAAAAAAAACGATGGAACATCACCATTTCATGCTATTAATGGGTAAATCAACTATTTACCAGAGGGTAACATGAAAAACCAATCCTCTCATTTTAGGTTGAATTCTGGTTTCAGCCCAAGCATGGAATATTTCATTGTGATTCCTCTCATTTATTGACATACCCTCTGGTAATTTGTTGCATAGCTATTGAAAATGGCCATTGAAATAGTGGATTTACCCATTAAAAATAGTGATTTTCCATAGCTTTTTGTATGTTTACCAGAGGGTATGTCAATAGCAAACGTCAGCCCAAGTCAGCTCAATGCTGGGACGCAACAAGCTGCGCACCAACAGCGCACCAAATCTGGCCTCCTTTCTCTGCCTGCTCCGGGGAGAACATGTGCCTGGCGGCTTCAGTTCTCCTAGGTTCTGGTTGTATTCTCTGAAGGGGTTATAATGGGGTTGTATAATGGTTGCAGTACAACTTTAATGGATTAATTATAATGGGTTGTTACAACCTAGATTGCTTGTACATGATGTATGGGTTGGAACAAAAATTGAAGATGGTACTCAACTTTTCACTGCTTTGCAACAACAAAAATCGTCAAGCTGTTGCCACAAACATTTTTTGACTTGTGAAGATCAGAAGAATTGAGAAGAGGAGAGAAGAGTTGAGAAGAGGTGAGAAAAAGGTGATAAGAGGTGGGAAGAGGTGAGAAAAGGAGAGATGAGTAATGTTGAGAAGAGTTGGTAAGAGTTGAGAAGAGGTGAGAAGAGGTGGGAAGATGTGAGAAGAATTGAGAAGAGGAGAGAAAAACTATGTAGAGTTGAGAAAAGGAGAGAAGAGTTGAGAAGAGGTGAGAAGAGGTGGGAAGAGGTGAGAAGAATTGAGAAGAGGTGAGAAGAATTGAGAAGATGTGACAAGAGTTGGGAAGTAGGAAAGTTGCGAAGAGCTGAGATGGCCTGAGAAAAGCTGCGCAGAGCTGAAAAGAGTTGACCACAGTTGAAGAGATTTGAGGCTTCAGTCCAACTCCTATAGGCTGTCCTTCGCTCCTATAACAGTCCTTGCCGGTAACTTCCGCTACCAGCCTTGCGCGGGCTCTACTTGTATATATTTAATATCGCTTATTGAAATTAGAATATGTAACAATTATAAATAGTATAAATATTACAATAAATATATATGATATGTATAATCTATTTGAATATTTATATATATATATATCATTTTTACAAATAGATTATATGGTGTTTCTATTAATAATCTATTTAATAGATATAAAACTATTTGTATATCAAGATATATATATACGGTGTTCAACCTCACCAGTTTTAAGCCTCGCACCTCAACAGGACAATGCGGCGCCCCGTGCCGTCGTCCATCTCTCCGCTCCAGGAGACCGCCTGATGTCATGGACATCAGAACCGTGCTGGTTTTCCTTAAAGAATGGAGGTGTTTCTGCTGGGAAAAGGTGGTAAAATCCTATTAAAAAAATTGGAAAACCTGGGAAAATCCAATAAAAAAGTTGGGAAAAAACTGTAAAATCCCTTAAGAACGGTATATAACTAGAAAAATCATGGAAAATCCTTTATAAAAATGAGCTTATACTATGAAATGGTTATATGTAACCCAATTAAAAAATGGTGATAAATGGTGGTATTGCTTTAAGAAAAAAGTGATAAATGGTGGTATTGATCAAAAAATGAAGATTCTTAGCCACTGGTAAGTGGAAGATCCTCCAACACCACGATTGTCTTTGTTCAGCTTGCTTACGATTGCCAATCAAAGATCCAAGCATGCAAATGTTTATCCCACTATGTAACAAGTACTATATCCCTATTTCAGTAGCAAAATGTGTGTGTGTGTAAGCCCGCAGCAGAACTCGTTAACCCCATGTACTTTTCATGGTATAGACACTATGTGTTCAATGCTTCACATCCTTTTTTGATGGTCAAACCAACCCCATGAGCTTCCGATTTCGGTCAATTTTTGCCCAGACCGGCCCAGACATCTTGGGTGTTTCGCTTTGAATCGTCACCCCTTTTAAAAGGGTTCGAGCGTCTTTTTCAATCTGGTTCAACCGCATGTTCAATGATTCGGTTACCTGTTTCTCCTGATTAAACAATCTTAAACCAACTTAATAAGTTGCTATATGGACATAATTACAAGAATTCTATCGCAAGTTGTGAAGGATATAGCCAAGCTCATACCCATAAAGATCAGCCCAACTGCACCCCTAAATGTCAGATTGTTGTTTGATGTTGGTTGTATATCTCATGAAATATCTTATCCCCATGAAAATGGTCACAATTATCAACCCAGCAATCATCCCAGTAATTGACATTGTATCATCTGTTACATCCCATTATGTTTCTCCATTTTACACAGCTGAAATATCATGTTTGCTGGAAAAAATGCACCGTTCAGACATAATATCCCAGGAATGATTTCCCATTACTGGGATGATAATTTCCATATATCATTTACTGGGATGATTATATATGCGAATTTTAATATATGGGAATAATTTGTTGGGATGGTTTGTATTCCCATATATTATCAATATTATCATTATTATTATTGTTATTATTATTAGTTATCATTATTAGTTGTTATTATTATTAGTATTGTTATTATATATTATATAAGATGATTCCGATTACTGGGATGATGTCCTAAACAATATCCTAACACTGTCCCAGTAATCGTGGATTATGTCATGTCCTATACTCATCCCACGTCGAGTCAATCACCCGGGTGATCCCACGTCATGCCCATGAGATCCACATGATCCCATTAATGATCCTACGATATCCCTTGTAAGAATATCCCCGCTACTAAGTATCAACAATTTGATAATGACTATATATTAATATATATATATGTATTATTGCTGGTATCCCATATAGTATAAGCATCCCCCTAAGATTAAGCACTCCCCCAGAAACAATGTTTAAACAATGGTTTAGTAGGGACATTTAGGACCATATTTGGGACCATACTATGGAAAATCACCCATCTTTGAAGGGTAAATCAACGAGCTAAATGTGCAATGTTCAATAGCTATTTCCAATTATACTTGGTTAGGTACCCTCTGGTAAACGTTTACATAACTATGGAAAATCACCATTTTAAATGGGAAAACACACTATAAACGGCCATGTTTAATAGCTATGTTAGTTTACCAGAGGGTACACTTGGTTAGTTATAAACCATGAAATATCAGCATGTTTCTATCCCATTCAATCATCAAGAAACTCAAGGTGAAACCCGTCTACTCCCACATTGGCCCATGTTGAAAACCCATGATTCACCACTATTAGCCACAAAAAAAAAACACTAGATTAGCCACTATTAACCACTATATTCACCACTATTGACCACTATTAATCACTATTTTCATGGCTTATGAATACCACCAGTAACCGCTTTGAAAACCACCAGTCGGTACGTGTTTCGTGTACCGCCTCCTTCAAGGTGTTCTTGGCCGCCAAGTATTTGGCCCGCTGATCTTCCGGCTTTCTGGCCGCGGCCAACTCCTTTTTGTCGCGGCTGCGTCGAGCGCCAAGTGGCCCAGGTGATGGCTGGGATTTTATGGGAAATAAACTAATAATACCATAAACCGTGGCTGGGAAATTCCCATAAATCAAGTCCTATTATTATATGGCTATTTTATGGGAAATATATACTAATTATTTTACAGGGGTCATTAAATGTCCCCATTGAACATCACCCAACCATGATCGGTATATGGTTTTTTTTATGGCTACTATTTTTGGTGATGTCCAATATTCCCAAAATGGGACAGTTACCAACCCCTGTTTTATGGGGAATAAATAATGTAAACCAATAATTAGTTAATGATACCCTCTGGTAATCAAAACGTGGGAAATTCTCGATACCCTATAATGGGTATTGATATGATATATTGTATGTATCTGTATATTTGTGAATATATGTATATATATATATATACACGTTATTAAGAAATATCAACATGTTGTAGGATAACCACCAAGATTGGGTACATAATCGAAGAAAACCATGGGGGTTGTCATTTAGTTGTGATTGACTTGTGAACGTTTATAACAACTAAATATATAGATAAACAAATAGATATGAATATTAAATATATAGATATGACTAAATATAGTATCTGATATATTGACTTTTCAGATATTTGTCATAACTTAATTATAACACTACAGGATGCCCCCCTAATGAAGTCAAATTTTGGTGTACTTTCACCCATCCAACTGGACTGATGAATCTCAACCATAAACCGTTCTTGACAACTTGCCTATCGTTGTTTTACCCTACTAAAACAGATTAGTTTACATGTTTGTTGTTTTCATTTGATTGAATGCATGGTCCAGGAATCCAAAGTGTTTCATGAGCATGGATAGGTCGCCTGTGTATGTCAATCAATATCTATGCATTGAATAAATTATATAATAATGTACTGTACTGCAATATATATATATATATTGATATAACAAAAGATAATGTAGTATAGTATAATATAATATAATACAATACAATATAATACAATACAATATAATATAACATAGTATAATATATACATAACATAACATAATATAATATAATATAGTCTCAAAGTTATGTTGTATCATCTTATGTTGTACTATATCATGTTACGAGTCATGGTCACCACTCACTGCTGCGGCACACTCCTTGAGCTCGTCTTTGGATAACTTGGCGTCTTTCTTCTCCGTCTCCTCGAAATCCGCCTGCGCTCGTCGCGGGGGACATGGCGTCAGTAGCTGAAGACGGGACCATTGGGACCATGGGTTTTGCGTGACAATGGGAATATCATGGGGATATCATGGGGATATATGGATATATACATACATGTGTATATATATATATATATGCATACATGTATATATATATGTACACATCTAATGGGATATAATGGGATTTTGCGTTTGGTAATTTAAGATAGGGAACTGGAAAATAAGCTAAATCAACTAAAATGGGCCATGGTTTCCATAGCTGTGCTAAAGTACCAGAGGATACATACTGTGGCAAAATCCAATGGGCTCACGGTGAGCAGAACTTTCCCCATGATCAATGGCCATTCCAGGAACCGAAATTGGAGGTACCTACCATATATTTTAGGCCTATGTTTTAGAGCTATGTAAGGGGATATACCCCCAAAATATGGCCTTATGTGGTACAGTACCTCCATTTTAGGATCCTGGAATTCCCATTGACATGAATTAGAATTATCATTTTGGGGTATAGACCATATGAATTTCGTGGCGAAAGGAGCCAGAGTCGCCAGAGAGTGAGCCTCACATGGTTGTTGTTCATATGGAGGTTTCCTACAATGGGTGTACCCCAAAATCAATCAAAAAATCTTATTATCAATGGGAAAACCAAGGGTTTGCGGTATCCAGATTTTAGGAAACCTCCGTATCCCTTTGAATATGGCAAACCCAAAGCCATACACCAGAATTTTGTACATTGATTAGTGGGATGGTTGTGAATTGGGGAAAGGTTTATCACAATGATTCAGTTACATGGCGGGATTACCCGCCATCCAACATTGGCCCATTTGTCCTCCAGTAATCAAACATGGCTTGCTGGACAATCCCCCATTTAATTTATCTGGTGGTTTGAACCCCTTTGAAAAATATGCTCGTCAGTTGGGATGGTTATTCCCAATATATGGAAAAATAAAAAATGTTCCAAACCACCAATCAGTTATAGATTATGTTCCCATTAAAACCTCCATCTCTAGAGGATTTCCCAGCCACGTTTGATTCCCGGAGGGTACATCCAGAAAAACCGACTTCTTGGGGGTGTGGGCCCCGCAAGAAGAAATGACTGAAACCCCAGTTAGAATAATGGAATATCCCCACTTATGGGATATAATCTGGGTGATATATGGATTATAAACCACTGGATTATAAGCCCCTTACCGCAAAAAAATTAATCCATATGTCATCCCATATTTCATCCAATGGGAATATTCCATGAACCTAACTGGGCTTCGCGTGGCTTCGCGTGGCTCCGCGCCTGCTGCACACAGATTCGGCAGCCGGGCCGGATCTCATATTCGTGGAGAAATTTCACCTGAAGGATCCACCATGGATGTTCCCCTGAGGGGGATCCCCTGCCTGCTCCATATTTATGGATGATTTTTACCTATCAATTTACCTATGCAAATTGGTGATTTGTTGCATAGATTCCCAATATGGGTTTTTACCCATGATTTCACCATTGCTAACCAAAATGAGATCACCATTATTAACCGTTATTGACCATTGGCTTTATGGGGCTTTCCATAAATAGGGGTACCCCCAATAGCTGGATGGTTTAGTTCATTGAAAATCTAACGAATCTAACGATAAAATGGATGATTTGGGGGTAAGACATGGAATGGGTAAGGGCTCATCAAAAATGATGGTAAATGAATGTGGTTTTGACGACAAATTCATACAAATTCTTCAATCACAAAAACTGGATGGTTAAACACCAACATGACACGATGTGACGATTTTAAGCTGTTACGTGGAAAGCATCAACAAACATGAGGAGATAGGCAAGAGCTGCAGAAAATGGTGATAAACCCATGTAAACCATTCGACGGTCCTTGCTTTGTAGCAGAAGAACCACTGGGTTCGAGTATCCAGCTATCCATGTTGTAAGGCAGCGATGCGGATCATCGTGGATCGTGTTAGAGATGCATTTAGAGAGGCGAACTTCCGAACTTCCGAAGTGTTGCTAGTTTTACTCAAAATGGTTAAACCTGAAGGTCTGCATTCCGGCGATTTCCCAATCTGCATTCCAGCAATTCACATTCCCAATGGTTTTCCAATCGTTTTCTTGGTGAAATCCTCCATTCTCCAATCGTCAATCCTCCGGAGAATCCTCCAATCCCCGGTGATGAACATCCCAATGATCTCCCTCCAAGCTACGGCCAGTTCCACCGAGGCAGCGTTGGCGAAAGTCACCAGGGCGTCACCTTTGCACCTAAGGGAAGTTTGCTTCGGTGTAAATTGCTGCGGACTGTGAAGGGAAATGGGATTGTTTAATGGATTTTGATGTGACTTTCGTGGGATGTTAATGGATGTGTATCGGATTTTCATGGATTTTTTTATGGAATTTCTAGTACAGTAAATGATCCCAAGCAGAAAAAAATCGAGAAAGATCTACCCTCTGGTAATCAAACATGGCAATGGAAAATCCCCTATTCGTAGATTATTTTCCCACCACAAGAACCTCCATTTATGGAGGATTTCCCACTGCCATGTTCTCCCATTCTTGTGTTTACCACATTACTTCAAGAGCGCTCAGATTACCCTCCGGTACTCAAACATGTCTAACTGAAAATCACTCATCTCAAAATCTTCCCATCAAAAAACAATTATATAGAGAGGATTCTCAATTGTCAATGTTTGGTTGCCAGATGTAAGTAATGGGATAATCGTAAAATGATAGGATAATGGGAAAATGATGGGTAATGGGGTGTAATGATGGGGGTATTAATTTTATAGTGATTATAGTGGTTGTACCAAACGTTACCGATAGGATAGTGGGAGGCAAACTGGTTTATAGCATTTTTTTCGCAACAATCTCGGATAACCACTGGGGATAGGTTGGGACAATTACGACATGATGTTGTATATATGTGGTTTTACAGTTAATCAATGGGATACTTGGGATACGTTGGGATAATGATGGGGCTATAGGCTAAGGAATTTAAAAAGAAACTCCTGGAGGATTTGATGTTTGCAAATTAACAATCGAGATGGAAATCTCAGCTACAAATCGTGGTATCTATGCTGCTAGCAGCTTTTTGGAGTCGATTGGATCCAAACTTGAACGGAGGTTTGAATGCCCTGCGGTCACACCTTTTCTGCACAGGCTTGAGCCATAAGTAAACGGTCATGTGAAACATGTTACAAGATGCTACCAGTTACTATGAAAACCGTCACACGCAATCACCCCTCCTAGGCCAGGCGGTAAGGTCTTCTCACCCATTGGCCTCAGACTAGCTGCTTTGCACCTACTGCCTTCAGCATTGTCGGCCGAAAGATTGAATGCATTGAAGAATCTGTTGCTGCCAGCCAAAAAACACACCCCTCCCCTTGCTGCATGTGGCAAAGGTTTGAGGAACATGTTCACAGATTGCAAAACAGCAATGGCTCTGTACAATGCGCAGAAAACACACAACTCAGCTCAAGACCGCGTGCTTAAGTCCGCTATTCTGCTGGACTGCGGGCCTGTTGCTCTTCGTCTACTTCTTCCTTTGGTGCCCGCAACTCACTCCATGTTGATGAAGCCACAGCCGAGGACGTCGCAACCACTTGGCTCAACTGCTGTGCCATGCGCCTCTTCTTTGCTCCTTTTCCTCCTCCACCATGAAATGACATCAGCTCCTTGGCCAACTCCATTGTGGCGCCATAATCAGCAACGCTCTCCTTTCGTTTCTTGGTCACCTCTCGGAAGACACCGGCTCGTAGGACTTCCTCCTGGCCCAACCGCCGAACTGTTCCAAAGGAGGCCAAGCGGTCGGTTATGCGCTTCATGCCACCAGGGCCCCGCAAGAGCTCGAACTGAATGATCTTGCCTTCAGCGAACGGGATGACCAAACCGACCATCTCCAAGCATTCGGGAGGAAGCTGGTCCATGAACCACGCCCTGCACATAGTCCTGGACGGAAAGACTTCATTCTTCTTCAAAAAGAGTTTGAATTCCGCCTCGCCGTCAGCCTCGTTCTTCATGTTAGCAGCCTGACACACAGCCACATTCTTACTGACTCTTGCTAGATCAATCACTTCCGGTGCCGGTCCAACCTACTGTACTCACGGAACTCTCAAACCACAAAACTTTCCCCCATACTTACTCACCCCCGAGTGCCTCCCTAGTCCAGGAACTTCTATCTTGTGGTTTGCCGCTATTGGCGAACCCTTCAAGGCGTCACTGCTGGAATAAGACCCCATACTCGCAATGTCCGCCATGCTAAGCGCGTAGCTACAGCTCGCACGCACCAGTTTGAGCATCCTTGTCATGAAATCATATGTTAATTTCCAAAACTAAGAAACCCTGCAAGCTGACAAGACAAACATAATTTATCTTGATACCCTCTGCTGTCTGCTATCCTGCCGACATCTGCTATGCGGATACCACCTCTTGACCTCAGCATGGTGCTATGGTTCACAGGTACCAAAACCCATGCACCTGTAGCCAGTAGTCACAACATCAACAAGAAACAACATAATTTGCTCACCACCCAATGGAATCGATGAACCCAACAGTCCGAGCAAGTGTTACTGTCACATTCAATGCATGTCTCGCACTAAACCGTGAAAATTCCAAGCATTCCGTGCCCATCTATCCAAGCATCAAAATTCCAAAAAACATATGTCTTCAATGGCTGGGTCCGCAGTCACGCTCCTCACTGCGGATCTCCATGACCACATCTGTTGGAACGCTGGACTGCACAGGGCCAAGCACCAAGACAAAGGCTTCATTGTACACCCAATAATAGCCTGGCGCTTCTTGGATGCCTAACTGTGAAATGGCATAGAAAAGAGCCACCTTGCAGCCGACTTGAATCTCATCCTCATTGGCCGAGCGTCAACACCCGACGTGGGCCCTTGCCTTTCCCACCACTAACCTCTTTCAGAGGCCCGAACTCCAGCAGGAACGCATCCAAGTCCACTTTGGCTCTGTTCTCCTGCAAGGTGATGGCCTCCATCAAAGACAAAGCTTTCACCACCGTCGGTGAGGTTGCCGAGCACGCCTCAGTCCTGCAACTGGGGTTTGTAGCAAGACCCCAACCTACAAGAACAAAACAAGTGCCCGCTGCTACCTTCTGTCCGTTCCTATATCAGGCTTCCCCGCCTGCATCTCTTCTTCGGCGACACCCCCACCGGGTCTGCTACATGCGGCGGCTGGTTCGTCTGAGAAGGCCGAACTCCCACAGTCACAGCATCTCCTGGGCCTTGAGTTGGACTGCTGGACTGCTGGACTGCTTGTCTTCTGCCTGAAACTCCATCTCTGGAGAAGAATTCACCAGATCCGCCATGTTCCTACGGATCAGCTTGCTGACTGGTGCTGCAAACAAAATGAACTGAAATGCTCGCGGAACAAAAAACCTGTCTTGCTGCCAGGTTGAAAGCTTCAGTGTTCGACAGCTCTCTCAAGCAAATCAAGTCGTGCTCGCGGTTCGTTCCTATGACTCCCTTCTGCTTGTTGCCGAAACTTCAAAGAACAATTGAAAACCTTCCTGGCATGTCCACCGCTTCTGCCATGCCTCCTTTTTTGAATTTTCGTATTGCTCGAAAGATTGAATGCATTGAAGAATCTGTTACTGCCAGCCAAAAACACACCCCTCCCCTTGCTGCATGTGGCAAAGGTTTGAGGAACATGCTCACGGATTGCAAAACAGCAATGGCTCTGTACAATGCGCAGAAAACACACACAACTCAGCTCAAGACCACGTGCTTAAGCCCGCTATTCTGCTGGACTGCGGGCCTGTTGCTCTTCGTCTACTTCTTCCTTTGGTGCCCGCAACTCACTCCATGTTGATGAAGCCACAGCCGAGGACGTCGCAACCACTTGGCTCAACTGCTGTGCCATGCGCCTCTTCTTTGCTCCTTTTCCACCTCCACCATGAAATGACATCAGCTCCTTGGCCAACTCCATTGTGGCGCCATAATCAGCAACGCTCTCCTTTCGTTTCTTGGTCACCTCACGGAAGACACCGGCTGCCCTCCCAAGCAGGTCCACCAGCAGCATCCTCTGTTACCTGGTTGGCTGCGATCCTCCGGATGCACCAGTTGGGAGGCAAATCACTCTTCTCCACGTAGTCGACGTGGAACTGATCCGTGTCATCGTTGATACAGGTGACATTGTCACCGCCGTAGCTCCACCGGCCCTGGGTCTGTTTCCTGCCACATAACATGCTGGATTTTCTCGCAGAAACATTCCATGCATACATTTATATACTGCTCAAGTCTCTGCAAAGCAACACCGTTTTCGCCCGCCTCAAGATTTTGAAGAGCTTGATGTTGTCTGTGCTTCTTTTGAGGCACCACATGAAATGCCCCTTGGATTCAACCCAAAAGCTCCACGGACTGTTCGGCTCCCATAGGTAGTCAATCCCTTAGACCGAGGGCCAACATGTCGGAGTTTAGAAAATGCATGAAGATGGCAGAAACAAATGCTGCTCAGGCCTTCACTCAAGAAACCTTTGGAAAGGGATCTGAACCTCATGAAACCACATGAAGTGTCCAACATCCTTTCCAAACATTACGCCCTGATGCTCACCACCTGCATGCGCCGAGTCGCTGAAATCATCCACCTGAAACCGGATGACGGTCGGATGGAGCTGGTGCTTCTGGAGCTCCGCCTGAAGCCCAATGGGCACGTCCACCGATCTACCCACGGGAAAGCCGCGTCCATCGCGAAGTTAGAAGGGCCTGGAGGACTGCGGGACTGCAAGCCTGGCCAGCATCCAATCTTCACCACCAAATCCCGAATCATCAAAATCGGTTGTTTTTCGTTTTGGCGTCGAGATCCGATTTTGGAGCTGCAGTTTCCGAGGCCGTTGCGCGTAGTTCTATCGTGTTTTGCAACTCAGTCTCTGCAAATTGCATTGGAATGCCTGCGTCAAGGTTGCTTGGCGCCGCGGCTGCATGCGTAATACGATTGTCTTTTGCAGCTGAAGATTGTAAATCGTATTGGAGTGGCTGCATCCAGGTTGCGATAGTGATTTGTCAGCAGATTTTTGCAATTTTGGCGATAGTAATTTTCCTTTTAAAATTCCTTTTAAAAAGTGCTTCAAAATCGTCTTTTTGTCGCTTTGGCGTCGAGATCCGGTTTTGGAGCTGCAATTTCCGACACCGTTGCGCGCAGTTCTATTGCGTTTAGCAACTCAGTCTCTGCAGATCGCATTGTAATGGCTGCGTCAAGGTTGCTTGGACACAGAAGTACTGGGAAGTAGTTTGTGCAAGCTTTGTAGTACTGGGAAATGCTTTGTGCAAGCTTTGCAGTACAAAGTGGTACTGGGAATTGTTTTGTGCAAGCTTTGTAGTACAAAGTAGTACTGGAACGTGTCTTGTGCAAGCTTTGTAGTACAAAGTAGTACTGGGACGTAGTTTGTGCAAGCTTTGTAGTACACAGTAGTACTGGGAAGTGCTTTGTGCAAGCTTTGTAGTACAAAGTAGTTCTGGGAAGTGTTTTGTGCAAGCTTTGTAGTACACAGTAGTACTGGGAAGTAGTTTGTGCAAGCTTTGTAGTACAAAGTAGTAGTGGAACGTGTTTTGTGCAAGCTTTGTAGTACAAAGTAGTACTGGGAAGTGCTTTGTGCAAGCTTTGCAGTAAAAAGTAGTACTAGGAATTTCTTTGTGCAAGCTTTGTAGTACAAAGTAGTACTGGGAAGTGTTTTGTGCAAGCTTTCTAGGACAAAGTAGTACTGGGAAGTGTTTTGTGCAAGCTTTGTAGTACAAGTAGTACTGGGAACTGCTTTGTGCAAGCTTTCTAGTACAAAGTAGTACTGGGAACTGCTTTGTGCAAGCTTTGCAGTACAAAGTAGTAGTGGAACGTGTTTTGTGCAAGCTTTGTAGTACAAAGTTATACTGGAACGTGTTTTGTGCAAGCTTTGTAGTACAAAGTAGTACTAGGAAGTGTTTTGTGCAAGCTTTGTAGTACAAAGTAGTACTGGGAAGTGCTTTGTGCAAGCTTTGTAGTACAAAGTAGTACTAGGAAGTGTTTTGTGCAAGCTTTGTAGTACAAAGTAGTACTGGGAAGTGTTTTGTGCAAGCTTTGTAGTACAAAGTAGTACTGGGAATTTCTTTTGTGCAGGCTTTGTAGTACAAAGTAGTACTGGGAAGTAGTTTGTGCAAGCTTTGTAGTACAAAGTAGTACTGGGAACTGCTTTGTGCAAGCTTTGTAGTACAAAGTAGTTCTGGGAAGTGTTTTGTGCAAGCTTTGTAGTACAAAGTAGTACTGGGAAGTAGTTTGTGCAAGCTTTGTAGTACAAAGTAGTACTGGAACGTGTTTTGTGCAAGCTTTTGTAGTAGACATCAGTACTGGGAAGTACTTGACATGAAAATAGCCAAGAAGAACTTAGCTGACATATGGGAAGAGATGGAATGAGATGAGAAGAGCTCAGATGAGATGAGTTGAGATGAAGTGCAAGTGTGAAGTGTGGAGTGTGGGGTGTGAAGAGTGCAATGTGAAGAGTGCAATGTGAAGTGTGAGGAAAGTGTTTGCATTGTACCGGGGTCGCGCGCAGGTCATGTTCTTGGACGGCAACACTGCAACAGCTTCGCACAAAGCACGCACGCACGGGCCTGGCTGGCGCACGGCGCATGCAAGTTCCTTAGTAGTAGTAATGGGAAGTGATTCATGAAAGCTTAGATGACATATGAGAAGAGAGGAGATGAGCTGGGATAAGGTGAGAAGAGCTCAGATGAGATGAAGTGTAGAGTGTGAAGGGTGCAGTGTGAAGTGTGGGGCGTGAAGAGTGCAGTGTGAAGTGTGAAGTGTGGACTGTGAAGTGTGAAGTGTGGAGTGTGAAGTGTGAAGTGTGGACTGTGAAGTGTGAAGTGTGGAGTCTTAAGAGTACAGTGTGAAGTGTGGAGTCTTAAGAGTACAGTGTGAAGTGTTGACTGCGAAGGGTGCAGTGTGAAGAGCGCACTGTGAAGAGTGCAGTGTGAAGTGTGAAGACTGTCAAGTGTGAAGTGCGAAGTGGAGCTTCAAATGTGACATGTGAAACAGGACACCACTTTCGAAGAATGCATGCACGCACGGGCTTGGCTGGCGCACGGCGCATGCAAGTTCTATAGATGAGAAAGGTCTTATATATACATATATATCTTTAAGGCAACTTCCGCCCCGCCTCGTGCGGGTACTACTGGTAGTATAGCTTGCAGTGCAGCAAGTCCCGACCGCAAGAAAGTCTCCAAGGCAGCGGCATCTCCGTCGCTCATGTTTTCCACATCGTACGTCAGTCCTCCAAGTCCGGCCATGAGTGGCGGATTCGCAGGAGTGGTCGCCATTGAAGACGAACTGCTTGACGTCGCTGTGGCAGTGGTGGTCGCTGCTCGACCTTCTCCGCCTTTGCCCTTGGACTTTCCTTTCTGCTTTGCCTTGGGCTTGTCTTTCGGTTCGTCTGCTTCGACACCGCCCAACAGAAATCCATTACTCTCTTGCCATTCTTGGCCGTCGTCGGCCCAATCTTCTTCCTCGCTTCCCATCCTTGTTCGGCCGTCTGGTCCTCCTGGGCCCATTCTTCTTCAAAATTGTTGAGACCTTTGCCCTTACCTTTCTTGCCAGGACCCTTTCCTTTAGATTTAGATCCTTTGCCCTTCGAGTTCTTTCCTTTGCTTCCTTTAGGGCCTCCTTTCGACCCTTTGTTTCCCTTGTTGCCTGTCCCAGTGGTCGCGGTCCCTGAACCTTTGGAGTACGTGCCTTGTCCTGTCGATTGGCCTTTCTGACCTGCCTTCGCCCAACAGTCGGCTGCTTTGTGCCCTGTTTTACCGCAGTTGCTGCAGCTTCCAAGAAAATTCGCTGCGCTGCCCTTCCTGCTCTCTTGTACCCAACAGATGAAACATCCATCGGGTCACCAAGAGCATTCTGGTTGGCAAGGGCGCTTGCAGCGGACACGATCTTGAGACTCTTGCCAGTCTTGTGCTCAACATAAGGATTGATCTCTTCCAAGAGGTCGTCGAAGGTGTTGAACCGAGACTGGTTCAGTTGCACGTGTGATTCCAGGTCTTGGGGCAACATAGCCTCCAGTGCTGCCGTCTTGATCTCATCTGGGATCGCGGTCCTCTTGCCGCTTGCGTCCTTGCGTTTCTCATAGGTTCGAATGGCATCCATCCATTCTTCTATTGCCTGCGGCAACACCTCCAGCTTCTGCTTCTGTGGGCTGATTACCGCCTTCAACATTGTCCTTTTTCATGACGCGGTTGCCGGGTCATAGCGCCCCGTGAGACGCCTCCAAGCCTCGAAGCCTCCGACGCCACAGCTGATCACTATTTCAACCGGTTCCTTGTGGGTAACCATCTGCAGAACTGAAGATAGTTCTCGCCGTTTTTCTACCAGCTCTAGAACTTTGTCGATTTCATCGGCGCTTTCTCCAAACGCCTTGTCCAACTCGTCTGGGCTGATGCTCTTACTCTCTTTCTTCGCACCATTCCAGGACTTCTCTCAACCCAGGTAGATTGAGCAGATGCACGGTGCCATGCGATGTCTCCATGGCAAGTACTGTTCTGCTTCACCGCTGAATTGGCTGTGGGCTTTCCCAATCCTTTCGTGTCGACCACAGTTGATCTTTCTTTCCGGAGTCCTTCATAGCTTCGACCAGCTCCTTATTCTGGTCACTAATTGCCGTCTGTAGTGCTCTACCCATCTCTTGGATGACTTGTGGAACCATTCCCAGATTCCCTTGCGCTTGCAATGCCGCCTGTGTCCCTTCTTGAAGCCTCTGGGCACTTTCTTGCCGCACCCGTTCGACTTCCTGGGTGTGCTCCTGTCTCTGCCTTTCCAACTCTTGTCTTAGAGCCTGCAGCTCGCCACCTGAGGCTTGCATCTCTGGAGTGGACATGTCCTCCTCAGGTGAAGCACCCAAGTGGACTTAGTCCTCACGAGGGAAAGTGGCAGCCAAACGGCGCCTTGCCCTCTGGCTGCGTTGCAACTGTTGCAAGTGCAACCCCAGGTTGTGCCACACCCGTTGCAGCCTTCTCACAGCTGCAGCTTTCACAGTTCTTTCACACCAGCAGCTCCGCTACCATGAACGGAGTTTTGGGCAGTTCAAACCCTGCGGTCACACCTTTCCTGCACAGGCTTGAGCCATAATAAAACGGTCATGTGAAACATGTTAGAAGATGCTACAAGTTACTATGAAAACCGTCACACGCAATCAAACTTGGCCATATCGTCAAAAATGCTAACCAAAATAGGGGAAGTCGTAGTAGAAAAATCATGTGGAAGACTGGAAACACGAGGTAAATCAATCGAAATTAGCATGGAACTACCCATGTATTCAGATGTGCTGGGAGATTTTGATATGTCGAGCGCTGGTAAAGATTTGATGCGCAAAATCGTGGGGAAACGATATGGAGAGAGAATGTACAATATATAAATATACGATAAAACAGTGTGTGGCAAATGTCCAGTCAAACATAACCCAACTATTGGGGATATAATATCCAACAGATATTTGAAGGTCCCTAAAATGTGACGTTTCCCAATTCCTGCAAAAGATGCTTTTTTGTTAACACATGCATGAATGGAGGATTTCCTGCTGAGCAAATATGAAGATTTTGCATTTTCTTAATGGTGAAAGGTTATGATAAGGTTGGATTGGCGTGGGAAAAAATAAATCAAGTTCAACTGGTTCAAACATATTCCATCCAGAAATGGCTGAGATGGACAATAGCAGGAATAAGGGCCTTTTCAAGCAAAGAATATGATGACAGACGGAGGATGCAATGAGGATACCGACAAACAACAATGCAATTCAGGAATACATCGCGAATCAACAACAACATACAACAAATGGCATGCAACATCATATTCCGATGTGGATTGAATTAGTTCCCAACAATCTAACAACATTCAACATCATTCAGCAACATCGCCAACAGCGCGCGCAAACGAACGCCGAAGGCCTCCCATCTGCTCCGGTGTAGACGCGGATCTTGCTGGCACAGGTTTCCATGTCCAACTGGCGTCGAGGTGAAGCGACGAAGATCGACGAGTTGCGGTTAGGATTTCTGTGGCAAAATAGCCATGACCCAAATGGCTAAGGGTTAACTTTATGGCTGGTGATTTAACATGGTTGAAAGTCATTTTTATGGTTATTTGGTGATTTAACATGGTTCAAAGTCTTTAAATTATATTAAAATGGTGAGGTTTCAAGTCATGATCTGAATCTGGTCAGGTGCCATGATAGTCATGATATAAAATGGCTCCTTAAGGACTCCGGCTCGCTTGAAGAGGGGGTCCAGTTCCTGGTGGGATTGGACGACACATTTCTTGGGGAAATGGATGGTTTATTTCATTGAAAATCCGAAGATAAAATGGATGATAAGCTGGGGGTACCCCCATGACTTAGGAAACTTCCATGTTTAAGACTTGCGACAAAAAAAGGGATTCTGTTTGCAGCTAATTCATCGGTTATCATTATTTTGTAGCCAGGAACCATGCGAGACATGGCCCTGGCGACAAAAACTGATCAGTCCTGGGCGGTGGTGTCTGGAGGCCTAGGGAAAATCAATTGGCCAAGACGGGGATAGAAGGCAAGCGGACACAAAAACTGGTCATACTGTGGATGGAAGCAACCCTGCACCACCTTGGATGGTTGAAACCCTATAAATAGTGGGATAAACCACCTATCAGCTGGTGCAGGATTTCTTCCATCCACCGTAGCTTTCCAGATCACTACAAGCAAAACTTAGCGAGTTGGCTCCAAAAATCAGCTCCAAAATTTAGATGGTTAGGCCAATTCTCAAGTTGCACGCAAGCCATCCAATTTTCCCATATTATAGTAAATTTGGGAAAAGACTCGAAATAGTAGTGGTTTTGCCAAGCTGTCACTTTATATCCGCTAACGCTATATCTATATCATGTACTGATGTTGCCGGAATGTACATCAACATTTACCCGGGAAGTTTTCCCTACACTGGAACTCCGTACATGAACGATGGGAGAAAGTTACCTCAATTGTTTTGCCCCATGTAACTCCGCACGATCCCTGTCATATGTCTTAACAACAGCGGTTTTATTTGCATCAACTCTTATAGTTACTATGGGGAGAACATCATCTGGGTATACATGTACACGTTAGTTTTCATCGACTTGTTGAATCTTTTCCCCATGTAACTCCGATCGTTCTTGCGGCGAGCATTTGATTTCAAACATTCAGGCCCGTCGATGTTTCACAAGCTCTCATATAAACAAGCTTGTCGAACTTGTTCCCCACCTGTCTGGTGAGGGTTGTTAGATATCATGTCAACTGGCGTCCTCCTTCTCCGCCGCCTCCTCCGCCTCCTCCGCCGGACCTCAACTGCAAGCTTCTGATCGCTGTGTTCCCCGCCGGACCTCAACTGCAAGCGCTAGATCACAGTGTTCCCCGCCGGACCCGAACAGCAAGCTCAGGATGAGAGTGTTCCCTGCCGGACGTCGACCACAAAGAATCTCCGAAGAGATATCTCATAAAATGCCAGAAAGAAGGTCAGAAGACATGTCAGATAGAATGCCAAATAGAATGTCAGAATTTATGTCAGATAGACTGTCAGAATATATCTCAGATAGAATGCAAAATAAAATGTTAGAATATATATGAATATATGTCAAACAGAATTTCAGTTGGTGGGGATCACTCGAAGAAAGCAATTTATCGTTTTTTGGTAGGGGAAATACTGGATCTGAGCGAGATGTGAGCGACATGCTGAGCGAGATCAAACAACATGCCCAGTGTCTCCCAGCCCACCTGAGCCCTGATCCTGACCATCTTTCCTATTCCCAAACAGTGTGTCCACACTGAGGGGTTCTTACGGTAGTAATAAAGGCCGATCCTTGATCAGATTATCATCATCCTCAACATCATCATCCTACACCTCATCATCCTCAACATCATCATCCTCAACATCATCATCTTCCTCCTCAACATCATCATTCTCAACATGATCATCTTCCTCCCCCTTGACATCATCATCCTCCACCTCGTCTTCCGCAACATCATCCTCCTCCACCTCATCTTCCGCAACATTATCATCCTCAACATCATCGTCCGCAACATTTTCAACCTCATCCTCATCATCACCACCACCACCATCATCATCATCGTCACCACCACCATCATCATCCACATTATCATACATTATCCTCCCACTCCCCCACATTGCTTGGGGTCTCTTGCTGGGATATGTTTTTTACATGGTATTGATCCGTGTTCTTTATTTTTCCTTTTTTATATAGTGTTCGTCCTTTGTTTTCATTGCTCCATTTCTCATGTGTTCATCATTGTTTTCATCCAAGTTTCACAGCAACCATTCTCACTAGGGATTTGCACCATATGGCTAGCAAAAAGCCATGAATTTGAAATGGAACATGCTTTTCTCCCATCGGCAACACATGTCGATGCGCTTTCCTCAATTACCTTCCCCGAGCATAATAACATGTGTGCATCTAATCGATGCGCTTTCCAGCGCTTACAGTATCACTTATGGGTATGTCTGAAAATGGGGTATACCCCCAATTATAGCCATTTAGTAGGGATAATGATCATTAACCATTGGGTGTAGGGGTACACTATTTTCAGACAAACCCTTATAATGCTGATCACTTTTGGTTCAACAAACCCCAGTGCTCTGCACCACGTCGCGAACTTGGTTCCTTGGTGCGCGACAGACCCGAGACATAGACGTTGGGATTCTCCTGTGCGTTGTGACACCCAGGATGCGGTCCTCTGAAATATCCCCACGTTTGGTTGTGAAATCTGTATGTTACTCGGTTTGGTGGTTCACCAAAACATAGGGATTCCAAGAGATCCAAACCATACCAAGTATTCTATGAGATAATTATTCCCTATTAAATGGGATATATATATATAAATATATATTCTTAAATACCATAATCATGGGATATTAATGGTATGGAATGGTTTGGATACATTTAGAATATATATATATATATCCCATTTAATAGTTAATAATTAGAATATATATCCCATTTAGTATTTCCTAATGATCCCATTTCATGTTTAACTATTAAATGGTATGGTATGCTATTTGGCCTATCCCATTCTCTGATCTTTCTATCTTCGCCCGGAAATTCACCCTTTGATCAATCATGGATTCACCAGCCAAGTCCTTGGCTTTGATGAAGAGCCCAGCTTGTTGCTTCAGCTTCCTGGCGCGGGAGGATCGATGGCCGATGTTCCTACATTGCTGTGTCAGTTTGAAGGCAAATGGTTGGAAAGATTTGATCTTCTGCTTGGAATTGTTTGAGAACCACCAAACAAACCTAACATCATATATATATATATTATCTATATAGATTCCCTGTTCGTAATGGATTTCCAAAATTGAAAGAAAAACATCAACAAATTCAAGTGTAACTGGTGATGAAAACCCGCTCTCAATATGGGAAAATTCAAGGGCTTCTACCCATCAGATGGGTACAATATTGACCCCGGGGAGCAATATAGACCCCGGCGTATACTGTCCTGAGCAATATATACCAGGCACATACCTGGTATATATTGCTGCTAAACATAGGTGATCAATATGTGATAGGTATATACCCGGTATGTACTGGGTAGAGCAATATACGCCGGGGTATATATTGCCCCCAGTATACGTAAACTACGACAACTGTAGGTATTTTTTCTTTTGAGGAATGTTTATCGATGGATCAGGTAATTGCTCCACATTCACAAAGCAAATATCGTTTCTTGTTTAACACTCTGTTCGAAGCTGTGCCAAGATTGCGATTCCAAAAATGCAAAATCCTCACATAAAATACCCATCAAGGCCAAATTGGCCTACCACCTGCTACCCTCACCAGAAAATCCGCTGCCATCTTGGCTGGTCAATCTGGAGGACTTCCGAAAACTGTCGGGGAAAACTGTCGGGGACGTTTCAGAATCTACCAAAATCATTCTCTGCGAAAGGTTTTGCAGTCATTTCTTCAGATCATTGCATATATACTCTATAATTTATATATATATATATACATAGACATAGTCATCTACATCTACATAGACATCTACATAGACATAGACATCTACATAGACATAGACATATATCTGATAAATACATCTGCAATTCACAACCTGCCCCCCCAAAAAAAACTCCGAGTCCAAGGCGCTTCCTCTCGCGATACTCCCGACGCTTCTGGCGTTTCGCCTCCTTGTCCGCGTCCTGGCCTTCCACCGCCTGTCAGCTGGGTCAGCTGGGAGGGGGTGCTTTATGTTCATAGGAGGGTAACCTAAATAGATCAACAATATGTTGTTAATATGGGCTATATGGCTACATAATCATCAATTGCTGGAATATTTCATATGATATCACCAACAATAATGGGAATCGATCCCAGTAATTATTCATATATACTTGGATATCTATGTGATGTCTATGTCTATGCAAGATAGAGACCCACCACGTGTATGTATAGACATCTTCACATATACATCATTCTAGCATCACCACGTGATCTCACACTCAAATTCATCCCAAAAAACTAGACGACGGATGGCCCGAGAGCGTAGAGGAGCAGGGTCTTCTCTTGTTGGTATGGAGACACCATATTACAAAACAATATACAAAAGATGTGTTATACGCAGTCGCAAAGAGGAGTATCAAGACAATATAGCACAAGTACAAGACAGTAGTTTGCATCGTATCTTTTGTAAAGCTTTTCACACACAGAACTTTTTACAGAGAGACACTTTTACACACAGATGCTTTTAGACACAGACACTTTTACATACGGAAGCTTTTGCGCACAGACATTTTTACACACGGAAGCTTTTACACACAGACGCTTTTACACACATAGGCTTTTACACACAGACTCCTTTACACACAGACGCTTTACACCCTGACGCTTTACAAGCAGGCACTTTTACACGCAAACACTTTCACATACAGACGCTTTTACACACAAAAGCTTTTACACAGACGCTTTTACACACAAAAGCTTTTACACACAGAAGCTTTTACACACAGAAGCTTTTACACACAGACGCTTTTACACACAGACACTTTTACACACAGGCACTTTTACACACAGACACTTTTACACACAGGCGCTTTTACACACAGACAGTTTTACACACAGACGCTTTTACACACAGAAGCTTTTACACAGACGCTTTTACACACAAAAGCTTTTACACACAGAAGCTTTTACACACAGACGCTTTTACACACAGACGCTTTTACACACAGACGCTTTTACACACAGACGCTTTTACACACAGACGCTTTTACACACAGACGCTTTTACATCACGGAGGCTTTTACACACACATGCTTTTACACACAGAAGCTTTGACACACAGCACACAGAAGCTTTGTGCACACAGAAAAAATCGCAATTTTACCCTAGTTTTTGGCGATCGACCCTCATTTCGTGCGAAAGGGTTGCAACGGGAACCCGGAAATCGCAATTTTACCTCAGTTTTTGACGATCGAACTTCATGTCGTGCGAAAGAGTTGCAACGGGAACCCGGAAATCGCAATTTTACCTCAGTTTTTGACGATCGAACCTCATGTCGTGCGAAAGGGTTGCGCGGGACAAGTTGCAAATCGCAATTTTACCTCAGTTTTTGTCGATCGAACCTCGTTTCGTGCGAAAGGGTGCGCGGGAGGACTTGCAAATCGCAATTTCACCGCAGTTTTTGACGATCGAACCTCGTTTCGTGCGAAAGGGTTGCGCGGGAGGACTTGCAAATCGCAATTTTACCGCAGTTTTTGACGATCGAACCTCGTTTCGTGCGAAAGGGTTGCGTTTCGTGCCGTCTCGTTGGCACTGCCCCTGCCCCCGCCTTCAGAGGAGAAATAGAAAAGAAGGAGAGGGCAAGAGGGCAAGAGGGCAAGAGGGCAAGAGGAGAAGATGTGAAGATGTGAAGATGTGAGGATGAGAAGATGTGAAGATGTGAAGATGAGCAGATGTGAAGATGTGAAGATGTGAAGATGTGAAGATGAGCAGATGTGAAGATGAGAAGATGTGAAGATCAGAAGATGTGAAGATCAGAAGATGTGAAGATCAGAAGATGTGAAGATCAGAAGATGTGAAGATGTGAAGATGAGAAGATGTGAAGATGTGAAGATGAGCAGATGTGAAGATGAGCAGATGTGAAGATGAGAAGATGAGATACAGACCCCCACTATTGGAAGAACCCTGCGCTCAGACGCTCTCGGGAAAAACTTAATTCCCCAGATAATATATATATATAATCCCATAAATATCCCTTAAACATATAATCCCATAAATATCCCATAAATATCCCATAAATATCCCATAAATATCCCATAAAATACATTTTTTGATGGGGGTTGGGTACCTTCAGGTGATTGGCGATCCCATACCCCATGGTTACCCAGATCTCCGAACTCGCCCCAGATCCCAGCATGATCCCATGAACCCCAACATGATGCTATGATATTCCATTAAAATCCCTTTTGAAACCTATCAAATCCCATTTAAATCCCATTAAATCCCATTAGATTCCATTAAAATCCCATTAAATCCCAATCAAATTCCATTAAACCCCATTAAATCCCAATTAAATCCAATTTAAATCCTAAACATCCCATGACCCCGGCGCCTTGGCCGCCTTGGCCGCCTTGGCCTTGGCCACCTGCGCGGCCACTTCGCCATGGGCGCGTTCCACCGCGAGGTCCGAAGCCACCTCCGAAAAAAGCTCTGGGACATATGTATGGTTTATAGCTAAAATATGGTTTATAGCTAAACGGAACAAATAGTACTACACTATAGTTGTGTTACTATAGTAAATATATAGTCTACGTCTCAAATAATACTAATCATAGTGTTACTAATAGTAGCTGAATGGCTAATAATCTACTAATAGTAGTATATACTAATAATCATTCCATATATATCACCATAGTTTATAGTGGAGAAATCACCAGTCATATAGAATATAACTATTAATATATATATATATATATGTACTGGTTGGTGGTTTCAACCCCTCAATATATGATATAATGGTGATTTAAGTAACAATCAATATCTAATTCATTATAACTAGATAGGTCACATATTAACTCTAACATACATTCTGGTTGGTGGTTGACCTACCCCTCTGAAAAATATGAGTTCGTCAGTTGGGATGATGACCTTCCCAATATATGGAAAGTCATAAAATTCATGTTCCAAACCACCAACCAGTAATAGTTCAATATGGTTTATAGCTAAACGGAACAAATAGTATTACACTATAGTTATGTTACTATAGTAAATATATGGTATACGTCTCAAATAATACTAATCATATTGTTACTAATAGTAGCTGAATGGCTAAGAATCTACTAATAGTACTATATACTATAGTTGAAATATGCTTTATAGCTAATATTATCTAATGGGCGTTTGATAATGCCTAATAACGGTGATTCATAGTTGTTTAGTGGTTAACAGTGGTTGCTCTGGTGCACAGTAACATATGTTTACTTAATTTGACATAGTTGTTAATTAAGATGAACAATATCTAGTGACATAAATCTAATAACATATATCATATATCCAGTTAATTAACAATATAGATATGATATGAGTAACAATCAGTTTAAATTTATTAAATTGTAACGTTATAAATCAATTTCATATTAATATATTAAACCAATATAACACATATCATTGATATTAACTATAACATATATTAATCTCCACAATACCAATGATGAACCCCATCCCCATCGCACCTGTCGCCTAGGATCCATAGTTGGCCCTGCTCCAAGTGGGCCACCTGCAAGGCCGGGACCCAAAAAAAAACCATCCAGCTATTTGGGCTATCCCATTTATGGAAACCCCCATATAATATATATATATACACGCAATATACATTTAATGAATGTGTCTATATTTTTCATGTGGAATATGTACACATTACACATCTAGGCCATCAAGTGCAAGGTTTCTGCTAAGAAACCTTATGTGGGAAAGTCTTATTCTGATCGTTCGTGGACAGCAATATGAAAATTGTGGCACACTCGTCCGTCGTACGGTTTCACTCATCCAAAGACAACAAAAAAAACCATTTACCATGCAAAACAGATCAAACAGATCAAAATTGCATACGTCCAAAAGATCTACTTGGGAGTGCCTGAAAATGGTACCCATGATGTATTGTAATTGAAAATATGATGAATATGATGAACAACCATGCAATGTTGAGGAGCATATTTTCAAACAAACTCAAATATGGGATTGGGGCGTTGACCATCCACAATGGTCAAGAATGATGACAAAACCCATGATGTCTATTGGTTTCAAAGAAAATCACTTGGACTTGTCCAAGAATTGGGCATCAAATCCATTAAAATCCCATGGCTTATCACCGCTTTCCCTCCAGCGGAGTTCATCCATTTTCTCCCATTCTCCCATGCTAAAAGCCCTCTGGTAAACGTTTACATAGCTATGGAAAATCACCATTTTTAATGGGTAAATCAACTATAAATGGGTCATTTTCAATAGCTATTTTGACATAACCAGAGGGTACATCCCATTCAACAAACCGATGATCATCCAAGACAGCAATCTCTATGGTTGGTGAAAGATCCCATTCCAATCCTACTAATGTGGCTAAAACAATAATAAACCATCCCCAAAATCACCATGAATAGGTGGTATAAACCATTCCTAAATGGTTGGTTTATTATTGCTTTACCCACAGTAGTATAGATATAGTATGGATATTAATGGAATAATATGGGTCAATAGTAGAGAATAATGGATCAAAAAAATATATAATCATGAACGCCAATAATGAATATCAATGGCAATATCCACAATTCCCATTATATATATATACATATATCCCTATGGATCCAAACACTGTCTGAGAAGGTACTTAACCCCCAAAAATCATACCCCAAACACTTCCTAAGAAGATAATTAGATCCATAGGGTGTATCTATATATATATTAAATATGTATATATATATATATATATGTATTAAATATGTATATATATATATATGATCATCCCATTATAATCCCATTCCGATCCTACTGTCCTATTCTTTATCCCATGAGAAATCACCCATTTCCCATCTGCACCTCTGTTTGCCTCCTCGAAGAGCTCTTGCATCGCAGCATCCTTGTTTGTTTGGTGAAAAATCATGGTCATGTCATGGATACTCTATGGTATTTGAATGGACTTCCATGGGATTTGATGGGATTTTAATGGGCGTTTATGGGATTTGATGGGATTTGTTCATGGTTTGTTGATTGAAATTCTAGTAAATGATCCCAAGCAGATCAAGATCTACCCTCCGGTCATCAAACATTGCAAGTGGAAATCCCTCATGTATAAATAATGTTCCTATGAGAAAAAATTCCCTTGATAGAGGAATTTCCATTGCCGTGTTTGATTGCCAAAGGGTATATCAGTGGTTGGTGAAGAATGCTTGCATTATGATCATATGGTTTCTACGCTGTTTGGTTGTATAGTAGCATTTATGCCCATAATCATGAATAGTATAGTGCTGCATTAGAATAACAATTTTTGTGGTTGTATATACAGTATATGTATACATGTATATATATATATATATGTATGTATATATATATATATATTTACTGACCGTCATGACCAAAATCATCGAAATGAAATACCCCACGAAGTCATCCAAATGAAATCAAATATACTAAATGTATTTAAATGTCATGAGTCCCCAAATCTCCAAGAAAATCCCGACCAAATCTGTCCTGCTCTTCTGGAGTCATACCCTCACCGTCCACCGTCACAGTCGGTGCCTTGTGCAGAGTCCAGCTATTGGGGATCCAATCATGGAACCCCCCATATATCTGATATTATCTGGTTATATATATATATATTTCTTTCCATTATATCCCCATATTATGATGAGTGTATTTTCTATATCATAGGACCTTATTCAGCTATTATTCGATGATTAGGTTTTATATGTCTAGATAATATGATGGGCACCCTCATAGCTGGAAAAAATGCTAGAAACAATGGGGAAAAACATAGGAAATATCGAAAAAATGTGTACATAGGTGACAACGCCCTTTTTTCATGGAGGTAAAAAACGCCGGGAAGCCGGAATCTTTCAAAGGGGATTGTCCATTGCCACGTTTGATTACCAGAGGGTTTATCATTATATGAAGTAATATCAATGTATTATTCGGAAGATGGGGATAATTGGGATGTAACAATCTGGGATCATGGGAATTAATGGGCATAGATCGGATAGATCGGATAGCGAGTCATGGCGAGTTGTACATCAATCAATCCCCAAGCCATGTTGCACTCATATCCCCTTGACTGGTGATTCAGCTATATGTATATATACATGTATATATATATATGTATGTATATATATATATTTATTTATCTATTTCTTAATTTATATATATATATATCCATGAGTACTTGTATCACATCATATCCCGACAAGATCCCAAAGAGATGCCAAAAAAAAGGCACTTCTTGGATCACAAAAGTCAAAAAAAAGGATGGGGCCCCCCAGTGAAATGTTTGTTGGTTTATGGGGCCCCATCTAAATATAGTTATTTGCGTATCATACACTATTGATATTATAGTTATAAACCCCTAGTTGGTTTATAAACCCTATATAATATTATAGTTATCATACACTATTATAAATAAGATGTTATTTGCACCAACTGAATGCGATTCCGACCTGGGGCCCTGGGGCCCTGGGGCCCCATCCTGAAACCTGAGATAGCCTGAAAGAAGTCCATATTGTCAATCACCAATGCAGGTCTTAATGGAAACACTGAATGGCCTCTGGCCATAGAAATAGTGGATTGACCCACTAAAAGCATGGTGAATCTGTCCATAGTTTTTTGTATGTTTACCAGGCCGGGTAATTTGAAAATCAAATGACCAGCTGATTTGGAACCAGGGTGAAATTTGGGATGTTGGGGGCAAAGAAGACTCAAAGCTTGCAAGCGTTTTGCCAAGAACTACCCTCAAACCCAAAGCGCACCAACTGTCCACATTTCTTCCAGATGAATTCCACATGTGTGCAGCTAAAATCCCAAGTTGTTGCAGGTCGTTCCCATTTTTCTGGTCAAATCCCAATTTTCCTAGGTCAATGTGGGTCAATCTCCCCAACTTTTCCATGCCAATCTCCCCGAATGGTGTGGATCAGTCCGAAAATGTACCCCGAAATGATCAGGTCATTCCAAGCAGAAAATGATCAGGTCAACCTACCCTCTGGTAATTTAACGTAGCTATTGAAAATGACCATTTATAGTGGATATGCCCATTAAAAATGGTGATTTTCCATAGTTATGTTAGTTTACCAGAGGGTACTTCAGACTAACTTCATAGAAACCCAAACTGCTTTTAAAGTTGGTTTATGCTATCTATTGACGGTAATAATCCCCAATATATTGGGTTCTATAAGCACCGTAATCATCAATTGAATCAAACAACCATCGTCTATCGACCATATCCACATATAATTGTTAACCTATCATGGATAACGTTGATGGGCCATAGGATTAGTTAACTGGTTAAGAACTGGATTATATCCACTAAAAAAAACAGTAATATTCCAGTTACTAACCAGTTGAGCCATTAAAAATACCCCTATCCCTATTCCATCCCATGAAATCCCCGTGAAAATAACCAATCAATCATGGTATAACCTTAAGTTAGCTATCAAATCCCATGAAATCCCCATGTTTCTGGTTTAAAATCACCATGTTCCTATGGTTTTCCTATGGTTTTCCTACATTTTCCCATGGCTCAGGGCCACTAATCCCATGGCCGCGGAGCGACGCGACGCGTCGCGCCTCGCGGTCCGGACGCTCCGGCACGTCGCCAGAGGGCTCCTCGAGCAAGGCCTGAAGCTCCGGCGCAGGATGCGAAAGGGTACATACACAGATCATATACATATGTAATATGTATATACATATTTACATGTGTATATATATATATATTTATGTGTATGTATACATATATATATATACATATGTGTGCGTGTACATACATATATATATATGTATACGCAGAGTATGGATGGACGGGTGGATAGATGGGTAGATAGTTTGATGAATAGATAAATCGATAGAATTATAGAATGATGTAATATGTATGTATATGTATATATATATGTGTATATATCTACAATTATATCATTCTATCGTCATGATATTGGTATAGATTAATGTCATTAATATCAGGATATAGAATGATTAGTCATGATATGGGTTCCACTGCATGGAGTTTCTGACGCCTCGTAGATGTCGCTAGCTTTCCAGTCTTCATCCACCGTGTCGTACCTGAAGCTTTTTCTGTGGCGAAGATGTGGTAAATGTGTTGGTTAAGTGGAGCTTTGCTGAGTCATGAGGGGTACAACCAGTTCTCATCCATTTATAGATGGGATTCTCCATCAAATAAACCATCCATCGATTGGGGTACCCCCATCTTATAGATGGCTTTTCCATCAAATAAACCACCCAGCTATTGGGCTATGCCCATTGGAAAGCCCACAAGTGATCTCATCATCCCAACATGCTTCAAGGCGTGCGCTGGCTGCTACCCGGGAGGAACGCCATCTTGGTAGCATAGATTGGAATATATACACACTATGTGTATCTGGTTGGTGGTTTTAAACATCTTGAAAAATATTAGTCAATGGGAAGGACTATCCCATATATTATGGAAAATTAAAAATGTTTGAAACCACAAACCAGGTATACATATATATATATATTGTAATTATGTGCATGCAGGGATGGACGGAGGGATGGATGGATATATGTATTTACGTATGTACGTATGTATATGTGTGTGTGTGTCTCTGTCTGTCTGTCTGTCTGTCTGTATGTCTGTATGCATGCATGCATGCATGCATGCATGCATGTATGTATGTATGTGTATATACATGTATCTATGCATATGTGTATGTCTGGTTTTCTCTTAAAATTGAGGATATCAATTTGCTGCGAGGACGTGATCTTTTTTCTTTCGACGCCTGGACGCCTTGAAACAGGAACTGAGCCGGGATCCTGGAAAAGATCCAGAGATGTTAAGTAAAACTTTGGATGTTTACATTGCAATCATAAAAATGTGGGAATTGTTCACCATTTAAAATGCTGGATTAATCATGACTAATCAATGAGAATTGCACTTTTTACTAGCAGAAAGTGGCGATTTGACTCCAATAAATGCCTTTCGCCTTTCACCAAGAAATATGAGGATTTGTTGTCAGAACATATTGAGATGGAAGTATGATGTCCTGGCAGTTGTGTCCCTGGCACAGCTAATTGACCAATATCATCCCCAAGTAACAACTTCAACTGATATGCAGGGTTATTCCATTTTCATCCATTTTCCCTCAACATCAGGATCATCACATTTAAGTATTCGTCACTAACAATTACATTTACTATCCACTGTTTTCATAGCTGGGGAGGGAACCCAAGAGGCGAAGGATCATCGGTGATTCAGCAACCAATCGATGAGGTTATCTACCCCGCTGACATGGGTTGTTCATGCAAAAAAAACTGGGGTACATTCCCATGGTACACCTCTGCTGGGTTGAGCTACCCATCCTACAGTCACCTGGGTCGTCCCATGAATGACTTGCCAGTTCTCATGGTGTTTTTCAGGATCCACATGGCGGGCTAGCCATGATGCCATGGGCCGACGCCATCACTGATCCTCTTCACTGGGTGAACCTTGGTCCCCAAAGTCGTCCCGCCATCCCACCATCCCAAAAATGCAGTTCTGACCCCCTGGATATATGGAAAATTAACCATTTATAGATGATGGACATATGGATTTTACCATGATTTTACCTCTTAAACATAGTTCTTTTCCACTTCGCAAACCGTTAAATAACCAGAGGCTACCCCCGGAAAACTGGCCCCCGGCTGTTCATGTCCTCTGACGAGATCAAATCATCCTCGAAAGGGTGATGGAACTATGAAGAGCTACAGCAAGAAAATGACCCTCTGTAACCATAGGAAAACCATAGGAAAACCATAGGAAAATGAAGGTTTACCCTCTGGTAAAATACAAAAAACTATGGGAAAAAAATAACCATGCTATTCATGGAGACATCAACATGTTATTTTTTCTATGGCCATGTTCAATAGCGAACTGTTAAATTACCAGAAAATTAGATCATGGGCTACATGGTGACATGAAAAAAACCATCTGCCCATGAACATGCTACCAGATTACCATCTGCCCGTGATTTTTTTTGCCCAGACTACATTGTTACATGAAGAATCGTGAAAACAAACATGGATTGATACATTCACAAATTACCAGGCATAGCGAGGATAACCTTTTTTCTTGATGATGGTTCTAGCCACAGTTGGCTGGAAAATTCATCGGAAACAGTGGCGTATTTGAACGTATTGATAATACGACTTCAAAAGATTTAGTCACCCCCCAGAAACCATGGTTTAGTAGGGGGTTTATACTTTATACATTATTGGGACCATTGAGAGGCTGTTCAATATTAGGGAGAAAGAATTACATTGGATCGTACAACCATTTCACCAACAAAATAAGGAAATATGACACAAGAATAGGTTAGAGGGTACAAAAATACAAAAAATAGGCCGAGAATGGATGATGTCAACACAGGATTATCCTCTGGTGATTTCACATCGCGGAAAATCCACCCATTTTATAGCTAGGTAAATCTAGGAACTGGCCATGGCCATGGCTTTCCAGTTCGCTGGCCTCGGTTCATTGAGATGACCACGCCTCGTCGAAATTCGGGAATTCAAAGTCTCCGAAGACGTTCTCCATGAAGTGCACCTCAGCGCCCAACCAAAGAACCATGAAGAACTCGTGGTTCATTTCTTGTTTTTGGACTCCCTGGTTCCCCAAAGAGAAAGTCACAATATAGACATGCATACATATATTATGTGTATATATAATTATATATCTATATGTATAATTATGTATATATATATATATAATTATATATATATGTGTATAATTATGTATATATATATAATTATGTATATATATATATATATAATTATATATAATTATATAATTTATATACTATTTAGGAATACAATGGAATACATTCCATATATACCGACGTGCAAAAACTGCGACCCCGGACATCCGTCGCAGCCATGGTGTGCCGCGTCTTATTGGCGCGGAGGATTTCTTTGACCTCAGCCCTCCCAGGGGGGCAGCCATGTTTCAAAGATGGCAATATCCCTGGGAAAATATTGGAAAATATGGGAAAATATGGGAACATATGGGAAAATGTGGTTTCAAAGATGGCGAAAATATGGGAAAATGAATGGGAAACTGTGGATTTGTTGTATATCATCAAAGATGTTGAAGGTTGAACTGAAACATGTTTTCTGTGATTTCGACCAAAGATATGGAAGATGTCGTCGTTTTAATAACGGGTCAGAATGGGATAATATAAAATTACGGGACATGGAAAGTTTTGAGATATCTTAACCCACATGGAAAAACCCAATGGGGACATGGTGGAAGTAGTGTCCCATCATGTCCTATCCACGTTTGGGAGGAGATTGTTTCCCAAGTCTCAAGTATCAGTTCAAATGATAGATAAAGGGAACAACAATTTTGGGGGGTCTGTCATTGCTGAATAGTTTCTGGATGTTTTTCGCATTTTCTTAATCTCATAACTCTCAAGCACTACTTTCCAGTTAGTTAGTATAGGAAACACACATTTCGGAAAATCATACTTTGCAGGCGTGAAACATACTGCCCAATTTCCGAAGCAATTTCCTGGTTCTTTTCCCAAACATCCCACAAAATCCCTATGTCCTGGTGATTTTTGTACCTTGATACCCCAAATATGATGCAGCTTGCGTCCAGGCCGCCCATGGGAAGTTGGCAAGGTCCAACCTCGGCACAACTGTATCACCGTTATCACCACCCCCCTAGTCTCTAGGGTGTATCAACCAAACCCAAAACTTGGAGAAAAAAACAGCAAAAACTTGGTTAAGTGTTTGTGGAGGATATAACGAACGAGTTCATCGGGTTTATGTGGGTTCCATCAGAACAAGGCGGTGGAGAAACTGCGAAACTGTCGTCGCTTTCTCGTTTGGCCAAACAACATCAGATTGCCAGATTGCCCATCGGAGACCTGGCCTTTTTACTGAAAATCCACAAATTGAAGGGGCCATGGTCCACTATCCTTCACCAGTCGGTTTGCCAGAATCATGAAATCATCATAAAGTCGCATGAAAATCCTCCATGTGTAGTAAAAAAAACACCAAAGCGAAAAATATACATTTTGATTATTACTATGGGATGATCCATCAACAGCTCATATTAACATCTGGATCTCAAACATTCTGATTAGTAGATTGTTGATAATAATAATAATAAATGATAATTCCACTATGTAGTGAGAATAATCCATAATAAATCCAATCTCTTATCACATATCTTCTGTTTAACAGTAGTCTTATAATAACCCAATAATAATCCAGTAATAATTCATTATTATCACATATCTTCTCTTATTCTCATATTATATCTGATATTGGATTTATTGTGAATGTTAAACACTATCCATATTATGTTATATCTGATATTGGATTATGATTAAACACTGGCTGGTGGTTTCAACGCCTCTGAAAAATATTAGTCAGTTGGGATGATGACATTCCCTATATATATATGTATGGAAAGTCATAAAATTCATGTTCCAAACCACCAACCAGTATGTATATATAATTATATATAAATCCCATAAATTCATGATAAATCCAATAACTCTATATCAGCTATAACTCTATAACATGATAAATCCAGATAAACATGATATGATTATATATATATATACATCACTACTGTGAATGTTAAACACTGGATAACATGATTAAATCCAATCCAGTGAATTTAATAGTGATTATGATTAAATAGTGATTAAACACTGTGTCCCCCACGGCATGGCTTCCTCGGAGCGGCTGGGCATCCAGATCTTCACCTCGCAAGATTCATCGGATCCATAGGAAAAACCATAGGAAAACCATAGGAAAACCATAGGAAAATTGAGGTTTACCAAAAGTTGGGATGAAAAATATGAGTTCGTCAGTTCGAATAACATTCCAAATACATTGAAAAGTTTTCAGTCATGTTCCAAACCACCAGCTCTAGATTTCTGATTTCGGAATTTCAATGTGATGTTTACCGTGAAAAATGGGTGCCCAGGAAGACATGGAGAAGGATTTTCCAGTGAAAATCACCAGCAGAAAGCGGCGCCATGACCAAGGATGGTTTTCCTAAGTCATAGGGGTCCAAAAAAGCATCCATTTATAGATGGATGTTAGATGGATTTTCCCATCAAAATAAACCATCCATTGAGTTTGTTGGGCTACCCCGATGACTATGGAAACCCCCATGACTATGGATATGGATAGAGAATATAACATCAGATAACCTACCCTCCGGTCAACATGGCGATGTGAAATCCCTAGGAATCCCTAGGGTCTAGCCACAGGTCGCATCAGGTCGCTGACGTCTGACCATAGATTTCTGGGGTAGATTTCTGACCCCCCCAAAAAAAACTGAGGAATTACTAAAAATTGATACCCTCCCTGTTGGTCACTGGGGGTTTATGTAAAAAATCCTGAATCAGAAAATCAGATGCATCTTACTATTTCAAGTGTGCAAAAGACATATTCAACAGTATACCAATGGAGCCACCACTGTAGATCATTGCTAGTAACCATCCAATTTGGAGCCAGCAAATGACAATATCCGCAATGCCCAATGGCTGGGTCAGATGCAAAAATCATGGATGGATCGGATCTGTGTGCACTTTCCTCGAGAGTACTGGGAGAACCCTCCATGATTTAAGTTCTGCTGCAAATTTCTTGGAGTGAAAGCTATAAAACATATATGTGGTGGTGTCCTAAAATGCTGGGTACCCCTAAATCATCCAAATTTCAATCGGTTTTTTCCGCATTTTGGGGTACCCCCACTTTAGGAAACTCCCATATCAGAGGGATCTCACCGATAAACAAGTTGCTGTTTGGTCCTTCGGGCGATGTGCAAAAGGATGATTTGGGGGTACCCCCATGACTTAGAAAACCTAGAAATAGCCATTATTTACAGAAAAATTACCCTCTGGTAATTTAACATAGCTATTGAAAATGACCATTTATAGTGGATTTTCCCATTGAAAATGGTGGTTTTCCATAGTTATGTTAAATTACCAGAGGGTAGGATAAACCATTGTAAAACTGGGGGTACCCCGGTACCCTAATGGTCTGTCGCTATGTCGGTTCTGTGGCACCCTGCAGTGGTGTCAATGCCACTGGTTGCCAGACCTGAGCGAGTTACGTTGAACTGTGAACGACGCACCAAAAAAAAACTAACAGAGATTGAACCAAACTAATGATAATGATAAAATAAATAATAGAAATACTAATAGTATATAATAATACTGATGATGATGATTATTATTATTATTATGATGATGATGACGATGATTATGATGATGATGATGATGACGATGACGATAATGATAATGATAATGATAATGATAGTAATCACCATCATCATCAACAACAATCTAGCTAGTTTGCACGAAACTAATTCACATTTTCATATCAAGCATTTAATATATATATATATAGTTAATATAGCTCAATTTACCCTCAAAGAGAATGGCTATCATACCCCATTTCACCCCTTGGATGTGCAGGACCAGTCATGGTGAGTTCATTCAGCTATAAATGGTATGATTATGTTGACCTGAGTAAATCAGATACACTCTGTAAATCTGACTAAACAATATATATATATGTATAAACAAAATGAAACTAGGATAACTATATAGATATATAGTTCATCCATTAGTCCATCCACTTAGTGTCAAGATATACATGTATGTATATATATATACATACATATATAAACAATATGTTCATAACTGTTCACCACTTACGATTGCATGGCTGACTTTCGTATTTATCAGTGGCCTGTCAAAAAAGGGATGCACATAAATCACATGATGAAATCCTACCGGTTTCAATCCATGTGAGATATAAATCATAATTGGATAGAAGTGGATAACTGGTTGGTGGTTGACCTACCCCTCTGAAAAATATGAAAGTCAGTTGGGACGATGACATTCCCAATATAAGGAAAGTCATAAAATTCATGTTCCAAACCACCAACCAGCATTATATATATATATATATATACAGATGATCATCCCATTATAATCTCATTCCGATCCTACTATCCTGCTCTTTATCCCATGAGAAATCACCCATTTCCCATCTGCACCTTCAACTGGATTATGATATAATTGGATTATGATACTATAATACAGTTTGCCATCCAAGTGATACGAGTATATAGTTGGTTTGACTACAATTTTAATGAAGACACACACGTTGGCCATCCAAAGATCGTCCCGAAAATAGCAGAAAAACTCCAGAAAAATCCCTGGATGGCGATTGAAAATTGCAGCACCAAAAGGATACCCGGCCTGGTAAACATACAAAAAGCTATTGAAATTTGCCATTGAAATAGTTGAATGACCCATAAACAAGGGTGTCCACAGTTTTTTCTAAACGTTTACCGGAGGGTAAACCTCCATTTTCCTATGGTTTTCCTATGATTTTCCCATGGTTTTCGCGACCACATCCCCTGGGATTTCGCACACAGATCACGCGGATGTGTGGCGATGGCATTCACCACGTAATGATCCCCTGGCAGGAAGAATTTTTTGGGTAACTCTTCACGTCACGTTTTCATCGAATTAAACGAAGGTTTGTAGCTGGGGAAATTGGAAATCGTCGAATTAAATGGTCAAACAAATCTAGTGGTAGTATATACATATATATACCTTCTGTATCTGTGCGTGTACATGCACATATACATATAATACATTATAATACATCCTGGTTCAAGCATGTTTTAGAAGTTGGGATTCGAACATGGTCCGGTTCTAAGAAATCCTGGTTGAAATCTGATAATTATCCGCACAAGCACGGCTAGTACTTGGGTAAGTCCACAACAAAACAGAACTGGGATACATGTGTCTACATTATGTGCACATATATATATATATACACACACATATTTACATGATGGTGTCTGAAAAGAGGATACTGGGAATTTCTGGGCAGTGGTTTCCAGTTCGCAAACTCCTGGAGGCTACCCCACAAACAACAGGGCACGTGCCCTCCAATTGAAAAGATCCAATAAACCAGGGCTTCATTTTGGTGGGTACCCTCTGGTTATGTCACAGTTTGCTATTGTTAAAATGGTGATTTATCCATAGAAATAGTGAGTTTTCCCATTAAACATGGTGATTTTACCCGTAGTTTATTGGACTCTTGGGCGGGATGGGATTCGCCCACAAATTTTCGTGGTTGTTGGTGGTGAGTTCACTGGTCTGTGGTCAATGGCCATTTCAGGATCCTAAAATGTAGGTGCCTACCATATGCAAGGCCTATTTTTTAGGGCTATGTAAGGGAATATACACCCAAAATATGGCCTTGTGTGGTACAGTACCTCCATTTTAGGATCCTGGAATTCCCAGGAAGATGTGGTAACTGTCCCAGTTCGGAACAGCACCTTTTATTAATCGTCACACTTTAAGCAATCTTGTTTGCTGGCTCAATATATCTCAGTAAACTAACGTAGCGACCGTAATCCAGGGTTTTTCCGTTAAAAATCATCTACACATGGTGGACTCTCGTCTCGAGCACGAAGCTTTTTTTTGAGTTGGACGGTGGTCGCCCTCTCGTGGGCTCTCTGTATGTATGTTGGTTTACTGGAGGGTAGATATTGGTGTTTGATGACTGATGATATTACCATCTGGTTGTGACTAACATAGCTGGAAAATCCCAAGCATTTTTATGGAGGTTTAGTTCGCTGGGAAAACATCAAGATGACTAGTGCTTTCAAAATATGAGTTGATGATATGATATTGTTCAAAAGATTCAAAAGATACCTAACCATAATATAGTAATCATTAGCCATTGATATATAATACCTAATTAACCATTGATGTTATGGACAATGATTATATTATAATCAGTTGATTTCTGGGAGATCCCGTTGCGGCGGAAACCATCCATCCCAGCCATGGGCGCTGGGAGGGCTTCTTCCAATTTGAATGGAAATCACAGACCTTAGTAATATATAATATCTAATCTACATGTATATGTATATCTATATATATATATATTAATCATGTATATCTATGTATATATATATACATATGTATATACATATATATATATACATATATATATATGTGTGTGTTCACATATCTAGTTCGAATGGAACACACTTTTTCAGAACATCACATCAAAACGTGGAAATGTCCAGCTTCCCCTCTTCCCCTTTTTGGACAACGCTCGTTCGCTCAGTCTGCGAATGTTTACCCCCTCGCTGGGGGCCAACCACGGCGATCCTGCTGGGATTCAAGCCCTGCAATCTGACAGATTTCACCAGATTCTGACAGTCTGATATATGTATAATTGCACATGTGGGGATGGGTCAAAACCCTGGTACCTAGTGAACCCCAAAATAGCTGGTAAATGGATGTTCATCCCACTAAAAATGTATCTATAGGTATTGATCCATACCCATGTAGCATGTGATACATTATAAATATAAATATATATATATGTATACATATTATACATAATAGTGCTAACATCGGATTAATCAACCCCCCTATAGGTCAGGGTATACCTTGCAAGGTCTTTCCTGAATCCTCCCTAAATAAACGGACCCTGAACCATAAAATTTGGGATATGAAAACTATCGGCTGAAAGTGGAGGACATTGGGAATGGGCAAATCCAAAGAAAAAACATTAGGGACATGGGGGTTGATTAATAAGGGGCAAACCCTGATTATTATTAATGGGGGGCATGGGCTCATGGGGGGTACCCTTTGGGAGCTATCCAAACTGATGATTTCAGTATCAAGAATTTAATTAGAAATCGATCATTTGGGGAATTGTTTTTTCAAATTTTCAATGATCAGCAGTGATGGGTTCTGGTGTTCACGCGGTTTCAACTTAAATATAACAAAAGGAAACCAAAAGGAAACCAATTGAAACTTTTGGTTAAAAAAAATGGATTTCAGCAAAGGGGGTTGATTAATCATGTCCCAGCCAAACGGTTTATTAATCCTGGGGGACCTGTTTTTAAATTACATTTTTTTTTGGCAGAGGGGGTCGATTAATACCGCGGGGTTTATTAATCCTAACTTGACATTATATATATAATACATGTATATATATATACATATATACATATATTATACATTATATATAATACATGTACATAGAACAATTGGATTAATTTCATAACTCCGACGACAAGGCAGAGCAGGCTAAAAGGTCTCGCATGCTGCCATGGGTGAAACTAAAAACCAAGAACCCAAAAAGCGGGTTTCAGTGACAGATAGGGACGTTCAAACAAAAAAAACATCCGGACTTCACTCAAATCCCCTGGTTTTGCCATGAAATACATCCAACATGTCTAAAACAACCTTTGGAACATTCCCCAAAAAAAAAGTACAAAAAGTACACCCGCCAGTCGCCGCCACTGGGTTTCTATATGGCTTTTCGGCCGGTTCTCAGGCGCTGCCTACGGTCCGCTCATCGCGAAATGCATTGAATTCATCGCGTTCGGTGGATCCCTGGGATCCCATTGGCCTCATGGCGAGGTCTAAGGTTGGCGCGGGCTTCGAGTTGAAACGGAAAGCAATATATACATAGCATATATATATATTTATATAGCTATAATATAGCTAGATATATAGCTAGATATATGAGTCAATATGTAAGTATAAGATACTATAAGCTGGTTAAAAACAGGAACCAACCGAAAAAGCATGAAAAAGCTATATTCTGGCTTTTCAAGAGCCTAGTAAGCAACCAGCAGTGGTATAACCAAAGCTTCCCTTGGCCAAGAGGCATAAAATAGACACACTGCATCATCTGATCCTGGGTGCTTGCAAATCGGCTTCGATGTGGAATCAAAAATGGTGATATCATGGGAATATTCATGGGAATATCAGCAGTTCCTGGGTTTTAATAGGAAATCTTATGGTCTTATCGTACTTATACCAAGTATTATAGGCGTTTAATGAGACTGAATGGGACATGGGATTTAATGTGGATGGCATTTAACCAGGCAAGGTGGTTTATAACTATAGGTTTACAACCTGGTTGGTGGTTTCAACCCCTCTGAAGAATATGAAAGTCAGTTGGGATGATGACATTCCCAATATATGAAAAAATAAAAAAAATGTTCCAAACCACTAGGTTTACAACATGGTTGATGATAGATATATCTATAGTTAGATGGAACAACCAACTCATAGCAAGGCGGGGTCCTTGTATCCCTTTCCATGCAAAATGACAACGTCCAAACATCTCCAAGAGATGAGTTTCCCACCGAAGTCCATGGAATTTGCCAAACTCAATCGCTGAAATGGTTGGAATATATGGTTAAATCAGTTACCCTCTGGTTATTTAACATAGCCATGGTATAGATGGCCCATAGAAATAGATGGTTTACCGAACTTAATAATGGTGGTTTTCCAGTTTTCCATAACCAGATGGTAAATCCTCAATTTCTGCTTGAACTCCCCAGTGAAGTCCCCTACCCTCTGGTAATTTGTCAAATAGCTATTGAAAATGGCCCAGTCGAAATAGTGGATTTTCCCATTGATAGCATGGTGGATCTTTCCAGTTCGTTATGTAAACGTTTACCAGGCCGGGTGAACCTCCATTTTCCTATGGTTTTCCCATGGTTTTCCTATGGTATTCCCCAGTGAAGTCCCCTATTTTTGCTGACTTCCTCCAGCCCAGGCTCTCGTTCCGATTTACTGAGGCCATTCCCTCCCTGTTTCGTGGTCTCGGGCATGAATGGCGGAGACAGGAAGTCCTAAGGTTGGCGATGATCGCTGGGCGAACACGTAAAAAGGCAAACTATACAGATCTACACAGCGCCATATCGTGAATTTATATAATATATATATATATCTAATGGGATACCATATATTACAGTATATTATATTAGGGTGTTACTGGGATATATCTGTAGATTATCAGTAGATATAAGATATGCATTGTCATCAGAATATGATATGTATATATATGGGAATGATCTAGGATTAATGGCTGGATATAATTATATACAATTATAATCTATATTGGATATGGATATATGTATCCGTATGAATTACATTCATATTCATTGGGAAATCATAGGGTACATTAAATAATAGGGAATATATATATATATATGGGTAAATTATGGTAAATTATAGTATTTCACTAACCTGAATTGTAAGGCCATTTGGGGATGATTTCCCTAACATAAACCATGATTCCAGGGCTCGGTCGCACAGGGCTCGGTCGCGATGAAATTTACCGAGATACTATTTAAAAAATATTATAATCCATATATCATACTATATTATTATATACCATAATATATATATATATATCAGGATACTGTTAAATCACGTTAAATCAAGATGGAGAAATCTTCAACCCCAGGACGATCTGCCTTGGGGTCATGGGATGAAGGCCTAAACAATGGCTATGTTCAGGGTCGAACTCTTAATTTACCAGAGGGTCTAGAATGGGATTTAACAGAGGGGATATCTATGGTATATTCGGAATAATTGGGAATAATACTCCCAACTGAATATAGATATTCCCAATATGATTAGTCAGTTTCAGGTCGAACTCTTAATTGACCAGAGGGTATATAATGGGATATAATAGGGATAGATTCGGGATATCATATCGATAGGATGGGATATCGAAAACTAACAATGTTAGATATGTATTATAATATGTATATATATAGCAACGCCCCAAGAAAAATGGAAACGCAATTAACAACTGATTTGGAAGTTTTTTTACTCTCCTATCTTTTAAGGGATTACTATATATATATAGATATTCTACTGTACATACAATCATATATCATATAGAAGTTTATCTATTGAATTCTATATTATATGTTTATGTTTATCTATTGACAATTGACCCATCAGTCTTTTTGTCTTTCTGATCTATTTATCTGTTCTAGTCACAATCCGATTTAATTCTATCCTGTCATTTTCCCAACAGAAATAGTCACTGGTTGCTGGTTTCAGCCCCTGAAACATCATCAGAAATATGAATGCGCTCAACCCAATAATAAACATTAATAAACCGTCACTTGGAGGACGGTTTATACATGCTTATATCACCCATGTCTAGTTCATTCAGATGGGTTGTTCAGTTTACCCCCAGCGGCACGGTGCGAATAGCTAACTCCAACCCAGGATGGAATTCGTTGCTACTCAAATGCTACCCCAACTCACGGAATTTCTGAAGAATTACAGGAAAATCCCTCTTGTTTAATGGTAAAATCTATGGTTTCCGGTTAAGATCTTCCCAACAAAACCGATCCAATGACTCAATGACAAAAAAAAACAATGATCAACAGCCGCAACATTGGGTAGTCGGTAGTTGTCAGCAACAGACAGTTATCCAGGTCGGGGCGAGGTGGGATTCACCCAATGGGATAGTCCTGGATTGTCTGCAGATTTGCATAATGGGATCTGATGGTTGACCTACCCCTCTGAAAAATATGAGTCAGCTGAGATTATTACTCCCAACTGAATGGAAAGTCATAAAAGCCATGCTCCAAACCACCAACTAGGGATAATATGAATGGATTTACCAAGGTTTACCATGCTTTGGAGTATGCCATGGACAAACCCAAGTACTATGGATCGAATTCCGTAAAAGTCCTCTGACGCAATGAGTCATGGAAAAAATGGTTGTATCTTTTCAAGGGCTACTATGAAGTACTATGATCAAAAAAACACAAGCAAAGAAACCATCATCTTGGATGTGCTTAAGAACCCCCAAACAAGAATGTTTAAAAAAACATGCCATACATGTGTATATATATATATATTATTATTATTATATTATATTTATATTGTATATATGATAAAAATATATTATATTTCATTTATATTATATTATATTATACTATATCATATGTTGTTACATTACAGTATATTATACTATATCACATTATATCATATTATTATATATTATATCATATTACTTTATATTATATATATCATATACATATATTATGTATATGATATATATATATATGTATATATCGATTCCCTGTTCATAGTGGATGACAAAGAAATCCCGGTCAGAAACGCGTGGCCCGGCGAGGCACCGCTGTCCATTTGTCCGAAAGGTTCTCGGTTGGCAATGGCAATGCGTAGTCCACTTCATCCTGGTACAAAAATCACTACATGGGTGTGTCTGAAAATAGTGTACCCCTAAACCCAATGGTTTTGCTGATCATTATCCCTATTAAATGGCTATTTCATTGGGAATATACCCTATTTTCAGACAAACCCACATAGATCACCGAAGCATCTAAAACTTGGAGGATTGCACCCGCAGAAATGGTGATTTAAGATGATTTCAGGGAGGAAAATTGAAAAAAATGGTAGAATTTAGCCCAAAAAAGATGATGTTGCAAAGAAAAAATCGTGGATTTAGTGAACAGTTCACACCCACGCAAGCATTGGTAAATAGCCTGAAAAACTAGATTAAATTGGCGGCAAAACCATATCAAAATGTTGGGAGTTAGCCAACAAAAATGTAGACCGTATGGGTGATAAATAAGTGAATCAAAGATATGATGGACCAATTTGAAGAGATTTCACCCACAAAATTCTAGTCATATATCACCACATAGTTTTTTGCGGAAGAGAGGGTGTGCGGCAACAATTATTAGTGCCCTGGGAATAGGATGACACTTTCTAAACCTTAGGGCTTAACTTTGATTTGAACGTCATGGTCGCCAAGAGCTATTTTTCACTCAAACATCCCAGCCGCTCAGTCTGAGTATTCAGCCGCTCAGTCTTTGGGGTAAGTAATTTTGACTCGCAGTCATGTGATATCCGATGTGATGTCCTAAACCCCCTGAAACCCGGCGCCATTGGGCCATGGCCATCCCAAATACAAAGGTAAAAGCACCTATTTCACCCACGAACGTGCCCATCATTTGCCTGTAGGTTGGAGCAGCCCTGTCTATGGTGATTCTAACTAGTAGTATTTAAGTTTGATGGGGGTTATAACTATAGGTAGATGAGGTTACATTCTAGTATAACTAGAATTAGAACTATAGTAATACTATAGTGGTTCCATTATAAGTATAGTATACTATAGGTCTAATTATATTATAGTATAGTATAGTAATTATACTACTATAGTATACTATACCATACTATAGTTATACTACAAATAGATGACCACCACCCGGTAGCCCCACGGGCCCACGTCCCCATCCTGTGGTGTGGGACGCTTTTCATGGCGATGATGGTAGAAGGCGCAAAGCTTTTGCCTGGGACAGACCTGGCGGCGCTTTTCAACGTAACGAGAGACCGGGCGGAAGTGAACAGACTTAACGGGATATAATATGAATGGGACAATAACATGGTTACCATATATATATATACATACATACACTGTATATATATATACCAGGATATGTTTACCATACATTTTGTCATAACTTCCGTACTTTACCGTATGTTTTACCATGTATATATATATATATTATGGCTATGGGTCAAAACCCTGTACTCCTGGTGAACCTCAAAATAGGTGGTAAATCGATGTTCATCCCACAAAAATTGATAGTAACAGGTTTTGACCTACCCCATATGTAGAGCTATTACCATTATTATTGCTGTGATTCATGGGAGATACTAGTACTTTTACTATTAGTGGAATTATACTGAGATATTACTCACTAATGGTATGTACGTATATATATACATATATTAATGGATTGTAAAACTATTCATAGGATATAATATATAGATATATTATATAACTATTAATGGTGATTAATGTGAGATTACTGTTACGTATTACTCTTACTCTTACTATGATTATTTATTGGGATAGCTACTAATGGTATCTTAAGATCTACTAACTAATGGGATAACTAGTAACTAATGGGATGAACGGGATAACTGTTAACTGGCAAATTGATATTTCACGGGATAACTGTTGAAAGTATCCCTTCCATTCATATGAAGCACCCACACTTAGTAAAAACTAGGGGATGATTAATCACATAGGGACCATGCAATGGGGAGTTACCCTCTGGTAAACGTTTACATAGCTATGGAAAATAACCATCTTTAATAGGTATAAATCCACTATACATGGGCCATGTTCAATAGCTATGTAACAGTCATTACCAGAGGGTAATATCAGGGGGATGGGATGAGGTGGTCACCAAAAAATCGATGGACCGTGAGTCGGTTCTCGCTTCTAGAAGCCCGAAGCCACAGATTGAATGACTAGTTTAACACAAACAAACAAACAAACAAACAAAACAAACACACAAAAACCGTATTAAACATGTATTGGACATGTATCTCCCATGTTTGAAAGCCATTCATTGATATCCCATGTCAGTTAAGATTTGGCTGTGCAGGAATTGAAGTCTCTCACTTGCGATGTTTCGTTCAAGGCAAAGCCAAAGGTGTAGACTAAACTGTTTGAACCTGCTATTGAACATTGCCATTGAACATACTGTGGATGGAAGAAATCCTGCACCACCTTGGATGGTTGAAACCCTATAAATGGATGTTTACCACCTATCAGCTGGTGCAGGATTTCTTCCATCCACAGTAGCTATTGAAAATTTCACATAGCTCTTGATGGCCATTGACTTCGATGATTTACCTATCAAAAAATGGTGGAGTTTCGCAACATGCCTGCCCTAGCCGCCCGTTTTCGCCCTCCCTCGCCTTCCCACGAACGTCTCGACAAATCACGGTCTTGAAATAGTGAGGATGATACAACTGCTCCTGATTTTTTTTCACTGCTTAAAGGCCCCTAAAGAGAAAGGAAGGTGTAACAACAAAAACGTTCAGCAAGGAAGCCCCAAAAGGCTGCAAGGATAAAGAAAAATTCAAAAAATGTGAACAGTCTTCCAAATCGTTTTTGAGTTTTTAATATGCGTTCAAAACCCTCTGTCGTCGTATCAAATACTAGTCGGTTGATATGTAAGGGATTGTGATAATCCCCAATATTGTTGGGTGGTAAAATCCCCTAGAATCATCAACCAACAAGGTTTTGAGCACTGCTCAAGTGGGTAAGAAGTGAAGATTCTGCGCAGATTTCCATGGAACACTCAGACTGGATCAAACCAGGACCGCCTTCATCTTCCAACTTGTAGTGAAATGATGGTTTCTGGACTCAATAATCCCACTATTCTTGGATATCAACCATTACTGGTTGGTGGCTTTAACCATCTTGAAAAATATGAGTTCGTCAATGGGAAGGATGGTCCCTTTTTTATTGTGGAAAATAAAAATCATGTTCCAAACCACCAAGCAGTGATTATATATATATATCCATCTAAATATCATGATAATTGATAGACGGTCCGATATATTATATATTATAATGGGATATAACCATTATTTTAATCATCTTAGAATGGCATCCCTGGGATCCCTGGGATTTCCCATCCTTGGCGCCGTGGGAGTATGGGCATCGAAGGCCCAGAGGGCATCGCTGTGAGTATTCGGCGCCGGTATCCTTCTTGGACCAATAGGGGCAAAGCCTGCCACGCCCCGGCCGTGTTTCGCGCGGCGTGTGAAACCAACGTCTCAACAAAGGGCCAGAAATATGGAGCTACAGTGAGGAGGTTTTGTGACCAAATCTAGAATGAGCAAAATTCACATATCACCCCCTATTTCATCCCATAAGTGGGGACAGTCCATGAATCTAACTGGGGTTCTCACCCATTTACGAAAAAATAAAGTGAGTCCATTGTTATCCCACTATACCATAAAAATATTCCATTAACTATAGATATATCTATCATACACCATAGTTAGGAAATAGTTATTATGATATTCCATAAAATTATTCCATTAACTGTCTATGGAATATATTAACTATAGATATATCTATCATTAATATATATATATATTAACTATAGATATATCTATCAGTAATATATATATATAAACTATAGATATATCTACCATTAATATATTTATCATATTAACTATAGATAAATATAGTATATATATATAAATAGATTATCTATTTAGTTAGGGTTTCTTTTGACCCATTTACGAAATGGATCCCGCACCCAGCCTGGCTCCATAGCCAATGCTTGGTGGACGGCGTGCATCCTGATAGTTGTGCCCATACACACCTCGACTTTGCGGATGATTTTCAGAAAAATGTCCATCTCGGAGTGGGGAAACTCTCATATACAATAGTTATACATATATACATATATATATATGTATATCTGTATATGTATATGTATGTATATATCGTATTATTATATATCATATTATATCATATCATATTATATTATATTATATTATATATGTATACAAGTGTATATATGTGTATATATGTATATGTGTATATGTATATGTATGTATATATCATATTATTATATATCATATTATATCATATCATATCATATCATATTATATTATATTATATATGTATACAAGTGTATATATGTGTATATATGTATATGTGTATATGTATATGTATGTATATATCATATTATTATATATCATATTATATCATATCATATCATATTATATTATATTGTATTATATTATATTATATATGTATACAAGTGTATATATGTGTATATATGTATATGTGTATATGTATATGTATGTATATATTATATTATTTTATATCATATTATATCATATCATATCATATTATATTATATTATATATGTATACAAGTGTATATATGTGTATATATGTATATGTGTATATGTATATGTATGTATATATTATATTATTATATATCATATTATATCATATCATATTATATTATATTATATATGTATACAAGTGTATATATGTGTACATATGTATATGTGTATATGTATATGTATGTATATATTATATTATTATATATCATATTATATCATATCATATTATATTATATTATATATGTATACAAGTGTATATATGTGTATATATGTATATGTGTATATGTATATGTATGTATATATTATATTATTTTATATCATATTATATCATATCATATCATATTATATTATATTATATATGTATACAAGTGTATATATGTGTATATATGTATATGTGTATATGTATATGTATGTATATATTATATTATTATATATCATATTATATCATATCATATTATATTATATTATATTATATATATATGTATACAAGTGTATATATGTGTATATATGTATATGTGTATATGTATATGTATGTATATATTATATTATTATATATCATATTATATCATATCATATTATATTATATTATATTATATATGTATACAAGTGTATATATGTGTATATATGTATATGTGTATATGTATATGTATGTATATATTATATTATTATATATCATATTATATCATATCATATCATATTATATTATATTATATATGTATACAAGTGTATATATGTGTATATATGTATATGTGTATATGTATATGTATGTATATATTATATTATTATATATCATATTATATCATATCATATTATATTATATTATATTATATCATATATGTATACAAGTGTATATATGTGTATATATGTATATGTGTATATGTATATGTATGTATATATTATATTATTATATATCATATTATATCATATCATATCATATCATATTATATTATATTATATATGTATACAAGTGTATATATGTGTATATATGTATATGTGTATATGTATATGTATGTATATATTATATTATTATATATCATATTATATCATATCATATTATATTATATTATATTATATATGTATACAAGTGTATATATGTGTATATATGTATATGTGTATATGTATATGTATGTATATATTTTATTATTATATATCATATTATATCAAATCATATTATATTATATTATATTATATATGTATACAAGTGTATATATGTGTATATATGTATATGTGTATATATGTTTCTGTGTATGTATGTATGTATGTATGTATGTATGTATGTATATATGTATATGTGTATATGTGTATATGTTTCTGTGTATGTATGTATATGTATATGTGTATATGTGTATATATGTTTCTGTGTATGTATGTATGTATGTATGTATGTATATATATATGTATATGTGTATATATGTTTCTGTGTATGTATGTATGTATATATATGTATATGTGTATATATGTTTCTGTGTATGTATGTATGTATGTATTTATGTATATATATGTATATGTGTATATATATGTATGTATATGTATATGTGTATATATATATATGTATATGTGTATATATGTATATGTGTATATATGTTTCTGTGTATGTATGTATGTATGTATGTATGTATATATGTATATGTGTATATGTGTATATATGTTTCTGTGTGTGTATGTATGTATGTATGTATGTATGTGTGTAAATATGTTTCTGTGTATGTATGTATGTATGTATATATATATATATGGATATGTGTATATATGTTTCTGTGTATGTATGTATATGTATGTATGTATGTATGCATGTATGTATGTATGTATGTATATGTATATGTGTATATATGTTTCTGTGTATGTATGTATGTATGTATATATATGTATATGTGTATATATATATGTATATGTGTATATATATATGTATATGTGTATATATGTTTCTGTGTATGTATGTATGTATGTATGTATATATGTATATGTGTATATGTGTATATATGTTTCTGTGTTTGTATGTATGTATGTATGTATGTATGTATGTATGTATATATGTATGTATATACCTGAAGTATGTTTCTGTGTATGTATGTATGTATGTATGTATGTATGTATGTATACATATATGTATATGTGTATATATGTTTCTGTGTATGTATGTATGTATGTATGTATGTATATATGTATATGTGTATGTATATGTATATGTATACGTATACGTATATGTATATGCATATGTATACGTATATGTATATGCATATGTATATGTATATGTATATGTGTATGTGTATGTATATGTGTATGTATATGTGTATGTATATGTGTATGTATATGTATATGTATACGTATACGTATATGTGTATGCATATGTATATGTATATGTATATGTATATGTGTATGTATATGTATATGTGTATGTATATGTATATGTATATGTGTATGTATATGTATATGTATATGTGTGTATATGTGTATGTATATGTATATGTGTATGTATATGTATACGTATACGTATATGTATATGCATATGTATATGTATATGTATATGTGTACGTATACGTATACGTATACGTATATGTATATGTATATGTATATGTATATGTATATATTATATTATTATATATCGTATTATATTATATTATTTTATATTATGTTATATTATGTTATGCTATATTATATTTTATTGAATTATATTACATTATATTATATTATATTATATTATATTATTTAGATATCATATTATATTATATATGTATACAAGTGTATACATATATGTGTATATTTATATATATATATGTATCCATAATATGTATATATATATATATAAATCCCTATTGATGGGTTGATGACCATCCTCTATGGCCATTCCAAAGGTTCAGTGTGGACCCATCCCAAAGAGCGAGATCTGAATCCCTGATGCAATGGTTTTAGGAAAAATTCACCTGGGGTTTTTCACATGATGAATAGCATCATCTTAAGATCATCTTCCCTAAATCGCAGAAATCTTGAAAAAAAAAATGCCATTTTTCTGAGGTCCAAAACCAGCCGGTTAAAAGCCAACCATCCTGGGTGGCAAACCTTTGGGCCAACCATCCTTGGGTCTCCAGTCGTCTAGGCGACAAGGCACAATTGTGCCATTCGTGTTGGACACCGATGGGGCACCAGTGGATCCTCAGCAGAGATGGGGCCTGGTCGACATGGATTTTTTGTCCTCTGCTTTTTCATTCCCACCAACTTTTCAGGCCCATTTTTTCGGAGAAATGGTCTGAGGAAATTCGTTTTTTTGTGCATTCTATAGTTAATATATCTATAAATGATAGTTCATAGTTGGTGTATAATATATCACTATTTTGATAGTTAACTATTGCCATGTTTTAATTAAGGACGACTCGGTTTCTTCGCTTTTTCAGGAAACTTCGTGGGGAAACTTCGAGTCTGGGATCTTGGACGCCAAATCAAGGGGGGGTCCTCTACACCAAATCAACCAATTCTGGGATGGATGATTGGACTCGGTGAAATCCAGATTGGTGAGTCTCAGGAAATTTCAATAGAAACACCCGAGAGTTGATATTAATGGATGTTTTAATATTCTATATATATTCATATGAAATATCATGGTTTAACCCCAGTCCAACGCCGGTGCTTAGTGAATCTCGTGCTGAAACTCATCCAAGGATCTTGTACTTGTACATAAAGAACTCATCTGTCATGGCGCCTGGAAGCTGTTGTTCTTCGGCATCATCCAGCAAAGGGGCAGAGATCCTCAGTCTCCCGCCAGGGCTAGCATTGTGGCTAACGTTAACAAAAGAATAAAGCCTAAACAGGCCCTAATGGTAGTACCCTACTAAAATAAAACATGAAATCCTGAAAGCTAATTATAGTCAACATCTCAACATCGCTGCGGATAGCTAGTGTTTTTGTTCATCCTCAGGTATGGCCATGGGATTTCGGGGGTGCCCTATATGGGGAGATTTTGAATGATTTTGACCAACAAAATGACACATTTTGGGGGGCAGCTCAAAACAAAACAAGATTTCCAGCGGAAATCGTCAAAGGCCACATTCAATGGTTTCATCTTACTTTTGAGGGAGTATCAATGCGTCTTTGCGATTGCATCTTTCTTGTACAGTATCCTTGAGTTTTTTTGAAATGAAGCTATGATACTGTGGATGGTTGCGAAATCCCGCACCAGTTGGTAGGTGGCTGTTTATCCCATTATAGTCGTTATAATCCCACTAAATTTACCAATTTACAGTGTTTCATAGCTACCAATAGTTATCAACTCCTGCGGGATGCAACCATCCACAGCATCCCAGCTGCAGAGGTGTATCCCAGCTGCTCCTCGTTGGATCCTGCAGAAATGCAACGAATATCCTCCTTATCTCGCCAAAAAAAAGAAAACATCCCTTGAAAATCCTTGAAAATCCTTGAAACCCCAGTTTCCATTTTAAAAAAAAAACTTGAAACCCTTGTGGTAAACATTTTGCCAAGGCGTTTCAAGGATTTTCGAATTCCAGGAAAACCAGAAAAACCCACCCCCACCACCCCCTTTCCCACCCCCTTTCCCACCCCCTTTCCCCATGCAGTCTCGGCACTCTTCACGCGAGTGAGCAAAAGCACAGGCGGCTCCGCGGCGGCACTGACTCACATCCGGAAATGAGGTGCAAAAACGTCGCTTCCGCCTGGAAAGAAAGGTGGGCCCATGGCTGACAAATGCCCATGGCGACGCTTTTCCATATAGAAAGAGAGGTGAAACGGTGAAACCTCAACGTTACTGTATAAGATTGTATAGGTATATATATATATATGGATACATAATCTAATAATGATACATACATCCTTTAGCGAAAAATTCTGGAAAGATGGCCACGAACCAATTCTTTCAATTCTTTAGCAGTAGACCTCCCTGTAAGTAGGGTTGTGGGTGGGATTACATCCGTAATTGGGGTTGCAATTCCACTCACAACTGAAAATTGCCTTGATGTTGGCCATTACTCTAAATTCGCTAGGATATTCTCTATGACTCTGTGATATTCCCCGCTATATGGGATATTTGCATGGGTTGACAACACATTTCATGCGTATAAGTATCCATTACATCTCATTACTATTGTCTTCCCATTCCCATGTACCAATGATAAACCACCTGTTGTTGGTTAAACACTTAAACACCCCAATTTCTATTGGCTAGTGGTCGTAGATTCTGGTAGTTTCGGGTAGAAACATCCACCACCAGCTCGGCAAATCTAAGAGTTTTGTTTCTAACTCCCAGTCGAATCATCAAAAATCATCACCAAACCTCCATAAATTTCCATCATTGTCCCATTTTTCCCATGATTTTCCCATCAATTTTGGTGAATCCCAAGATCTCCGGCCTTCCTTGCCACTCTTCCATGCCCATTCCCCATTGTGCCCATGAATCTGGCCCCTCTCTCCAGGGCTCCTGCTATGAAAATCCATGGGATGTTAGTGGTGCCAAAAAAATGGGGATATCATGTTGGTTTATAAACTAGGATATGACTATGGTTTATGGATGTTTATGGTAGATATATCAAACTACTTAGTGGGACTTATCGACCAGCTAACATCACTAGAGGGCACCACCTTGTATGTTCTTTTCATAACCATTGTATAGTATCATATATCAATCATATCTCATACTGTCAATATGTTTGAAATATAATTATGCATAATGATCATAAGCATGTTATTGCTATATGGCAGTGTGTCAAAACCTTGTACCCCTGGTGAACATCAAAATAGCTGGTAAATGGATGTTCATCCCCCTAAAAATGGTATTAATAGGTATTGATCCATACCCATATGTTTAACACTATATATAACACTATATATAGACTATATATTGGGTATGATAATATTGTTGCTGTTGCTGTTGTCTTTGTTGGTACTGTTGCTGTTGCTGTTGCTGTTGCTGTTGCTGCTGCTGCTGCTGCTGTTGTTGTTGTTGTTGCTGTCGTCGCTTTGTGTTGTTATGTGGCTTTGTTATGTTGTTGCGTTGTTGTATTGGTGTGTTGTTGCGTTGTTGTGTTGTTGTGGTTTTGTCGGTTGCTTGTTTGCTTGCTTGCTTGCTTGTTTGCTTGCTTGCTTGCTTTCTTGCGTGTTTGCTTACTTCCTTGCTTGCTGGCGTGCTTTCTTGCTTGCTTGTTGTTGTATAGTGACCCCAAAAAAGAGGCCAAATAAGTATTTCCAGGATGATAGTTCGATGATGCTGTCCCATGTTGTCCCCATTTCCAGATGTCTAACTTTTCGGCATCTTTTTAGGGCGCTGGACATTGTCGATACTATGATCGGCATTCTCTTTCTTATCATCACCACTAATTGTTCTTATCATCACCACTAATTTAGGTGGGGTAACGATGATTACGCTATGAGCTATGGTAATGTTTATACCCTGGGGACCTCTGGGGTTTTTACGTTGACATTGATGTTGAAAAGCCATGGTTAAACCCATTTCCTTGCTTCCCGTTCGGAAAATTTGATGTGCCATTCATGGTGGCTTTTAACCAGACCTGTGGCGAGGCCATGAAAATGGTGACGACTTCGGTGTTTCAGGTCGCCGAGGCATTCACCACCATGGAATGCCATGGAATGCCATGGAATGCCCTAGTTTGATCTAAAATCCCTTGCCCATAGGATCCATGGTGCTGGTATATATGCTAACATTTACCATCAATATACCCCAGTCATGTTAGCATATATATATACATGGATCAAAATCCCTTGTTTCGCTGCTATTGATCATTGGGGATATTGAAAAATGAGATATTCATGATACAATGCTGGTTTTTCTGAACTAATTTGATGAAAAAATGTTGAGTCTGTCCATTTCTGAAATGTCTCAGATTGATTCAATCCCTAATTCCTGCAGATTCTCACTATTTACGACGGGTACCTCCGATCCTGGATGTTTCAGGGATTATTCTCCCCATTGTAATCATCAAAAATTCCCTTCACTATCCCTTCACTAATCCCCATTCTCCCATCAGTGAAGTGTATAGTGTATATCAACAATTTAATACCCCCATCATTGTTTCTGCAGTCATCCCAGATTCTTGGACCACGATCTCACGGAACACTGACTGTGGGAGTTCACACCATGAAATACATGAAATACCCCCAGGATGGGGTCCCAGTTCGTGAACGCTAAGTTGGTGCCAATAATAATAAGAATGGTGTATCATACTTATAACTATATTTAGATGGGGTTATAAACATTTATAAACCAACGTTCACATCACTGGAAAAGCCCATCCTGCCATTCTCCCATCATTTTCCTCATCATTGTTCCCCATGATTTTCCCATCCATCCACCTGCCCCATCCCACGACGGTTCCGCTCACCCTCCTGCCACATCGTCGATTGTACCCACGGGCGACCTTCGAAGGAGCCTTGCTCTGGAGCACTGTAACCTTCATGTCCTTGTGACACCTACGACCAGGCCACGTAATGGCGACGGTGGAGTGGGTGAAAATGGTGGAGATGCTACTTGGTGCAGGAAAAATAAAGTGAATCACGTAAGAAATGAGGGTCAAATATGGGCATATGGCCATACATATACTTTGAATATCGGGATTATGTCTCGACTTATGACCACAACTCCATAACTATGGTTACAGTTATACCGGGTTATACTTTTAAAGAGCCCCAGCTGCAGCCGCAAGTACATAAAGACAAAAAAATGATCCGGCATTGGTTTCCAATCTAGGGATACGACCAAGATGAAGAGTCCATTTCGAACTTACCCTCTGGTAATTTAACATAGCTATTGAAAATTGCCATTTATAGTGAGTTTTCCCATTAAAAATGGTGATTTTCCATAGCTACGTTGGTTTCCCCATTTTGTTTCAACTTCAAGTCCCATCAGTTGGAGCGATTTTTTCCAGCCTCCGAGTCCATAGGGTTCAGGCCCAACGTCGCCATCGCTGGAACAATCCGGGCCCCCCGGGTCACAATCTGCAACTTCTGCGGAAACGGTCCACCGATTTTGCTCAAGGAAGCCCCAAAAAAATAAGGCCAAAAAAGACCATCCAACATTGTTCATATGGGCCTTTTTCAAAACCATGCGAAAAATTGCTCATGTATCCCAATGTTTGAATTGTTGTTCTCCACAAAAAGATCACCCAGTCAAGGTTGACCATCCCTGGGAAATTTCACCGGAGAACAATCCGGGAAAACCGCATGGAAAACCGGTTTTCGATGTCCATCCCGAGGGATTGATGACCATCCCCCAGTAAGGTGTTCTTAAATGGATTCCCAGTCGTCACCAGGGCTTGAAAAATGCTCGAATTTTCTCAAAAAAATGGATGGTGGCACCCCCATGAATTTAGGAAACCCCATATCCCATGACGGATCCATGGTGCTGGTATATATGCGAACATTTACCATCAATATACCCCAAATGTTAGCATATATACCAGCACCATGGATCCTATGGCCATATGGAAACTTCGCCAATGTTTCTACCATGGCAACCATCCGTCGTTCATCCCAAGCCAACCGACCATAACCCACCAACCGCAACCTCTTCGCACCAGCAACAGCTGTGCAGTCCGCGCGTCCCAGACAAAGAGGTGGCCACAATCAGAGCCTTTGGGAGAATGGAAGAGGTGACAAATGTGGAAAAAAATGTGGACAACTGGTGATTGAATCATCAAAACATATCAAAACTGGATGTTTCAGCAACAAAAATATTGGATTTAACCATGATTTAAGTACTGGATGTGATTTAACCTGGAGGCTTAACCGTCAAAACCTAGCTCCCAAAAAAAAGTCTGTCCTGGTAGGTGATTGAAGTTTCAGCAATCCACCATCAAAAAAAGAGGATTTGACTACCAAAAACGTGGTGAAAAAAAGTGATTCAAGCAGCTATTGGGATCATCCTCTGGTATCTTGGTTTTTTCATGTTTTTTCAAAGTCCGAAAAAAAAAACCGATGCAGAAAAGTGTGTTGTTGTTTTTTCCAAACCAGACAGGTTTGTTTAGGCAAAGATGATCATCTGGGGCACCCAGCCACTGGCGACCAGGGCCGCCTGAGATAACAACGCTGGGACTGGGAAATGTGGCAAAAACAAATTACTCAACGTACCCAAACAAATACGAAATTGAGAAAAGCCATGATTTTTCTATATTATATCTATATTATTTTATATTATAATCAATATTTTCCTATTGCTATGGATTGCAATCTAAAGCAATGATTGAAAATTCAGTTGAGAAAGCATACCCTGATTGAGATGTAATTTTTCAGCCTAGTTGAAATGTCTTCGCAGCAATTCGAGTCATCGCTCGCCCTGACCCCCCTCCAACCTCAGGTCCCAAATAGGCGACCTGTGGGAGGCCCCAAGATTCAGATAGCGTTCAGCTGGTGCCAATAACTCCAATATCTATGGTTTATGGTACTTATATGTACTTATACCTATAGTTACTGGGGCTTTTGTTAACCAACTTATATATAACTGGGGGGCCTCACATTGTAGGGAAGTGTTAAATTACCAGATGCAATCCCTGGAAAATGCAGCATATCTGGGGTTTTGTCCATTGAAGGCATGGCACTTTGGGGTATGATTTTGCCGAGGTTAACCTGACCATACTTGTTTTCTAACCATCAAAATTCATCTTCTGCAAAACCATGGAGAAATCTCGAAAAACTATCTATATATATAAGTACCCTAAGTTCAACTCACCCATGTTTTTTGTAAAAAAAAACAATGTCTTTGGCAAAATGACCCTTTTGGGGTTAAGAAGCCGGGCCTCTTTGATGGTGCGAATGTTGCTGTGCCCCACAAACTTCGCGTCACTTCCCTCCTGAGAGCGGCGAAGCGGCGAAGGGTCGCCGCAAGGGTCTGCTGGAAGATGGGAAAACCATGGGAACATCGTGGGATAAAACGGGAATAGAACTTGTTGTTCAAGGTAAAGACTAGGTCTTTATATTATTTGTGGGAATATCCTCTAACAGTAACTCTTGATCAAAAAATAAGCCTTAAAAATACATCTTAATATATCCGCATGTATGTATATATATATAAGTTTTTTATTAACTATAACATATAACAGTAATATGTTCTATATTAAAAATACATCTTAATATATATTATATGAATCACCTGTTCTGCATGTCATGTTCGTCCGATCAAAAAGTGGTGACTGACCGAAAACTGGCTCCTCCGGAGTTTCCAGGGTCTCCGGAGTCCAGCCATGTCGTCGACCTGTGGGTGAAATCTGTGGGGAAATCTGTGGGAAAATCGTGGGAAAATGTGGGGAAAATCATGTTGCCAAGATCGATTTCCACATCACATCTTTTTTTTGAGCTGATGTTCTAGATTTTCTAGATTTTCTAGATTTTCTATAGATTTTCTATAGATTTTCTATAGATTTTCTATAGATTTTCTATAGATTTTCTATAGATTTTCTATAGATTTTCTATACATCTATCTTGGGATCTTGGGATGCGAAAAAATGTTGATGCTGCTTGATGCTGACCCCATCCGGCTCCGAGCTCCACACCCGGCTTCTGACCCATCAACGAGGTCAAGCTGGGCCTGATGGAGATGTGAAGCAGTTCGGAGATCTCTCGTAACCATGGGCTATGAGGATATAACGGGGTAATTACATATAACGTGTATATATATATACCTATATATATAGATAGAGATAGATACCTATATATATATAAATAGATAGATAGAGATAGAGATAGATATAAATATATATTCAGATATAGATATATATATATATATATGTATACATATATGGAGATAAAAAAAAATGAGAATGGGAATATCATGGGGTATATAATGGGATACAAGGTAGGGGCCCCCCTACCAAGTCACCGAAGTTGACGCACAGCTCACGCACGAGTGGGTGAACTCTGTAGAAATTCTGGGGGACCCCACCGAAAATGGATTCAGGACCATCCCCCAAAGACAGGATACCCTTCCTGGTTAGTGGTTTCAAACATGTTTTTCCATAATATATGGGAATAATAATCCCAACTGACTAATATGTTTCAAGATGGTTAAAACCACCAACCAGCTTCATATATTGGGGAGTGTGATAATTGGGTAGTATAATCCCCTATATTAACCAATATTCATGGGGATTTTTCTCCCCTAGTTGGATACTATGGGGGAATCACCAGCCGATATCTTGGGGATTCTGATAATCCAATGGATTGTGATTACCCTCTGGTAAACTAACAGTTTGCTATTGAAAATGGCCATTGAAATAGTGGATTTACCCATTTATAGCATGGTGATGTTCCATCGTTTTTTGTAAACGTTTACCAGAGGATAAATCCAATAAGGCCAGGCTGAATTGAATTTGATGGGATATCTACTGAGATAGTCCATCATTCAATAGGATGTTCAATGAGATAGCTCATGGGATAACAATTCTAGCTGCACGAAGTCACGAAAACCCGAAGATCGCAGCGGATGATTGCAATCGAAGCACCATGCCAGTGACATCACCGTGAAATCATGATGAAATTCATCCAGACCATTTGAAGAACTACCCGACCTGGTAAACGTTTACAAAAAACTCTGGAAAGATCCACCATGTTCAATGGGAAATCCACTATTTCTATGGGCTATGTTCAATAGCGAACTGTTAAATTACCAGAGGGTAATGATGAAGAAGGATGAGAAGTGCAACTGTTTTTCAGATGCATTTTCAGGGACAATATCAATAGCAATACTCATTGTAACCATTGATTCTTAATACTCATTGTAATTTAACATAGCTATTGGAAATGGCCATTGAAATAGTTGATTTTCCCATTAAAAATGGTGGATCTTTCCATATAGTTATGTAAACGTTTACCAGAGGGTAATACTCATTGGTTACATCAAGGTCTTAAAATTGGGACATCAACGACGTCAGACGACGTCAGATCATTGGGACCCTGCTCGGATGCCAAGGGATACTGAAATTCTTCAGGTTTTGTTCCATCCGCCGTCTTTTTGCGATCAATCTCAATCATCTATATTTCTACCAACTTACCCACTTATAAATCTTAGTGGATGATTCACCAAAACACCTTAAGTTTTATCTTATCTGCTACTTAAATTCCCATAAAAAGAAACCCGATGTTCCATGAACTCCACAGCTTTTCCATGGCGTTAGCCCGCAACGGGCGCCTGCTTTGCCCCTGGTCGCTGGAGAACTGGTAGACGTCTTGCCGCTGCCAAGAGCCCAGGAGTCGGCGACCTGATCCACAGGAGATTTTTCGTCATCTGAGAGTCGTTAACAGTGGATAATGGTTAATAGGGTTAACTATAGTTAATAGTTAATACTACTACTATAGTTAATGATTAATCATACTTAATCATAGTTAATCTTGTGAATAATGGTTAATTATAGCTAATTGTTAATCATAGTTAATAGTTAATTTTAAGTGTTGATATCTAAGAGTTAACTTTTTGGTTTATAGTTGATGTTGATCGTTAATAATTACACTAGTGAATTCTGAAATAAATAATCTTTGATAGTCATCTAATAGTTAGTCAAAATCATTAGTGGATTAGCGTATTTATTCTAAACCAATAACGTGTGGAAAAAAATGCTTTTTTATACTACATCTTTGTTCATGAGTATTTCGGTGGATATTAATAACCAATTTGATATATATATATATATGTAATTATGTGTATATATATATATATATCGTGATGCCTTTTTTATATGGCTCTGTCTGATTCCATGATAAGAAAAAAAAAGCCATCTGCAGAAAAAATGATGAGAAAAACCCATGGGATTTGGAGGTGAGGTATCCCGTTAGACAAAGTCAAAAATTGTGGAACGTGGAAAATATCTACACTTAAAAATATCTACAGGAAAACAGGAAATATCTACAGTATATCTAGCCAGATATCCTTCTATCATATATCTACACCATATTTTTTTCTACAGTATATTCACTGAAACATAATAGAAATTATCTACTCATATTCATTCATTCATATATCTACAGTATATCTACAGTATATCTACAGTATATCTACCTATCTACATTCACTCAACATCACTAAACGTCTGACGAAAACTGCATCCGGATCCACCGCACCATCCGGCGACAACGCCACACCAGTCACTGAAGCACTCGGCGCCTCAAGGTGGCGAAACGGCGGCGGTCTACGTCGAAACGTCGTCATGTTTGTTGCTTTGCAAATCTCAATCAAACCATAGGAAAACCATAGGAAAACCATAGGAAAATGGAGGTTTACCCTCTGGTAAACTAACAGTTTGCTATGGAAAATGGCCATTGAAATAGTGAGTTTTCCCATAAAAAAAAACGGTGGATCGTTCCGTAGCTATGTTAAATTACCAGAGGGTAGTTATTACATGTTATTACCATAAAAATGAGTGGTTATAAATTTTATAAACTAATGAACCATGGTTTATAAACTAGGGTTTATATAAACATAACTCCAACAACTAGATGTATCTACCATAGACCCTCGTGAAATTTCTGATTTTAGGCACCGACTTGGCGATCTGTGAACGTGTCCCATGTCTCGGGCTATGGAGCCCATGTTGATGGTCTGCATGTGTTATTTTAATCAACGGGTATGTATCTGAGACATTGGGGATATGTGGGGGATGTGTTTATGGGATGTACTGTATATAATCAAAAGTGTTGGTATAGAAAAACATCACCCAAAATGATCACTCAATCATTAATTAAGGATATAGGGATGTTTCCAATGTATCAATGGATATATAGCTGATATATTGGGAAATATGCGGTTGATATGGGAGCCAATGAAGGTATAGCCAACAACCGTGTTGAAATAACCAATCATGTTTATGGGGAAAGAATGCTGGTAGAATGAGGATATACCTGACAATATTGGATTATTTGGATCTTATTGCTGTCTCGAATTCATGGGGATAACTGTTAGAAAAACTTCATGTAATGGGATGATGTTACTGGGCATATCATATACATATATACATATATGCATATATAGATATATACATATATACATATGCATACCCTGTGGTTTTTTAACATAGCTATGGAAAATGGACAAATTATAGATGGTTTATGTTGATTCACCTCTTAATTATTGTGATTTTCCATGGCTATGTGAAATAACCTGATGGTATATTATACCCTCTGGCAATTTAACATAGCTATGGAAAATCACCATTTTACTGGCAAATTTAGTATAAATGACAATTTTCAATAGCAAACTCTTAGTTTACCGGAGGGTTTTTATTCCCCATAATCGATTCCCGGGGAAAATCACCAACAGATGGGATGATTGATGTCACTGATCCATATGTTTTTTGAAATTCATTGGAAATATCATCAGGAAAGCCATGGTGATCGGATATCTGAGATGATATTTAGCCAATAATAAATTTGCTGTATGTCAAATTGCTATCTTCATGTGGATATTCTATCGGGAGATAGCCATTTTTTGGTGATGCACCTATTGGTATATGATGATGATATAACTGACAATTCATGGAGGATTTTTCTCATGGGATTATTTAAGACTGCGTTGGTTCACATGGGGCCCCCAAGTTATGGTTGTTTTGTAGGCAAAATAAGGTGCCCATTTTCAGACAAACCACCGGTTTTCGGTTTAGAGTTTCGCAGCGTGGTGAACAGGTGGTGATCTCACCACATTACCCTCTGGTAAACTAACAGTTTGCTATTGAAAATGGCCATTTATAGTGGATTTTCCCATGAAAAATGGTGATTTTCCATAGCTATGTGAACGTTTACCAGAGGGTAAGATTACATGGTTCCTACAAGCAGATGATAACAAAAATACCTGCATTTTTTACATGACGTTTTTTTTTTGTGATAGCGGACACGTGACATTTTGTCGATTGGAATGGTTTCGTTGAATCCTATTGATTTCCCCCATGGTTTTTGTTGGGCAAATGCCCAATATCCTTTGAAAATGTTCAAATCCCATTAGAAATCTGCACATAAAAAATGTACCTCGTCAGTAATGTTGCTGTTTCAAAAAAGTCGAACATTCAGATTAGTAGTTTGTTCATGTACATTTTGATGATATCATATAGAATTAATTCTTTATCCCATCACTTTATGCATGTTAGACGTTAGTTCGATTATGAATAAGACTGCATGTATATATATAATATATAATATAATACATATATATATATATATATTTAAAACAAAAAAACTTCCAAAACTTAGATGTGTTACAAATTCTCCCAGCAAAATCTCCATTTATAGTGACTTTTCTCATAATGTTCTGGTCGTCTTCCAACCCCTCCCACTGTTTGCCGGTGCGCCAGCGGCAGGCCGTCGGGCCGAAAGATGGCTAAGGGCTCGCAGCCGGCCAACATGCGCCTGCCAAGGCTGTTAGTGTTTTTATTGATATTGTGATCATCAGTAGTAGTAGTAGTAGTGGTAGTAGTAGTAGTAGTAAGTTAGTAGTAGTAAGTTAGTAGTAGTAAGTTAGTAGTAGTAAGTTAGTAGTAGTAAGTTAGTAGTAGTAAGTTAGTAGTAGTAGTAGTAGTAGTAGTAGCCGAGCTCCAGACTCGCAGTTGAGGTTCGGAAGGCGGGATGCAGCTCTGATAAAATCTAGAGACCCCTAGCAAATGGGGAAACACTTTATCCAAATCGTACTTTTTTTGGCTTTGGCGCCGGATCCGCTTTCACATTGAGTCGAGCTGGAGTGCCATGATACCAGGTAAGACGAGGTGAGAGTTGAGAAGAGTTAGGAGAGTTGAGAAGATGTGAGCAGAGTTGAGAAGAGGTGAGAAGAGTTGAGAAGAGTTAGGAAGAGGTGAGAAGAGTTGAGAAGAGTTAGGAAGAGGTGAGAAGAGTTACAGTAAGCAGAATTGAGAAGAGGCAAGAAGAGCTGAGAAGAGCTGCAAAGAGGTGAGAAGAGTTGGAAAGGGGTGAGAAAAGGTGAAGGCGAATTCAGAAAAGAGTTGAGAAGATTTGAGGCTCCATTCCAACTCCTATAGGCAGACTTATCCTCTACTCCTATGGTCCTATTGTATAACATTCCTTGCTGCTGGAAACTTCCGCAACCTGCCTTGTGCAGGCTTTACTTGCAGCAATAATAATAAACTATAGTAATAATATGTATGATAATAGCATGGCATGGCATAGCCTAGCATGCTAAATAGTATTGCATTTCATTGCATAGCATTGGATTGGATTGCATTGTATTCTTGTTATCATCATAACAATGGCATACCCTCTGGTAAACGTTCACATAACTATGGAAAATCATCATTTTCAATGGGAAAATCCACTATTTCAATGGTCATTTTCCAGTTCGCAAACTGTTAGTTTACCGGAGGGTAATAATCATGGCAATAAAGCTATGATGATATATCCTCGATGCTCGGAAAGCTATGTGTGGGATACCAACGACTCTGCCAGGCTGTCGTTTGGTATTTGATATCAGGGGAAGGGACTAAGACTTATATCCTCTGGTAATATTTTTATGGTTGTGGAAAATCACCATTTTTATATACGTAGATCATCTATGCATAAGCCATTTTCCATAGCTATGTTAAATTACCAGAGGGTAATATTATATACAATGACGTATAATGATGAGGAAAATGATACTGGTGATAGTGAAAATGATAGTAGTAACAGTGAATGATACTGATAGTGATAGCAACAATTATAATGACAATGTAATAGTTGCATAATAATAAATATAATACCCTCCAGCAAATTCACATAGACCCTGCCAGACAGGAGTTGGAAGATTAGTTTCCACTAAAAATTGGTTATATTTGGTTGTTTTCAGGGTCGAACTGTTCATTTACCAGAGGGTAACAACAATACTGTAACAATCATGATCCAATTATCATAGTCACATATCATAATCCAGTTATGAATTTCTATGATGATAATAAGAATAACAATCTCTAGTAAACGTTTACATAGCCATGGAAAGATCCACCATTTTATAGCTGGGTAAATCCACTATTTCGACTGGGCCATTTTCAATAGCTATTTGACATCACCAGAGGGAAAACCTCCATTTTCCTATGGTTTTCCTATGGTTTTCCTATGGTTTTCTCATGGTGTTCCTATGGTTTTCCTATGGATTTCCTATGGATCCCATATCTTCCAGTGACTCTAGTGATCATAAGTCCAAGTCCGCGTGGGAAAACTCACCGGCGCCGCACAGCTTGCGGTTTTACAAACCGGGAACCTGTCGTAGAGCCAAAGGAATGGATCGTCACCTGTGGGAATTCACCGTCCTACCTGGGATCATATCATGGGAGGATTCATGGGAGATATATTTACTGTATATACATATACATATATATGTATATATATATATATATACATATATATATATAGGGATTTAATGGGACTTAATGGGACTTCAATAGGATATAGAATGAATGTTATAACTACCCATCACTGGTGATTGTCTCAGTGGATGCTCGGCGGCCGATCGACGGAGCACTGACAAAACACCTCTGAAATACGGTGGATGGGCCAGCGAAATCCGAATCACCAGCTGATAGGTGGTAAACATCCCATGATTTATAGGGTCATAACTCCAATAACTATGGTTTATAGGTGATATATCTATAGTTAATAGGGTTTATAAACCAATTTATAGGGTTTCAACCATCCGAAATTGGTGGTTTATCGGATTTCGCTGGCTCCACAGTTTCTTGTGTCTTTCCCTCAAATCTCAAAAAAGTTATAGCCTCTGGCTGTTGGAAACTCCTCCATCGATGATGTTCCCAGTGAAACCTCCATTTTTACAGGAAAACGGATCCCTCCAGCCACATTGTTTTTTTTTGCCCCTATTCTTAGACAGTATCATACGCTTGGATGGTTTTTTCCCATTGAATATCCCATTTAATCCCATTTAATCCCATTAAATCCCATAAAATCCCATAAAATCCCATAAAATCCCATTTAATCCCATTAAGTCCCATTATATACATCCCATTAAATCCCTATGTTGCCCATCACGTAGTCCCATGAAATATCCCAAGTCCCTCATAGACTCATCAAAAATGGGACTACCGAACTCCCGAAAAAAAAAAAAAAAACGACCAACCATAACTTGGCTCCGTATTGATAACAATCATGGGGAGTTTTTTTCAACATATGAATGGTTGAAATATGTTGAAATGGTTGGTTAGCTCCATAATATTGTTGGTTTTTATCTCCATCGGCTCTCATATCAACACCATAGATCAGCCCAATAGATCAGCTACATCCCCATTCATTGTCATCACCTTGGGTATTTTTTCTATACCACAACTATTGGTGGTAAAATTCCCTGACAAAAATGTATACCCCGTTCAAAATACCACAACATATATATATATATATAATACATATATCTATCTATCTAATCTAATCTAATCTAATCCAATCTAATCTAATCTAATCTAATCTAAACTATCTATCTATCTATATATATATATGATAATATTATATCTATATATATATATATATATAGTTGTATTTCTATTTATCCCCGTTTACACATGTTTTTCCCATGATCTCAGCCAGAAAGTCTCCCATCGCCTGCCAGCGCCAAGAGTTCGGGCCGCAGACTGCAGCTGGTCATGGAATTGATCTCCGCCCCTGCCACTCCCAGCCGTGCACCGTCCCAACCTGGGCAGCGCATCACCGGCCACATTTTGGCCATGGAAATGGCACCATGGAAAATCCATGGGACATTGGAAGGTGAAATTACCATGAATTTCAACTAGAAACCAGATTTTCTAATCTATGAAACATGATTAAACAACTATTTCATCATTTTCCCTTGGGATTTCCATGAAATCTTCCACCGCCGATAAAATCTGAGCCCTGAGCGAAGATCCCAGTCCAACAGCAGATCAGGGCGACGAACGCGTCTCAGAAAACGCCAGGGTTTTTGCCACGAAAAAATTGGGATGTTTTACCACCAAAAATGGAGATTTAACCATGACACATGTTGATTTAGCCACAAAAAAGTGAAGATTTCACCATGAACAGTTGGGTTTGAACTATTCAAAACTGGGTATGAAGCAAGAAAGACCTACATGTCACCAGGAAAAAGGATGATCTGACTTGGAAAACGTGATTTTCACATGCTTTAACTCTGAAAAAGGGAAGTTTGTGGGCTTGAACAAAAGGAAGAACTGGAAGTTGATCATCAGGGATTGGGTTTTAAACTACAGTGTCAAACGTGGTGAATGTTCATAATCCCATCCCATTTGAGTGGATATTACTATTATTAATGGAATATATAACGGATAGTGCTTAATGGAATCTTATTAACTAATGGAATTCATGGTATATATAACTATTTACTAATGGGATATTGATATTTCATTGGATTTAAGACTATTTATGATAACTCGCAATCCCTTCCCCCATTGATATTCAACACCCTCCAGAAACCATGGGATCTCAGATAGTCTACCTGAAAGTGAAAAGAAGTGGGGAGATCAATGGTTTGAATCGCTAGTTCCCAGAACGGTTATACCGTTATACCCCCACCTGATGCTTGTCTTATATATATAATATTATCTATATATATATATATGTATATCAGTTTATATCTATATTGTATTATATATATTTATATTATATATATATATATTATGTATACTATATTATATATATAATATTGTATATATATATATACATTTATTATTTTATCTATATATATAATATATCATGTGGTGGCGTCTTAAAACCATTGAATCATCGCTTGGGCGCCTGTCGTGCTGTCGCACCTGCCAGGTTTGCAGCGGTTGTTTGAACAATGAAAAACGGTGCTTTACCCGATGGTTGTTGAAGAACATAATGGGAATACAATGATATGGGCACTGAAAATGATCTATTTGGAGATTTCCTAAGTCATAGGGGATATATCATATATCATATATATATCTGGGCAAATTCTAATAATTCACTAACCTGAATTGTTCGGCCATTTTGGGATGATATCCCTTGTTAACCATGATTCCAGTGAGGTCGCAGTGAGGTCGTTATAATTTGCCCAGAATGATCAATGGGATATGGTGGTTTCTTAAAATAGGATTGTCCCTAAATCATCCATTTTCATAGGGTTTGTCATTATAATTTATAGAAACCTCCATATAATGATGTATGTGGTGATATAGTGGTGATATAGTGGTGATATAGTGGTGATATAGTGATGATATAGCGGGTTAATGACTACCATGGAGGATGAATGGGAATTCATAGGAAATACTGGGGATATGACCAACAAATATGGATCATGGGGGTACAAGGGGGATACTCTCCAGTAAACTGACATAACTGTTGTATACCCTCTGGTAATTTAACATAGCTATTGAAAATCACCATGTTTAATGGGAAAATCCACTATTTCTATGGCCATTTTCAATAGCTATGTCAGTTTACCAGAGGGTAAACCTCCATTTTCCTATGGTTTTCCTATGGTTTTCCTATGGTTTTACATTACCTATGTTAGTCATTACCAGAGGGTAAATGGCCTATAAAACTTCGATGATTTAAAAATGGTGATTTTCCGCTGAAAATTACCGGATGGTATTCGACCCACCCTGGGAATATCATGTTACTCTGTGGTATTTCACATAGCTATGCTATGCAATTAAAAAAATGCCCATAGAAAGTTCAATGACTTGGGAAATGGTATCCAATCCCATGCAAATTCCATCCTGAGAGTTATCCACATGTCTATATATATATCGCTAATTTATCAACATATCCTTATCATTACCGACTGTATCCGACTGTATACTGAACGGTGTCACGCTTGCCTTGCCATCACCTCCACAAGACGTCACCAAATTGGGTTCCTCAAAGGTCGTGACCTACGGCCAGAGATCAACGGCCGGGAAACAATGGTTTTTTAGCCATGGGTTTTGAACCTCTGGAAACCATGGGGGATAGAACATCTCAACCAATATTAAGATTAACTGTTTGATATAATGGGGTTAGAACCATGTTAAAAAATTAGATCTAACCCCATGTTAAAATATTAAGTGTTAACTGTTTGATATATTTTTTTAACCATGCTGCATGTATGTCATTGTTGCCATATATGTTATGTCATTGCTACCATACGGAAATGGGTTGGATAAACAGGGGGACAACAATAAGTCGATTGCTTAACCAACAAAAATGTGGACATGGCTGATTTGGCCTCGTGTAAAAAGAAAGGATACAACTAGTTTGTAAGGATATAATGGTGATACTTCCTGGAATATTGCCTGGCAATATAAGCAACATACCATCAATATGGGGCTGTAATTGGAAACCAATGATTATGTAACATGGGGATACTGCCTGTTGAAGGGATATAATGGGAATATCACCAACACTATGGGGACATCTTGAAAAACTGCTCAAGTGGTGGATGGGAAAATATTCAAGGTATCATATAGGTGGGCTGTATGAAATGCATGATATCTTATGGATATTTGGTATGGGTCAAAACTGAAGACCCCGGGAGCTATCATGTTTCAATATTAGCCATCTATTTTCCTTATTTTGACCCATACTCACGTGGTATCCTCGACACAAGTTGGCCTTGCCACACTAGTGAATACCCTTCGGCAATCAACCGCGGGAAAATCCACGATGGATAGATGATTGATTGTCCCAGCTATAAACCTCCATTTCTAGGGGGGTTCCCAGCTTGCCATCTTTGATGTCACCGGAATCAGTAAATATGGGTTATATCATGTTATATTCCCACTATATCCCCATAAAATCACCACTAAGAATCCTCCAAGTTGTTGACATCCAGATGTTTTTTCTTTGGACCAGATTCACATTCTATGACCACTTTTTTTAGTGGCTCAATTTTATCATCCCAGGTTTCGAGCTATACCCAAATAGAACATGTACCCTCTGGTAGTTTAACATAGCTGTTGCAAATGGCCCATTTATATAACTGGTTGGTGGTTGAGCTACCCCTCTGAAAAATATGACTTCGTCAGTTGGGATTATTATTCCCAATATATGGAAAGTCATGAAATTCCATGGTTCCAAAGCACCAACCAGATAAATGGTGATTTTCCATAGCTATGTTATATTACCGGAGGGTAACTCAAAGCGTGTCATGTGCAAAGACATGCCTGAAATGGGGATCCCCATTTATCTCTATGTTCATAGGTACAATGAGATTTTGCCCTAAATTGTCAGGCGGCCCCTGCTTTTGTTATTGAAAATCCCCAGAAATATGATCTTGATCCCTTATAGTAGATAAATCCCCTATTATCCCAATATGTGTTCATATGTTTGACTTATTCACACTATTATAAAATAATATCCCCTGTATTATTATTAGTTTTATCCCTACTATTCTTATTTCTCCCCAGTACTATGTGATCATTGTTCGTTCCCAAGAAATTATCCCATATGTTTTACCCTCTGGTGAACTAACATAGCAATGGAAAATCATCATTTTTAATGGGAAAATCCACTATAAATGGCCATTTTCCATTGCTATGTTAGTTCACCACAGGGTATTTTATTGTTAGTATCCCAAGAAATTATCCCATGAAAATCCTCCAAAAAAAACTCACTGGGCTTTCTGGCGACTTTGTTGGCTCCTCGCGTGTGTGCTCGCCAAACCTTGACGCGTAAAGATGGTGCGGATCGAATAATTGATGTAAGCATTCCATCGGGATATGATTGGATAATGATTGGGAATATCCATAGCTATGTCCACAATATTGGGAATCCATAATGGCCATAGCTATTACTGGATCTAAAAATTCCACATTATTGGATAATAATATTAAGAGTGGATGTCTATGGAATATTGATGAAATTTGGGAATCATAACTAAAGAATGTGGATCAATAATATTATCCAATGATTATCCCAATAGTAATGTTATAATGTCTATCCAGTGGGATATTATTGGATAATTAGTGGATGTCTATGGAATATTGGGAATCATAACTAAAAAATGTGGATCATTGCAAATTCATCCAAATCCATGCATGATATTCCCCATGGAAAAATTCCATTTACTGCTGGGGTGAAACACCCCCACTAGGCATCCCCATGACCAAAAAAAAACACTGTATCCCTATTTTACCTGCGAGAGTTTGTTGGTCACATCCCCATTTTTTTTGTTGCTTGAAAAATCACCAACAGGTTAGTTGGTTGTATCCCCATTGTTTCCCAACTATTCCTTCATTGCTCGTTAAATACAAATTGTTCTTAGCTATATTCCCATCTCTTGCATTACCTTAGACCAGAATATAAAATATTACCTCGACATGAAGTTACAAGTTTATTAACATAAAATATACCCCCACCAACTTGGCTATTTTACTATTCATTGCCTTAAAGTACGATTGTTCGTATCTAACCAGTCGTATCTAACCAATAACGATTATCATCGTCATTATCCATCCCCAGTTAGAAGTCGCAAAAAAAAAAAACATAGTGAAATTACCATAGTGAAATTGCATATACTGTACGTAGTTATAAGTAACAAAAAATCACTGAAATGACGTGCAAATCACCATAGCTTAGTGAAAATCATCCCCCTGGGTAACGAATACGATATTGATAAACGCGTTATTTAAGCGTATCATAAACCGTAGTGAAATTAAACCAGTTATGAAATGTTCGATACTGAGAAAAAAAAAACATAGTATTACCATAAACCATACTCCATAATCCTGATCCATAACTATTAGTGATATATAGATATAATCATAGTTTATCATTATAGTAGTGAAATACTTATCATAAACCAATAGTATGATAGTATCCGATATCCAAAAAATATCATAAACCTTATCATTATCATAACCATCATATTAATAGTATTATCATAACCATAATATAATCATTATCCATAACTATTCGTGGTATATAACCATAATGTAATCATTAGCCAAATGATGGATATAGCCCACTTATTAGTATATCAACCATAATAAACCAACATATTAGTATCAACCTTATGGTTTTCATATCCTATAGTTATGGAGATATATGATTAGTATATCAGCCTAAACCAACATATAAACATTATCAATAGATGATTTTCCATAACTAATATGATAATCATTATCCATAATATAATCATTATCCATCACTATTAGTGATATATAACCATAATAAACCAACATATTAGTATCAACCTTATGGTTTTCATATCCTATAGTCATGGAGATATATGATTAGTATATCAGCCTAAACCAACATATAAACATTCTCAATAGATGATTTTCCATAACTAATATGATAATCATTATCCATAATATAATCATTATCCATCACTATTAGTGATATAATATATAACCATAATAAACCAACATATTGGTATCAACCTTATCAACCTTATCATTCTCCATAGCTATTTTGCTATTCGGCTCCGCAAAGGCCCCGCACGGAGGCACAGCGCTCGGCGGCGATGTCCATCAAGCGCACCGTCCCTGGATTCCCGGTGACTCGGAGACTGCCCCGGAAATGAGAAAATGGGGAAGAAAACCTATGGTTGTAGCAGAAAATAATGGTAAATATGGTCAGGATCCCTAATTCTTATATACCCGAGTGATATATATATATATATATTATATATATACAATGTGACCCCCCCCAGTGATGTTAGTTGGTTTAGATTCGCCCCAGTAACTATAGTTATAGGTACCATAAACCATAGTTATTGGAGTTATAAACCAACTTAGCTATCTTGGGGGCCTCACATTGTATGGTTGTAGCAGAAAATCATGGTCAGAATCCTTAATTGTTTGCTGATACTTTGAAGATTTACATCAATTTTGTGGGAACTTGAAGGTTTATAATGGTGATGTAGCTATATAATGATAGTATTTTGGAGATGTATATCATGTATCGTATTCTGGCTGTGGGAAACCCTGGCTGCCGTAAAACCTACGATTTTGTGGATGGTTCTTCTTCGCCAATAAAAATGACAATTTGGGGAATGTTGTGTTACTGGGTTTGCCACATTATAATCTGGTTGGTGGTGCAATAACCATCTTGAAAAATATGAAAGTCAATGGGAAGGATTATCCCATACATTATGGAAAATAAAAAATGTTCCAAACCACCAACCAGGAATACATTATATAGATATGTATGTACATGTGGGTGTGTGTTTGGAATTCTTTTCGAGGATGGAATAAAATCCGATGGTTTATCATCATTGTCCGATTGAAAAGGCATGATATGGTCATTTGGGACTCACAAGAAGTTGGAAATGATTCATCATCATCATCATCATCATCATCATCACCATCCTCACTTTCACAAACATCAACATCTATAGTATACGTATATATATATATCCATGACATATGCACAAGATATCCATGCTTCATGGCTCGCCGGGGCTCGGGCCATCCACAGAACAGGTGCACACCAGTGGCTCATTGGCCAGAAAGGCGACACCTGCAGGATGGCCCATCATGGTCATCAAAACTTCAAAATCATATAAAAATGGTAAATGAGGTTAAACCCCACCAAATTCTCATGAAATGATCAAATCACATCATTTGGGAAAACCACATTATTCTTGAGAATTTGGTGAAATCTGGTTCAAAGAAGAAGGATATAAATCACTTGTCTGCATCTTTTGCGGTTACTACGAACTTATATAAGCAAGAAAAAACATATTATGGGGTAATTTTCTTATCACACGAATAGCCTCGCCCAAATTAACAGGTTGACCCTGAGAATAGCTTAATTTTAGTGGAAGCTAGTTTTCCAAGCCCCTGATGGCAGGGTCGTCATGGTAATCTGGAGGCTGATGGTTGGAAATCGCTGATTAAGCTGGTTTGATGGGGATGTGATATGGAAAATCCTAGATAAATGGAGGTATCAATATGTTTGCTGGGAAGGTCGTGGAGAATCAACTGATGATGGATTTTCCAGCTCCATACTTGTTGGGTAAAGAAACACTCTTGCTCTGCGTTGCATGTCTTTCGAATGTTTCTGGGGATTTGGCCAAGAAGAAGGGTTTTTAGGCATCAAGCTGGCCAAATAATTGCTCTGTGGGACTTCACCGATGAGCCCAGAGGGCTCTCTTGGCGAATTCTGGTTGAATCCATATTGCTATTTTGAAGTACATCAGAAAATATCATTTTCAGCCAAGTGTGATATATCTATGTGTATAAATAGATCTCTATAATTCTCATCTAAAGTCTCTGCATCTCTATCTATATATATACCCATTCTTGGCCCGTAATTCAACCGCTAAACCCACCCTTCACCCATCCGATCGATGAGCTCCGAACCGAAGATGTTGGCCGCGTGTCCAGTTCGCAAGCAAAGTTTCAGTTGCATCCTGAACGGGGGGCATCAACAGTTCGTGTTGGAAAGGATGGAAAAGATTCAAATGTTAACATGGATTTTGTTGAAATCAAATATATATATATACGTATATATTTCAGTTGGTCAAAAACATGTCTTTTAAGCTGGTCTTGCGCAAAACAAAAGGATGTTGAGCATGTCAACTTTGGATTTAACCAGCAGAAAGGGCTGCTGAAAATCCGCCATTGATGTTAATGATGTTCCTTTCTAAAAACCTCCATTTAGTTCGGGGATTTGCCAGACACGGTTCATTACCAGAGGATATCTTTCCATGATATTATCATTATTGTTGGTTATATGTCATTGGTAGTTGATAGTCAAATAATGATATATATTCCATGATATTCCCATGATATTATAGTTGGTCAATTTATTCTCTCCCATTTATTCTCTTCATTACCAGAGGCTGAGCAACGAAAAATTTTGTGGATTTCACGCCTGAGATTGTAGGACCAGATGCAGAGGCACGTGTCATCACTGCCTGATGCCTCGGTTGAGAACAATAATCTTCAAAACCATAGAAATGGTGATATAATGATGATATAAATGGTAATCTACTCTACATGTATCTAATAATGTATGTAATGAGAGTGATCATACACGATAGCTTTTGATCCATCCCCATATTCTCCTTACATTAAATATCACCCAGGTATATCACATTGGTGTTACAAGATCAAACCATAACAAATTCAATGGCCATTTCAGGAACCTAAACCGGAGGTACCTACCATATATAAGGCCTATATAAGGCCTATGTAAGGGAATATCCCCACAAAATATGGCCTTATATGGTACATATCACGTTGGTATAAGGACTCGCAAGAGGAGGACGAAAGATTGCCAGTGCATGGCTGTGTGCCACTGTGCCCTTCCATGGCCGTTCCCCCCAAAAAAATGCAATGCGAGTAAAGCAATAGGATCCACCATCCCCAATTTTACCATCATTTTACCACTAAAATTGGTGGTATGAACCACGATTAATGGCTGGTTGACCAAAAGAAAACGCTGGAAAATTCCACGAATAAACAAACACCATGAGACAATCTCCAAGGTAGGCCTACTTCAAAAACGGTGTTGCTTGCTCTCAATCTGGGGTCCGGGACAAGAAGGCTACCATCGCGACTCCAGGCCAAGCAATTCACACCTGGGCAGATCTCACCCCATGGTTTAGTGGTTTTAGTGGAGGATAAATGCGATTCGGTATCAATTCGTAAACACATGGGTTTCTTCAAATTTTAAACCCCGGTCCACCTTTGCATAGTCTACTTCGGAAGAACAATTGACCATCATCACCTCAGTCTCTGGGTTCCATTTTTTTCGATTCCTTGATGGTCATAGTCATCCTTATGAAGTCTTGATCAATGGTCAACGGATTTTTTCTCTGTCTATCTCTTAGTAACAGTATTTATGGGCCGATCGCCGCTCGCCTCTCTTTCAAACCAATGACCACAAGAGTGGAAAGGTCTTCATTGGTTTTCCACCTTCAAAGTCCAAAGTTGCTTCAAATAGCGTATTGGTTACATCAGTTTTCTCACATGGTCCTGGGTCTTGTGACCTACACTGCCCCTGATCCTCTCGAAAGAACAGAGCCTGGCTGGTTGGGATGTACACCTATCTGTTCTTACGGGACAGGAAGCCCCATGATCGTTTCGGACGAACTTTGGTCACATCACTATCACATGAAAAAGATAATGAAAACCAAACGTTACCCTGCTGTTTCCACATCAGGATATTCATTCCCCACCATATGGAGGTTTCCTAAAATAGGGATACCCCCAGTTCTCATCCATTTATAGATGGATTTTCCCATTCAAATCGCCCCCATCTATTTATGGGATATCCCCATGACTATGGAAACCCCCATGACTATCGGATGTCCATATCCTATCAATTCTCGCTCAACTGAGGCCGAAACATCCTTCATGTCTCTCCAAATCCTTGGGCGAAGCCCAAAGAATTGGTGGACTTACGGAACAAAAAAAGGGTGATTTTTTCATCAATTGAGATGGGTCACTAACAGATCTGTATAGTGATATTCTATATGATTGGTGATTTCTCCCATAATCTATGGTGATATATGGAATGATATTGATACTGTATTAATGGTGATAAACCGTTAGTCAATGACCATTTCAGGATCCTAAATTGGAGGTACCTACCATATAAGGCCTATTTTTCAGGCCTATGTAAGGGGATATACCTCCAAAATATGGCCTTATATGGTACAGTACCTCCATTTTAGGATCCTGGAATTCCCATTGATATTTGTCTAATATTCCGGAATATCATCTTCCCAGTGACTATCAATTGATGTATAGATATGCCGAAGATTCCCGAAGATTGGATTTTTAGGGTATTGGATTTCCCCAAATGATGGTTTCTATATTTCTAATCTAAAATGTCCAAATAAAAATGACCATTTAGTTCGTGGATTTTCCCAGCTAGAAAATGGTGGATCTTTCCATCGTTTTTTGGGACTGTTTACCAGAGGCTATTGCATTTCCCCAGATATATGGGATAATCTAGAATAATTATAACATATATATATATATATATCTGGGTAAACTATCATACTCATCATATACCCATCATAAAATACCACTTTTGTTGGTATCTTAACCACTATTATTATGATGCTTCCCTGTTCGAATCCGCCGAATTCACCGAGTTCGCCAGTCCTGTTCAATCTGGAGCCTCGGTGCATACCAAGTCCCACGGCGAAGGCGATGAGCCTGGAACTAGATATGTGGTGATTTAACCAGTTTTCATGCAATCCTCGGATTTTGTTAATTGAGGATATATACATACATACATACATACATACATACATACGTACGTACGTACGTACGTACGTACCTACATACATACATACATACATACATACATACATATATACATACATAACAATACATACATACATAACAATACATACATACATAACAATACATACATACATAACAATACATACATACATACATACATACATACATACATACATACATACATACATACATACATACATACATACATACATACATACATACATACATACATACATACATACATACATACATACATTACATACATTACATACATTACATACATTATACATTACATACATTACATACATTACATACATTACATACATTACATACATTACATACATTACATACATTACATACATTACATACATTACATACATTACATACATTACATACATTACATACATTACATACATACATACATACATACATACATACATTACATACATACATACATACAGACAGACAGACAGACATACAGACATACATACATACATACATATGTATATACATACGTATATATGTATATGTATATATGTATATATGTATGTATATATATATGTGTGTATATATATGTATATGTACATATGTATATATGTATGTATATATATATATACATATGTGTATTGATGATACAAGCTAGTGCTCCAGTGCGCAAAATCGCGAAGTTGGTTTGTAACCAATATGTCACTGGGTTCATGGTGATTAGAACTATAGTTCGATGAGATTAAAAATCCAACTAGCATTTTTGGAGCCTGTTACTTTTCAATCTGTCTTTGGTGGTTGCTAAAAGTTCGAGCGGCAAAATCATTATTGATGAAAATGTGTGTTGATGTTGATTACCCTCTGGTAAACTAACATAACTATGGAAAATCACCACGTTCAATGGGAAAATCCACTATAAATTATAAATGGCCATTCTCAATAACTATGTTAAATTCCAGTACCAGAGGTAATGTCTTGGGACCGCATAATTTGGCCATACCCTGAGATACCCTGAGCAGATCTAGCATCCCATCCCTTCCTAATCTCTACCCCAATTGGCTTCCCAAAATGAAGAGATCCAATGTGAAATCAGGGTTTCATTTGGTGGGTACCCTCTGGTTATGTCAGAATAGCTATTGAAAATGACCATTTATTTATAGTGGATTTTCCCATTGAACATGGTGATTTTCCATCGTTTTTGTATGTTTAAGATTAGGGGGAAGGGATTATCAGCTGGCCATTCCCTCATTACTGCAGCACCGAGCCATTTCTTCTGCCGCTGCAAATCCTTCCCTTTTTGAGAAGCGCCAGTTTTGGTCAGCTTGGTAGCAGCCCCGACATGTCCCTCCGGTTTAACATATGGAAAGACACCATCTTTACAGGTAAATAATCTAACTACCCTCTGGTAATTTAACATAGCTATTGAAAATGGCCATTTATAGTGGATTTTCCCATTAGAAATGGTGATTTTCCATTGCTATGTTAGTTTACCAGAGGGTAAATGGATCTAAATGGGTGATTTTTCGATGCCAACTTCACCGGAGGCTCCGGTCGCCGCGCGATTTCAACTCCACTGATATGGGGTCAGTTCGCCCCAGTCTGAGCTGATCTGGCTGGTGAAAACCACGAAAAGGATCTCCTGCAAGGATCTAACTAGGTAAGAGATGGTAAGAGAATGTCAAGCATGTTTGTAAACCGGCTTTCTACCCTTCATCCATGGTAGAAACATCCCAGGTTCCATGGTTCCATCATGTTCCATCCACGGTCCCGGAGTCCCACCAGCTCCACCATTCCCTCAGGCACGTTCGGCTGCTTTGGCCCCAGAACGTACCAGATCATCGTGCGGCAGGATGCCCACCAGAAAGCCGTCCTGCACGGTGAGGCCGGTGAGGCCTCCCTCAGTAATGTAAGTTAGTTTAGGCTAAACAGCCCATGAATACTAGTTCGCTGCATCCCCCATAAACTCAACAGTTAACCAAGTTACAAGTCAACTTAGAAAGGCGGTGAAAGGTGGAAAAAAAGGTGGTGAGATGTGCCCCAGTGAGCTAAATCGCTAAGTTGCTTGAGGACGAACATAACTGTTGGGTTTATAGTGATGAATGAAGTATAGTTCATCATGGGTGCCAATTAGTTTATGATAATAATGATAAAAGTAATATACTATAATATACTGTAGTTTTATAAGCCAAGTTGCTTTATAGTATAACATATCTATAGTATCTATAGTTCATGAGGGTTCAGAAACCAACTCACAAAACTGGTGGCACCACTTCGTGGCAAATGCCAGTCCTCCACAACCATCATGGGACCCTGGCGGGTCACAGATTGACTCTCGATATAAGCCTGGCACGTTCGGCGAACTTTTCGGCCAACAGGATCCGCAACATGGGGATGTAGCGACCTTTGGGCGCCTTCAATTTCAAGTTGTTCCAGGTAGTTCCGATTTGAAGATCTGCCTCGATATACCAAGAATGGGAATGTGAGTGTACACCTCACATCGTTTGATGTCGTCATCTAGTCCAACAAAAAGTCGCTCTCCAATTCCAATCTACTCTTTAAAACAAACATCAAAAAAAAAATGTGTTTATTTGGCCATAACTTAGAATATTTTCCCATAATAGTTATTTTTTGGATACGTTTCAAATGGCGAAAATATCATACCCCCCTTGGCCACCCAGCTTTTTCACGCCTTCTTTAGCGAGATATTGGGCGAGATGCGCAGTGGCTCCTGCAAAATCTTGCCCAACTTCACTGCGGCCACCAACACGTCGTTGCCTGCCACCCGGGAAAAACCAGGAGCCATGGGGAAAAGGTGGAAATATACGGAGAATCCACACATAAATATGAAAAGAAATATGAATAATCTGGGAATTATCTGGAATTATTCTCATTTTGTATTAATTATTCGATGTTGTGTGAATCTACAAATGTTGTTTGGATTAGAAATATGAATGGAAAATGTTTATACATCCAAAAAATCTGGGATTATGTAAGAGCATCAACTATAACAAGGGGATTTACCAATTGCCCCATTCATCGGGGACCTGCATGGATCTACATCACTTTGTTCCCAGTGTCTGCAACTCATCCTGCCAGAAATGATACATCTGGGTACATCAATATATCCACCTAAAAAGTTGAGAAATGTTGGTAGAGTTAGATCAGTGTTTTTCAATATTTTTAAAGGGTGTTCCTGAAATGATTTGGGTTTTCAAGGGTTCTATCAGTAAAAAAAATATCCTTCATTATATCATCACATACAAAAATCTTATATACCGTATACCCATCATCTTACCATCTGGTAATTCAACATGGCGAACTGGCAAATCACCATATTTTTCCGAATGCCAAATCATCCATGGTTTATCATCTAACTGTGTGCTGTGGCTTCCCCAAGCAATCATCCATTTTAATCCATTTTATAGATGGATTTTCCCATGGAAATCGCCCCCATCTATTTATGGGATATCCCCATGACTATGGAAACCCCCACAAAAATCATAGGGGTACCCCGAAATAGGATTTTCCGTGAAATAAACCAGCCATCTATTTATGGGGTACATGACTATGGGGAACCCCCGGTTCCACGTGCCTCCCGCCACTTGCAGGGCATCGACGTCTTCCCAATTCACAGCACCCAGCAATACCAGGCGCTGCTGCTCGTTGTGGGTCACCTATCGAAAATCCATTGAGGAGAAACCCACCTGGGATCCCACTGGTAACCAATGGAAAAAAGGGGAAAAATGAAGGGAATCACTGAGTCATCTGATGTGGTCAATCGAAAAAAAATACAAACACATTGTGTTTTGTGTGTTTGTTTCTCTCATCTCATGAATAAGATCATCGATGGTGAAGTATAGCTGCATAATGACAGAACAGCAAAATCGGCCATCTTGGGGTTGATAGCTGCAAGTCTTACATGTTTGCAGTGTTCGAAACAGGTTGAAGAAGTTTCCATCCCTATAAACCAACCAGTATAACCCAGATGCTCCATGTATGCACCATATTTACCTACAAAACTGGGTGATGTTTGCTGTAAATGTTCATACGAAGTTTCCAGCACCATGGAGCATATGGGTAATGGAATGATGGAGGGATTTTGGTCGAGTCCCCTGACGACCAACACTGAGGCCTCTTCGACGATAGGCACCATGCGAGGAACGCTTCGGTCTCGGTTTGTCCAAAAAATGCATCCATTGGTAAATCATCATATTCCTCATCGAAAATGGTTAAAAGTGCTGTTTTTTAGCCCCATGTTCAGTTTCATGTTTCGCGGTTTTCTGGGCAATTTTTAGAAAATGCCAACAAAAAATTCACATCACTGCTGTGACTGATCATTCTCTGATTCAGATGGAATCTTTCCAACTTCAACAAAACCTCCCAGTTCTGCGGAGTTCTGAAAGCTCTGAGAATTCCCAAAATGTTGGCAAAAAGATAATGCCATCTGGTTATTTGTTACATAGCCATGGAAAATCACAATTTTAATAGGTAAACCATCTATTTCTATGGGCCATTTTCCATGCCTATGTTAAATAACCAGAGGGTAATGGCAAACAGAAACGGGATGGTATTCTTCACTAACCATGATAAAAAATGGTGCAGGTCGGGCAGCTCGGGACATCATTTTCCTGCATGTGAAAAGTATTCGGCAATGATGTTTTGGAATTTATAACCCATCATGTGTTCAAACACCATGGAGAAACCGGAAATGTTCAGCATTTTTCAAGATGGGGAAAAATGAGAAAAGTAAAATGGGAAAAAAATGCTAGTCATCCTCACTCGGATCAATGTATTGTTTTTTTGAGATGTCTATCTGGACTACAACACAACCTGTCTAAACACAGCTCTGGCACGGTAGAAAGTTCACCCTTAAAAAAAAAAAACGAATGTCTCAGGGGCTCTGAGTTCCTGCTTGTTTAAAAATACGTGTAAGAAATTTCGACATGTCGGAAATTTTCTCAGACTCAAGGTCAAACGAAACATGAACTTCTAGTCACATGTCCACGTGAACATCTCGGTTATATCCCAACTTCTGGGGTGAAAATCCGGTTGGAAACAGACGTGACACCTGAAAAACAAAAAGGGTGTTGAATGTGTGGCACTGCTATCAATATAGTCAAACCATATGACATATGTAAAATGATTTAAAATGTCATTACCCCCTGGTCATTTAACATAGCGATGGAAGCCGTGGCCCAATTTAGTGATGATATACCGTTCTTAAAACGGATGGTTTCAGATCGCAAACTGTGAACAAATGCCAGAGGGTCATATGGCTTACCCTCTGGTGCACTAATATAGCCTTGAAAAACTAACATTTTGCAGGGAAAATCAGTTATTTCTATGAGCCAGCCATGGTTTCCAGTTCGCAAACTGTTTGTTTACAGGAGGGTATCCCCATTGTATCCCCATAAAAATTCTCCATGTTTGTTGGTTATATCCCAGTAGCTATTCCCAATCACATGTTTCTCATACGGCTGGACAATAACTTCGAATTGCTTAAGGAACCACAAAAAAAAACTAGTACCTATTGATTCCCCAAATGATGTATTTACCATTGGGAAAGTAAAAAATCACTTAAACAACCCATGATAGCTCCATATTTGTTGAATTAGATGAATTATATCTCCAGTAGCTATTGAAAATCACATGTTTGTCATATGGGTCTATCTGAGAATTGTACGGTACACCTTCTATAAATGGCCATCTGCAGAAGGGAAAATGATGATCACTCTCTGGTAAACTAACATAACTACGGAAAATCACCAGTTTTAATGGTAAATCCACTATAAATGGCCATTTCCAATAGCAAACTGTTAGTTTACCAGAGGGTAACCCATGGATTTAGAGGTACGAACCCAGATGGCTTAACATCCACCATCTCCGCTGCATCGCTACGCCAAGTTTCTTTCCGCCTCCCTGCTCTGCTTGATCTGAGGCTCACTGGAAAAAACATCAAGTTCTGTTATATCAGGAACATCTAAGTCCCAAATATCATTGCTTAGACTTCGAAAATCACCGGAAAATGGAATATATATATATATATACATATATAAATATATACATATATACATATATACACATATACACATATACACATATACACATATACACATATACACATATACATATATACATATATACATATATACATATATACACATATACACATATACACATATACACATATACACATATACACATATACACATATACACATATACACATATACATATATACATATATACATATATACATATATACATATATACACATATACACATATACACATATACACATAAACACATATATATATACATATATACACATATACACATAATCACACATATACATATATACATATATACATATGTACATATATACATATATACATATATACATATATACATATATACATATATACATATATACATATATACATATATACATATATACATATATACACATATACATATATACATATACATACATATTTATATATCACTAGTTCAGCTGTTTCCCAGAAATATATCAACTTTTTCCCAGAAACATCGGGGTTTCACCTGGCAGCTGGAGCTGCAGCTATGGGTTGCATGGGCGATGCTTAATAAAAATCTTGATAGCCTCTGGTGAACTAAGAGTTTGATATGGCAAATCACTGTTTTCATAGGTAAATGGTCTACAAATGATATATATATATATATGTTTATCTATAAATTAAATTAAATGAATATAAATGATCTATAAATGTGCCATATTCCAACAGCTATGTTAGTTTACTGGAGGGTGATGGGATGTACAATCAATGTATGGACATATCCCTTTTCAAATGTGGTTGATCATTGCAATCATTGAAGGCATACCCCTATATTTCGTATGATGTAAAATGACACGCAATTGTTTGACACTTGGAGATTGCTGGTTATTGAGTTTACCACATTGCAATGGGGAAACCTTGGTGCTTCTTTGGGCAATCCTTGTGAAACCATTTGGGGGAAAAGGGAAAGAACCAAGGCATGGAAAAGAGGCTTCATGTTGATGGGTTAACAACCTGTAAACCCCTAGTGTTCGTACCCAAAATATCCTGGTAAATGGATGCTCATACGTATCCATAGCCCCATCTCCAGCATCACTTCAACCATCATTCATCCGGCTTTTCAATGTACCCTCTGGTAAACTAACATAACTGTTGAAAATCACCATTTTCAATGGGAAAATCCACTATAAATGGCAATTTTCAATAGCTATTTGACATAACCAGAGGGTAAACCTCCATTTTCCTATGGTTTTCCTATGGTTTTTCCCATAGTTTCTCCCACGTCGTGGCTCCCTTCGCTTTCGAGGAACGAATTTCAGGCGTTGGAAATCGTTCCCTTGAGCTGTGCGCGGCAGGCAAAGGCTCAGCATCGTATGATCCAAGACCTGGTTTCATCGAAGATGGGTGCCATGATCAAGTTAGATGAACATCATATATGATAACATGGATATAATACCTTCAGGATGGGGCCCCAGTTCGTGAACGCTAAGTTGGTGAACATAACTATAATAACAATAGTGTATGATACGCAAATAACTAGATCTACATGGGCTTATAAACCAACTTACAACTGGGGGGGCCATCCTGTTATATCAATGAGTTGTGGGATATTCATGGGATGGGAATCGGTCAAAAGTTAAGACCCAGTAACCATCAGTAACCATCGAAGTATTGGGGTACCTAATTTTGACTCATCATATGATGTATTCTATGATGACTAGAATGATGATTAGATGATACTAGCATAGTCTTTTAGAATCATGGACACTTATCAACTATATAATGATAATGACTAACAGCCATTACATAATTTAACAATATATGAATTATATGCTGATTAGAACATAGGAAGACTAATCCTTTCCCCCTATTACTAAACGTCCCCCAAATACTAAAAACTAGGGTCCAGCTCCCAGTTTGGAAAATTTCAGGTTGGCCAATTTGACTTTTAATTGATCCCCTTTAGAAAACAAGTTAAAGATGCAGCTACCATTTGTGGGTTTTGCCCCCTAATAATAAAAACTAGTTAACCCCGGGGTGTTTATTATTAGGGTCCGTCCGATGTTTTTTAGTTTTTTATATTAGGGCGTTTAATCTATTATTAGGGCCCGCTTCGAAAACCAATTTTTGGCAATATTTTAATTGCGTTATACAAGGAAATTTAATTGATTTTGAAATCGAACAAACTAGTTTTATTATTAAGGTTTAAAATTTTTTAATAGGGTTCCCTAATAATAAATACCCCCCCCATAATAATAAAAACTACCTGAGGTTTTAAAGAAAGATGGTTAAGTCGCTGAATAAAATCACAACTTGGATGGTAAAATATCATGGTAAATCCGTAGCAAAAAGCAATCGATGAAATCAGAGGATGCCAATAGAATCAGAGCTCTGCATGCTTCAACGCAGTCAACCACAACCAGGGATAGACATGTAAAATCATCTTACATTTCAACTAAATCTCCCAGAAAAAAAATGAAAAAATTGGATGGTGACAGAAATTTCTGCAGAGAAATCTCCGTTTTTGTTAGTCATGGCAAACTGTTAGTCATAACCATTTATAGATGATTTTCCCATTAAAACCTCCATTTATAAGGGATTTTCCATGGCTTCCATAACACCTCACCGCGACTACGGAGCTCCGGTAGCGCCTTCTTCACAGGCTGCAAGGCGCGAGCGGAGGCGCGCAGGGTGGGCATGGCCGGGATCTTTTTCATCAGCAGAATGGAATCGAAGATCGAGGGACCAACACCTGGCGAACTCTGGAGATGGTTTTTAGCTATAAAAAGAAGGACCAAATGTGGATTTCATGGGGATTTCATGATCTAAGCATGGGAGGAAATTCCATGGTGGTGATGTTTTCTGGAGATTGTTTAACCATGTTTCACCTAGAAGAAATAGGGACCAAATGCTGATTTCATGGGGATTTCATGATCTAAGCATCACTAAAGAATGGTGGTTAAATAGGTCGCCACAAAGCTATGGGGATATTGGGATGATCATTGGGATGATTCTGAAAATGGAGGGAGTTTTTTTCCTGGCGTTGGTGGGTGTTTTTCGTTGAGGGATATGTCACCATCAACTAATAACCATGGTAAAACATAGTTGGATCTTGGGATGAACATTTGTAGTCACTTCACGCTCACTCTTTTTTGCCGCCAAGACTCAGGCATTGTAAGAGACCTTTCGTCTCGCCTTTTCAAGTAAGTCATTGCTTAGCAATCTTACATGTTTATTTGTCTCATGGTAGAGACTTTTTCCAACTTTGTCAACTTTCAAACAAACCCTTTCATGGTAGAAAGGAAAAAGTTCCCCTGGTAGGGATGCTCACCATGTCCACATCCGCACGGTGAGAGAAACCAGCGACGTTTCTTCCAGTCCCCCCAAGCTGGGAAGGGACAGGGAGGGAGAGCTTGGGCCTGAAATAGCCCCATGTCGGCGACAATCGTGAGGTGGTTCCCACAAAATGTTCAAAGAACTTTCTTGTAGTCACTTCACGCTCACTCTTTTTTGCCGCCAAGACTCAGGCATTGTAAGAGACCTTTCGTCTCGCCTTTTCAAGTAAGTCATTGCTTAGCAATCTTACATGTTTATTTGTCTCATGGTAGAGACTTTTTCCAACTTTGTCAACTTTCAAACAAACCCTTTCATGGTAGAAAGGAAAAAGTTCCCCTGGTAGGGATGCTCACCATGTCCACATCCGCACGGTGAGAGAAACCAGCGACGTTTCTTCCATGCACCCCAGCCTGCGTCCGCGCAGAAAGGATTTTCTGCGCATGGAATCAAAATTTAAATTGTTGAAGAAATTGTCTTGTATATGCTGACAGCTTAATTTCTGGTAGGTGACTCAAGGCGTCACTGATGTACAAGCGGGCTACTCTGCTGGATTCCCAGCGTCCACGAATCAATGCCCCCTCCATGGAGCGAGTTTGCTGAAAGTAGTGAGTCGCACCACCACGCCGTAAAGAATAGGGTCTAAAGCTGAATTGTTCAAGTTGCATTAGATTGCACAACTCTTTGAAACGCGTCCGAAATTGACTCGCGGTCCCTGACCAGAGTGGTAAAATGTGTAAGTTTTGTACCCTTCGGGTCTCAACCAACGTACGAATTACTTCCAAAACAAGCACATCTGTAATTGAAATTGCTTCGTCAGCATTGTGTCGAAGTCCAGTCTTAGTCCCTTTAAGGGATATGATGCCACAGGTTTCCCCTAAAGAAAAATCGTCAGACGTAACCTGCAGCAACTCTCCAGTTCGCAACATGCAGTGAAACGCAAGTAACAAAAGGCCACCCATTTCAAAGTTGTCACGGCTCCATTCATAAGCCGCCATGGCCTTAACCAGCGCCCATGTCAAAGGAGGCGCGCGGCTCGGCACTTCAATGCGGCGCCAAATGCTGAACAGTTTCCATGCCGCAGGCAGCTTGCGGCGTGTCCAAGGTTGATAAAAATGGAGGGCACTTAAGCCATCCCCTATTGTCAGCAAAGGCTCGCCGTCACGCCACATGCGGCGTACCCAACGGGATACAGAAGTGTCAAGTTGATCTTCTGTAGAGGCTTTCTCAACATAGGGCAACAACTTGCGGAGTGCCAGATAGTAACGGGAAAGAGTTTTTGGTGTCAAAGCAGCGTCATCGAGAAAGATCTTTGCTCTCTGTCGAATACGTTCTTCCCTAGAGAAACGGCCAGCAATCAACCTTGGAGTCCTACGTTCTCGACCCCTCATCTGAGGGATTCTCTGTCGACTCGACATGTCCCATGATCATGTGCAACCCAAACGCAAGCAAGTGAGCAGAAATTTGGTTCAAAGTACGAGTAAGCTGTTTGCTACTTGTCCTTCCCTTGGAAACTATGCTCATCCCTACATAAGAGTCAGTTAATTGAAAGATACGCTGGTCAACTGCTTTCAAACGGCTGATCTGAAACTTGAGCCCTAACAAAATGGTTTCAAGTTCAAGCACATTGATATGGGATTTGTGAGCCCAACGCTTTCGAAAACCATGCTGCCAATCCCACCAACACGCTGCCACTGACTGTCTTGGGAAAGTCCGACTGTTCATTGCTTCACCTGTTACTACTCTAATGTCGGTTCCAGTGTGATTTGTCTTCCTAAGCAAGTATGTATTGAGAAGCTGAATACCCTTTTGAAAATATGATGGAAGTTCCGAAGCTGACCCATACCGTAAACAACGTTGTAAAGGGGCAACCCTTCGCAGATTACATCTAAAACCAGGTGCCAACCCCATCCTTCGTACCAAATGTTGATACGCGACCTTTGGGATCCATTGTTTGACCAAAGCTGCAGCAATAATGATGAATGAGTACATACTGAATGAATCACCCAGAAGTCTATGCCTTGTATCTGAAAAACCAAGGGGGTTTTGTTTGATCTTCGATGCGCTCCATGCCAAAGCCGTGTGCTTGTACCCATAACCCAACAGCAATTCTTTCTCTTCTGCATTAAGTAACCTCCAGGAAGTTTCTGAACAAATAATAAACTGAGCTTGGTATTGGTAGGGGGGATAACGGTAACTGTCCTCCTGCCACCGCTTCTTCGTAGCTGTGTCGCACTTGCTCAGCCCCGCTGGTCTGGGCGGTGGCTGTGTTCTCGGGATGGATTTTAAGCATGTTGGGAAGACAGCTCCGGTCTTCCCCCCTTCCCAAACATATCCAGGAGTAAGCCACTGTTGCTGCTCAGGGTATGGTGCCGGTGCCGAAACCTCTTTCCAATATCGTTTATTTGTGACCGAGACGTCAGGAAACTGGCCCTCTAAAACTTCTGATGTCCAGCAAAATCTTGGTCTCCTCATGGGGACTGCATCAACGGGGTCCAACCTGTAGGGCACTGCCTCCATAAACGAAGAAATCTGATGAGCTGCACTTTCGTCCATTGAAGCCACATTTTCCAAGACGTGTTTCAGCACGACAGTGGTCCCAAATTCCTCTGCTAGAAGATCTTTTATCCTCGGGATTTCCCAGAAAAGTGAGCTATGTTCGCCCTCCAAGTTTTTGCGGCCATATTTAACCGCTGACAGATCCACGCAGGGCCAACCCGCCCAGAGGTGTATTTCGGCTACTTTCAAGTATTTCAAGCTCCATTGGCGCACCATAGCTCTGTCAATTGATCTCACATCCTTCACCAGCGTCACCCCTGGCCATCTTCTAGTTGTAACTCTGTTTGCCGCGTCGTCCAGTTCCACTGCAATGCGACCTGCTGGTTCCACCCCTAATAGGTCGTAAGCACGGAATGCTCCTCCGATCCCGTTAAACAGGCTGATCAACAAAAGTTCTGCTGGAGTGTCTTTGATGTCTGCCTTCTTGGATTCCACTCCACCAAGGAAGTCACGACCTTCTGCCGTGAGTTCATGAGCAACCTCAATCGATCCTGCTTTCTCAGAGGCATCCGTACAAATAAGGTGTTCACTGATAGAAGCCCCCAGGTTGCAATGTAAAACTGGCGCCATGCACACCAGTGCCAAAAACTCAGCTTTAACCGCACAACGCAAACTTGAAGTAATTGCCCCCGAGCTGCTAATGAATTTCCATGTTTGTTGTAAGAAACTCATCCCAGGCCGCCGGAACTGCAAAATAAAAACCCAGCGCCCTGCCAAAATCTGAACATGCTTTCTTGAGAGATATGATTGACAAAGCATCCACCAGGTAGATTGTATTACCTTTACCAGTTTTTCAGTGCTTACCCCCAGTGTTTTTGATGACCCGTTCACTTCAGCTCCTAATTCAACTGCAGTGTCTGCTCCAGAAACCCGCTTCTTATCTGACGAAATCACACCAGCCTGCGCCCAAGCCCGTTCCGCTAAGTCATGGCAAAGTTGGCTGTCGAACCCTGGTCCTCCTTGCCGAACTCGTTCTCCCCCTGCATAGTTGTCTAAATACACATGCCACCAGCTACGCCCTTCAGATTTAGCAGTTTCCAAAACATCATTCAACCAAGGGGGTATGTCCCTACCCCGTGCAATCTGTTGAGAAGGGCAAAGTCCTTGATGCAGCAGCAAGTTTTCTGAAGCTTCTTGCATGATACCTACGCTGTTCAACCAGCCCATCGGTATCACTGAACAACACAAAGCGTAACATACGCCAACTTGTCCCCCTATGTCTTCTCCTTGAGCAAGAACATTGAACGCTAAGTATGGTTTCCATTGGGCAGGGAGACGGAAAAGATAGAACGCTGAAGACATGTCAGATTGATGGATTTTAACTTCTTCCCCCGGGCAAATAACCAAGCTCTGCCATGAAGTGATGTTTGGGAGTCCCATGCAACCCCCTTCCAACTGATGTTGTGTTGAGTTTGATCCAGTTAAGTTCATAATAAGTCGAAGAACCGGTCGTCCGTCCTCCAAGACTGCGTGTTTTGTTACCCCAAAAAGACCGTTTAACACGGGGGTACCTTTGACCTTTTGAACTTTGTTCAGTGGAACCCAGTCACAAACGTTACGAACCACCAGCTCCTCAGCGATCTTCATCAAATCACCCTTTTTGACGTGAACCTTTCCCGGGAGTTTAGGGAGTTCAATGTCCTTGTCATCTTTGATCAGCCACTCTGGATGCAATAAAAACTCCCTGGTTCTAGGGCAAACCCATAACAAACAATCAACACAACCCCCATGTGCACGTGGTGGCAACGCTGGCGCCACCTGATCCCATGTCAACTCATGGCATATTGACTGTTCTTCACCCCCATAGCCAACCCGACGGCTGCCCATATCTTTTTGCCAGCCAACTTCCGAAGTCGGGTAAGCCACGTTGAAGTTGCTACGTCGCTGCACTGCATCATCCAAAGACGCAACAGCGCGGCGTTCAAGCAACGTCCATCGACCTGCTTCTGGTCGCGCCCGTTTACCAGCCAAACGGTTTAAGGCGCACACCATCACGTAGACCCATGCCGTACGTGACCATGTATCCGCTATGGCAGCATCGGTGCATTCCACCAGCGCCATTCCAGCGAAGACCTGAACGATCGACTGTAGCTCTCCCTCCTTTATAGGAAAAACCAATCCCCTTTTCTTGTCGGGGCTTGGTTTGGTCTTGGCAGTTGTATCTGACCACAAAGCCATGAATTCTTTTGTGACCATGTCAAACTGGGGCAAGTTCACACCGGCTATTGCAAGCCAAGCCAAAGCACAACCCAACTGAGCAAAGGTCGTGCACGAATGCCCAAGCTGTTTCAAATGAGCCAGTTGTAAACCCACTGTATCGCCTCCAGTTCCACTTTCTTGCAGCCCGGCTGAAGCCAGCGCAACCTCATCCACTTGCACTCTCCTCACTTTTCGGGAATTCTCTCCTTGGGCTTTCCCTCCGTTTCTTTTTCGGTTGAGCCCCAAGTCTTCCCTTTTCCTTTTCCTTTGGGCCCCTTCTTGCCCTTTCCTTTGTTGCTGTTGTTGTTGGGTGCTTCTGTCCATGTATCTCCTCGTCCTCGGCCTCCTTTTGACTTGCCTCCTGATTGCCAAGTCCACGCCTCTCCGGGCGCCACGCGCGCCGCCAGCCGCGCATGTTTCTTGGCTGCTAGGACTATAGCCGGCCCTGCTGCTGAACCTTCTTCCAACGGGCGAAGCTCCAGGTGGCGGGCTGTGCTCCACGACCCGTCTAGAACACTTTGATGTATGCTCATGAAACGTCCTGCTAAAACGTCTCCCAAAGTGTCCAAGCTTCCACCCTTGAGAAGGTCTATGGCTTGCGCCAAGTGATGCAGCTCTCGAGCCTGTCCCATGGCGCCCCCCACTTGGGGTCGCACTACGATGGCGAAGTAGCTGCCCATGCGAACTCCACTGCTCAACGTAAGGGTCTCCTCGCTGCCAACTCCTACCTTTGCATTTTGATCCAACTGAGACCTCGCATGTTCCAGCAGCATAGCCAGCACACTGCCCGGCTTGCGCTTCGACTTGCGGGTCAGCGGCGGATCCATCTTGTGCTTGGAGCTTGAACTCGAAGAAGCATCGTCGTAGTCTTTCTCTGAACTCGTGGTCCGAGAGCTCCCCCCATCTGGACTCGGGCTCTCGTCTGTCCCTTTCTTCTTCCTCCTCTTCTTGTCTTTCTTCTTCTTCTTGGACCCCTCTTGCGAGTCGGTTGAAGCCTCTGATCTGTTGTTCTTCTTCTTTCCCATGGCCAGCGCAAGGATCTTGGCAAGTTGATGCGCTGGGGTCTTCTTCTGATGACGTCTCTTCTCCTTCCGATCCTTCTGTTCCTTCTCTTTCGCATTCTCTGCCGCGACTTGGATCAATTGGCTCTGCAAGTTCTTCGTAGTATTTCCTCTTATATCCTCCAGAGCTGGAAGGTCTGCCCCTCTGGCGCCCTTTCCAGAATCGTTGGGCTCTCTCACCCTTCGTCTCTTCTTCTTGGCAATATCTTTTGCCCTTGTCTCGGGCTCTCTCTTCTTCTTCTTGTTGGGGGCGCCCTCTGGCCCTATATCCTCCTTCACCTGAAGGTCGTCCCCCCAAGGTTCGGAGGCTGAATATCCTGGCGAGGATGACTCCACGGCAAGGGCTTCCGCATAAGTCCCGGGCTCGGCCGCGTGGCCAGCGGGAGTCCCAGCCCCACGATCCAACATCTTTGCCCTGGCTGCCTCCAGCCGCTGTCGTAACATGTGCCTCTCTTTCTCCTCCATAGGTTTCTTTGAGCGTTCTTTCTTTGGCCGCTCCCCCAAACGGGGGGCTCCTGCGGGGACCGCGTCGGCTTTCGGCGTCGGCCTGATTCGAGGATCGACTGCACCAGGCCCCTCTGCCTCTTTGTCTGCGTCGTCGGGGCCATCTCGACGGGGAGGATCCCCAGAGATGTCCACCCCGTCTCCCTCGTCTGAAAGCTCCTCTTCTTCCCACTTGCTGATTTGCCGCTTGATGTAGCTGCCCATGTAGGGTCGCGCAAAGGCGCCCGTTGTGAAAACCCTGAGGCGGGTGACGTGCATGCTGTAATCCTCGGTCACCACACAAGGAGTTGTTGTGCAGAGATGAATGGTGCCTTTCTTTCTGTTGAATTGGTTTGAGAAGTACTTGGCCCAATCTGGATCGCTGCAACCCAAGCTTTTCACCACCACCATGTATTCTCCTGTGGCCTGAATCAAGGCACGTTTCACCCAGAAACCGGACCACAGGTCTCCGGTGCATCCACAATCTGTACTGGGTAGATGCACTTCCAACACATCTCCACGGTTCAATGCCAGAGATTCCCATTCTACTGCCCGTTCAATGTTGTATTCTTTACCTTCTTCCACCAGCATCCCCACGCCGTTCTTCGCGCGGCCGATGGCCAGCAAAGGGGCGCTCCTGTTCCCAAAAGGAACGGGGAGGCTTACGATGCACCCTGAGGGATGGATCGTCTAATGTCCTGTAAAGCCTTGGATGACGACTTCCGCCTCTTGCTCCTCTGCGCTTCTTCTTCCCTTCTGAACGGTTGAGATGCTTGCGCCTCTCTAGGGAACGACTGCGTGGTCTTTCCCCTGAGTTGTCTATCTGACTTGCTGCCCCCCTAGGCGGGTAAGGCGGCTCGGGTGGCTTCCTTGAAGGATCCGACTTGGCCTTCACTCCTTTGATGGAAGGGGATCTGACTGTATCCTCTTCGCACTCCTCCTCTTCTTCTTCTTCCTCGTCGTACTCCTCCTCGTCCTCCTGCTCACGCTTTGCAACTTCTGCAGGACGTTCACGGCTTGTTTCGCAGACCCTTGAAGATCTGGGCCTCTCTCCAGCTGCTTCTCCACGAGGCACCGGAGGTGGAGGCGGAGCTGCACGGGATCTCCCAGCGCTCTCTAGGCTGGCTGAAAGCTCACGGAGGGCTACCACGCCGCGGGTAGCACTGATCACCAGTTCCTCCGCTACCTTTCTCAGCCCGGGCGTGGCCCAGCGGCCAGCCAGCTCAGTTCGAAGAGACTCCACCCCCGAACAAGCCAGACACCAGCTATCAGTGCCGTGCGGAGGGCACTGGCGGCACCTGGCGCAAAGCATCCAAACCCTAAGAAAACCTGGAGAGCTTGGGCCTGAAATAGCCCCATGTCGGCGACAATCGTGAGGTGGTTCCCACAAAATGTTCAAAGAACTTTCTGGGATATAAACCATTAAGTTTACCCTCTGGTTATCTAACATAGCCATGGGATAGATGGCCCATGTGTAGATGGTTTACCTATTAAAAATGGTGGATCTTTCCATGGCTATGTTAAATAACCAGATGGTATGTTCTTTTTGCCAACATTTTGTTATATAACCATCAACTAATAACCATGGTAAAACATAGTTGGATATTGGGATATAAATCATTAAGTTTAAGTTGTGTGTTTTTCCTAATGAAAGGACCAGACTACCAGACTTCCAGACCTGGGGACAACAACTGCAGATCATGGGAGATGTGAAAAAAATGATATTTTTTCACCGACACCTGGATGGTTGTTTAATGGGGAAAACCATGAATCGGTAAAAACAGCAGCAACAAATGGGATGATCATTGGGATTATACGGATTTATATATAGTAATGGAAGGACCCACACTTGATTTTCGGGTTTTGAGTAGTATTGATCACATGTCCTCTTTTTTAAGTGGCTCTAATAACAGGGGGGAATATACGTTATCAATAAGAACAACCCGTTTGGTTTAATAGATTTGTTATAAAGTTGTCAAAGGTTGGTGCATGGCCATTGCTAGTGACTTACCCTCTGGAAATCAAACGTGGCAATGGAAGGTTTTACTGGAAAACTATCTATGAAAGGTGGATTTCAATTGCCACGTATGATTACCAGAGGGTATTCCTAAAATCTCCTAGATATCGCTCCTGGAAACAATTGAAACTAGGGAATGTATTGATGCAAATGATCTCCAAGCACATAAAAGATCCCCAAGCTACATTTGAACCCAGCACCTCCCATCCCATCCCATCGTCAAAGACACTGTTGGCGCAATAGTTGGACACAATCCTCAGACGCAGCACCAAACATCCAACATCCAACATCCCAACAGGTGTTCCCCAGGTAACCGCCTGTGGTACCCTCTGGACTAACATAGCTATGGTAAGTTATGACCCATAGAAATAGATGATGTACCTATGTACCGAACTTAAAATTGGTGAGTTTCCATGGCGAACTGTTAAATAACCAAAGGCTACATCTTTTTATGCGAAACTGCGTCGCGGCTTGCCTGTGCTGGTGGTTTGTGCGCGCTTTGCTGTTGGCTGCCTATCGTTTGGGCCATGCGTTTTGCGCGGTTTCGTCCTTTTGCCTGGTCGACCTTCTGCTTGTTGACTACTTTTGGATAATTATTGTACTTCGCACAGTTTTTTTCCGGTAAAAAATAAATTAAATAAGACAAACGCGAAACGGAAATAGCACGAACTGTGACATGTTTTGTACTGCCTCTGTCTTCTCTTCCCACCACTGTTGCATCTGTCCATAAGTCGGAAAGTTGACTTCTAAATTTCATAAAAATGATATATCGCCTCTAAACATCTAAAAACATATACTAGCTATACTCTAAAACATTCCCTCTAAACATCTAAAAACTTTGCGCCCATTTAGCCATTTCGTAGGCCCGGTGGCCCTCGCCCGTTGCTCCAAGGGTCGTGGCCAAGGTCAACGGCAAGATCAGCCGCGGCACCGCGATGAGTTCGAAGACGGTGACCACCACAGAATTCACGCGGCAGACGGCGCCGCAGAAACAGGTGGCGCCCACGATGGCCAACCTACGTGGCAAGATGGGGATGGGAAAATCTATGGTTACCCTCTGGTTATGACTAACAGTTTGCCATGGAAAATCCCAACCATAAATGGAGGTTTTAAGCTGGGAAAATCATCTATAAATGGTTTTGACTAACAGTTTGCCATGGAAAGATCCACCCATTTTTAAGAACGGTAAAACCATTTATTTCTATGGGCCATGGCTTAACCATGGCTATGTTAGTCATAACCACCATGGCTATGTTAAATAACCAGAGGGTAAAAGAAATGTTTCTTGATGTTTTTGGCTTCATCATGGTTAGATTGGTTAGATGATGTTAGATGATTAGTGAGGGTTAAGATGTCTTAAGATGAACATATTAACCATATAGTGATTTTATCATCGTCATCAAACATCAATCAATCAATCAACCAATCAATCAGTCAATCAATCAATCAATTCAATTCAGTTCAGTTCAGTTCAATTCAATTCAATTCAATTCAATTCAATTCAATTCAATTTCAAATCAATCAATCAATCAATCAATCAATCAAATCAAATCAAACCAAACCAAATCAATCAAATCAATCAAATCAATTAATATATCAATATATCAATATATCAGTATATCAATATATCAATATATCATCATCATCATCATCACCATCATCATCATAATCATCAGATCATCATCCAAAATAATCACCAACAGTGTATCATGACCATACAGTGAACATTATGTAATGATTATATCACCCAATAGTTAGTGGACATATCACTAGTGATGTCACTATTATGACATGATATAATATATTACCATATCATGATTACATCACCACGGTGAACATACATATTGATATAATTGGTTGACAATATGGCTGGCTGGATAGTGATATAATCAACATTAGATAATCACCATCATGATCATATAATGACATAATCAACATCATTAGATAATCAACATCGTAATCAATAATCATTAGATAATCAACCATAGATAGTCACCATAGATAATCAACCATAATGGAAAATCAAAAATGTTTGAAACCACCATTTTCAGTTATAGATGAAATGGAAAATCACCATTTTCAATGGGTAAATCCACTATGGTAAACCTCCATTTTCCTATGGTTTTCCTATGGTTTTCCTATGGTTTTCCTATGGATCCCCAGTTGATGACCCCCAGTTGCCACCATCGTCACCATCGCAAACGGCACCTGGCGATGTATTGCCCAAAGTCCCCGTCGGGCGCCAAGAAGTCGATGCACCACAAGGGCAGCAGCGCGGCCACGAGGCGGCCAAAGATGCCGCCCAGCATCAGCGACGGAGCCACCACACCTGGGAAAACCATGGGAAAATGCTGAAGATTTCATGGGATTTTGAGTTGACTTAAAGTTATACCCTGGTTGATTGGTGAATCACATGGATATATATATAATATATTATACATATATATGTATATATATATATATTATACGTATATATATATATATTATATATATATATATACGTACATATATATATATATAATGTGTGTGTAATGGGATATAATGAACAATACCCTGGTTGATTGGCATAGGAACGCTCACCTCGCTGGGAAAACCATGGAAAACAAGATCTGAATTTCAGCGAAAATCGTCCGGCTGGGGACTGGTGGATTATACGAAAATCATCGATATGTATGGCTTTGTAATGACTAACAATGGCTAATCATAATCAAGAATGGTTAATAACAACAATAAATATAATGATCATATGTGTATATATATATATAATAATAATAATAATATGAATTTCCCAAGCTAAAATGGATTGTCATCGGTTCCAGAGAAATGGTTCGGAAAATGGTGCTCAAAGATTGAAAGCCATATGGCTGGAAAATTAGGAAACTAAATGGGGTTCAGCAAGCCATATTTGAGAAAATTTTGGGTAAAGCATTGGGAAAATTTTGGGGAAGCTGAATTGTTTGAGAAAGATTAGCGAAACAAATGGGAGTTGAAGCTTGTTTTGGTGATTGAATTGAGGGAGTTCAAGCTTAATGAAAAGCGGCTTCAAAAAGATGAACTTCGAGAACTTGATGAAACCTTGAAGAATTGGGAGTAAACCTATGATGTAACGGTCTTTTTGTGGCATGGGAGATTAAAGTCATGTGGTAAACCTATTAGAAAAACCTACCATGACTGGGGATGGTTTATACAACCCGTAAACACGGTGCTTTTGGGGATGTTCGATGACATTGGGTGAATCCCAACCAGGAACCAACCTTTCACCAATGTTTAGATCCACCAACATCTAACCTCGCAATTGAACATTACCAGTATGATTTACCCAAAAAAAAGTCTTTATAATCGCCAGGTCAGATTCCCAAATTCCCCAATGATGAAAACTCATTGAAAACTCCGCTTTTTACTGATGAACTTGTGTTAAACCGCCCAGTTTTGGTGGTTTTAATCCCAATTTTGGCGGGTTAAATGGTGACCATCCCCAGTAAGTTGCCTGCGGGGACCGGCATGGACAGGGCCATGACGGTGAAGCTCGTTTTCCTTGGCTTGCTTGGCATCCGAAAGGATGAATTCCTGCAGAAAAAGAGGCTTGGAAACCTCTGAGAACCCAAAAAAAATGGTTTTGAAACATGATTCTTACCCCTTAAAACTCTTATAACTGCAATTCTGCAACTATCCATGTATAACACCATTGATGAAAATGCTGAAAACATGAACACCACTACCCTCCGGCAATCAAACGTGGCTGGCTGAAAAATCCTCCATTTATAGATGATTTTCCTAACTGTAATCCTTCATTCATAATCATTTATAGATGATGTTCCCATCAAAAATCCTATATAAAAAACATATAAAGAAAAAAAGACACTAATCATCACATGGACACCAACCAACAGTCACCATCTTCGCAGCACCTTCGCCCCACCTTCGCCCTTTTGGTCGTCCCAGCAACGCCAGAAAGAGGAGCAGCAGTCCTGAGAGGCTGCTGAGCTCAGGGTGCTGCAGATGTGCTTCGGTGGCGAAGATCGAACTGAGGAACCTCGTGGAGCTTCAGCCGGCAGAACGGGAGACCCGGGGGGGCCCTTGGGTGGGAAAAACAAATGCGGAAAAAAGACAAAAACATCGGAAAATGGCAAGCCATAAAAATGGAAAGATTTTTCATGGGCTTTTTTTGAGGTGGTTGGTTGGATGTGTTTTCCCTGAGAGAATGGGATCATCCTCACGTTATGGCTTGGATGATTTACAGAAAAACGTACAGAGAATTGGAAAGTCCATGGGATGACTTGTTGGAAATTCATGGTGAAAACTCACCTTCTGTCGTGGAACCAGGAGGATTTTCCATGATTCAAGCTGGTGATTTAACCAACAAAAATGGCAAAGGAATGGGATGTTCATGGTTTTATACAATGACTTACCAAACATTTCTGAGAAACACCATGGGAATCTTGCGTAAGTTTGTTGGGATTATCATGGATAGATGGGATGTTCATGGTGATATGATCCCCATAAAAAAAGAAACCGACCAATGGTAAGGTGGTGGATTTAACCACCAAATAAATTCGTGACATTTTGTCGTAAGAATCTTATAACAATTCACTTGGTTGACTTCACTATGCTGTTAGATGATTTGATTATGATTATGAACTATAAACCAACTTGTAAGATGGTTCTGACCTTAAGTTCTTTTGCGATGCCATTGGATATGCCATTGATTATACTGCATGTACATCATGTCTGTGTACATAATCTGTTGATGATGTTCATTCATGACTAAGCTCGCCAAGTTGGTTTATAGCTATGGCTAGATGATGTTGAATCAAAAAAAACAACTTTCAACTCTGGTGATTAATTGCCCATTGGGAACTGGTGATGAATCACTATTAATCACTATTAATCACTATTAACCATTATTAATCACCATGTTTTTGCAGATGTTTCATACCTCGAATTTTTCGAAACAAAAATCAAGTAAGCGTTGGGGATCCTGGGCCCCGCACGGGCCGGTCCCCAAGGTGAGCAGTTTGCTGCCTGGCATAGGGCATACCCAGACCCTGTGCTATATGTGGTTGTATATGTATGTATATTCGTAGTAGTTGTTGTTGTAGATGTATGTATATTAGTAGTAGTTGTAGTAGTAGTAGTAGTGTATGTGTATATATATATGTATGTATTAGTATATGTATGTATATTTACTATTATTATTATTACTATTATTATTATTACTATTATTATTATTACTATTATTATTATTACTATTATTATTACTATTATTATTATTATTACTATTATTGTTATACATATATATATACATAAACCACTCTCTCCATGTATCATTCCTGGTTCCCAGCTGCGACTGACCTGCCCCAACTTTCAGCAGCGCAGCGATGCCCCCGGCCGCGAGGAAAATCGCCAAATCCCGCGGCACCGACTGACCTGCTTTCCTTGCTTAACTGTTGGGTTCATGGGTAGATATTTATATAAATATATATATATATGTCTACATATGGGTATATATATATATTATATATTATTTATAATACATACTATATATATATATTATATACATAATATATATAATATATAATATGGGATATGGCCAATCTTGTATCTGGTAAACATACAAAAAAACTATGGAACATCCACCCATTTGCTGAGTAAATCAACAAACTAGCCATGGCCATGGCTTCCAGTTCGAAAAAAAAAAGTAAACGTTTACCAGAGGCTAAACTCTGGTGGTAAACGGGTAAACCTCCATATTTTCCCATGGTTTTCCCATGGTTTTCCTATGGCTTTCTCTCAACCACCTCTCGAGAACCACTGGTGGGATAGATCTAGGGAGATCATCGGGGGAAATCCATGGAACATAACCAATACCCGACCTGGTAAACGTTAACAAAAAACCATGGAAAGATCCACAGTTTTTTAAAGAACGGTAAAACCATCTATTTCTATGGACCATTTTCCATGGTTATGTTAAATAACCAGAAATCATCTATTTCCATGGATAAATCACCATTTTCAAGTTCGCAAAGTGTAAACGTTTAGCATATTTTCCAACTGGCTCCATCAATGGTGATGTTTTCCTGGCACTACAAAGCCCCGGGATGGTTTCCAATGGATTGGTGATTGGATTAAATTGGGGGGATGTAACCATTGATATTGACACTCCTGGAAATAGTAGATATAAAGTTGATTTGGGGCTGGTTTGCACATTCCAACAAGATTCGGAAGAACGCTTGGTTTGCACTGCGGCTACCCGTTGGATGTTGGGTAGTTTGGGATTATGAACAGGTGGATCATTCACCATGAATCATGGAGCTAGAAGATTACATTCTTGGACATTTAGCATGATTTTTCACTACGTAGTTAGTGGTTAATGCTTAACGATTTTGATACCTACCTATCCAACAAACTAGTAAACTATTGATATCTAACTATATAAAATTGGGAAAATCTATATATATATATACATAGGTATTAACCATCACTAAGCCCGACTTTTTGGGGGCTCAAAATTGCCAATATTGTTGGGGAGCTTCGCAATACCGAAATGGGCTTTCGGTAAACTTCCAGTAGCGTCAAAAGTTTGAGACAACCACATCTCCATGGAGAGTTTTTAACCATATTGAACCATAGGTTTATCCCATTCTCCCACTTTTGAACCATGGGTTTATACATGTTTATATCACTAATGAGAATGTGAAAACCATCCCAACATTCATAGTTTATCTACGAAATGTTTGGGGTGCCCATGTTTTTTGGGAGAATCTCTTTTGATGCGATGCTGATTCTTCCCATTTTCGGATCGTCACGGGTGGACTTCTTGAACCAAAGTTCAGAAAACCACGGTATGCTCAGCCGGCAAGACCCCATCATTTTCCCCGAAAAAAAGAAAAGTGGTGTCTCATCAGAAGTATCATCATATTTCATGATTAAATCCCATTAAATCCCATGAAATCCCATTAAACCCCATTAAATCCTGTAAAAAGTGCCATGTTTATGGCTATCCAAGCCATTTCTTTCGACCCATTTTGCCCCACGGCACCGCTTCCACGGACCGTCCCAGCAGCTTCTCGCCACAGAGTGGTGCCAGACCTCTGAGGGCGTTCATCGCCCCAACGGCGCGCCTGGATATCAATGGGAATAACCATAGTTAGTTCACCCACTTATACGTATGTATATAGATACATATATATATATAGATAGATAGATAGATAGGTAGATAGATAGGTAGATAGAGATAGATAGATAGATAGATAGGTAGATGGATAGATAGATAGATAGGTAGATAGATAGAGAGATAGAGAGATAGAGAGATAGAGAGATAGAGAGATAGAGAGATTGAGAGATAGAGCGATAGAGCGATAGAGAGATTGAGAGATAGAGCGATAGAGCGATAGAGAGATAGAGAGATAGAGAGATAGAGAGATAGAGAGATAGAGAGATAGAGAGATAGAGAGATAGAGAGATAGAGAGATAGAGAGATAGAGAGATAGAGAGATAGAGAGATTGAGAGATAGAGCGATAGAGAGATAGAGAGATAGAGAGATAGAGAGATAGAGAGATAGAGAGATAGAGAGATAGAGAGATAGAGAGATAGAGAGATAGAGAGATAGAGAGCTGAGGCTAGAGAGCTAGAGCTAGAGAGCTAGAGAGATAGAGAGCTAGAGAGATAGAGAGATAGAGAGATAGAGAGCTAGAGAGATAGAGAGATAGAGAGATAGAGAGATAGAGAGATAGAGAGATAGAGAGATTGAGAGATTGAGAGATAGAGCGATAGAGAGATAGAGAGATAGAGAGATAGAGAGATGGATATATGAATAGCTAAGGTGCGGCCACGAAACGTTAGCCAAGTTTTTCCGCACACGACTTGGTGAATGTTTGGGTTTATGTGGAGATTCTGGCTATAGTATGATATCGATGGGGGTTGGAAAATAACCATAGGAAAATAACCATGGGATCCATAGGAAAACCATAGGAAAACCATCGGAAAATGGGAGGTTTACCCTCTGGTAAACTAACAGTTAGCTATTGAAAATGACCATAGAAATAGTTGATTTACCCATTGAAAATGGCGATTTTCCATCGTTTTTTGTATGCTTACCAGAGGGTAACAGGGGGGCCTCACCTTGTACTTTGACCACCCCTCTGATGTTAAACGGGATAACAACTCCTCTTAGTCTTTTAAGGCCATGAGTAAGGAAAGAGCTGACCAGGTGTAGTTAAAGGGGAACCTAAACTACTCAGGGCCTTAGCAAATGGATCCATGATCAATCTTTAGCTCAGCTGTGTGAACGTACTTCAGCAAAAAGACCTCTAAGCCTTAAGCTGTTGGGATATACTCTTCTGAGTCTTGAATTGCAAACCAACATGGCAACAAATCCTGCAGGATCCCTGACTTGATTGACCATTGTCTAATCATATCTGGAAAGTGATGAGAGCATTTTTCCATCCAAAGGATGCCTTACGCAGAAAAATAAAGGTCCAATGATCAGTTACTTCCCCCCAAAAAAAAAGTCCAATGATCAGTTACTTCCCCATTAAAGTCCAATGATCACTTGATCACTTCCCCATTTTCGATGACCATCCCCGCAGTTGCCGGCGAACTCTCCCGCACCTGTGGCATAGCACAAAGGTGCTGGCCAATGCTCCACTGAGTGCTCCAGTGATCAAACTCAGGAAGATGAACAGGATCCTTAAGTCGGAGGGAATACCCGGCCTGGTAAAACCATAGGAAAACCAGAGGAAAACCATAGGAAAATGGAGGGAATACCCTCTGGTAATGACTAGCCGTTTGCGAACTTGAAGCCCTGACCCAGTAGAAATAGTGGATTTACCCATTGATAGCATGGTGGATCTTTCCATAGTTATGTAAACGTTTACCAGAGGGTATAACAAATGCGGACATGACTAAGTTCATGACTATATTATATATATATAAGATGCATAAGAAATGCTATATAAGTTATCCCACTAGATTATAGATCTATGATAAAACATATAGATGGGATATCTATTGTATCTATAATATCATCCTATAATCATCCTCTATATATAAGATACCCTCTGGTTATTTAACATAGCCATGGTATAGATGGCCCATAGAAATAGATGGTTTACCGAACTTAAAAATGGGTGGATCTTTCCATGGCTATGTTAAATGACCAGATGATAACACTATATAATGGGATATCAGATTGTAACATATTGTAATGTCTCGCTGAGTCAGAGTCGCCCCCTTTTTCAAAACTTCATCAAGGTGATGCCCAGTTCTGTAAACCTTATGGACCTCACCCTGTAGTGTATTTATTGGGTTTTACCAAAGAAAAATGGCACATAATTGATTGGTCATATCAATAATATGAGTATAACATTGTTTGGTGTAGTAGTACGACATAACATAGTGAGATATAGCAAAATTACGGATAATTTGCATGACACACCGAATATCTTGGCGCCCAGATGTGTGTCACAGTTCACGGGGACCTCAATTTGAGTCCACCCCAAAATGGTGTGCCTGAAAACGGGCTATACTCCCAAAAAGCACCAATTTAATGAGGGAAAATGATCCATGGAATGGGGTTGTTCCCCTACACTTTCAGACAAGTTACCAATTTCGTTGTGTGTAATTTACCAATTTCTGATACTAAAATTTATCCCCCAAGTAGCTCCTGTAATGTCAACCCTGGATTTATAAGCCCGTGGGCTGTTGATGGTTTGGGGGCACCATTTTTACTAGCAAATGAAATCATTAAAAATGGGGGTACCTTGCCAGGTAATCAACCCCAATGATCATTGAATAGTGACGAATCTGCTAGCAAAATGGTACCCCAACATCTGAAAAAATCCCCCTAAGACTCAGCGACCTCTATCAATCCACCAGGTTTGGTCTCATCCTCCCCCGATCTCTTCACTCTCTCCTATATATCCCCATCATATCCCCATATTCTTGGTTTGTCACTACTACATATACTGGTTGGTGTTTGACCTACCCCTCTGAAAAATGATTGACTTCGTCAATGGGAAGGATGACATCCCATATATGAAATGGAAAATAAAATAAAAATGTTTGAAACCACCAAGCAGTATATGATATGGGTATTATAACCAACAATAGGATGGTAAGAGGATGGTAATATGATGATATCACCCATGAAATAGCGCTGGAAATAAGCAACACATGGTATACCCCCATCAAACCCTCCTGTTTGGCAATGTGTCGATGATGGCCTCCATTTTCCCAGCTATAAACCACGTGGCTACCGCAGTGTATCTCTCCCCATCAAACCCTATGAAACATCCCACTAAATCCCATGAAATCCCATTAAATCCCACTAAATCCAATTAAATCCCATTAAACATCCCTATGAAATCCCCATTTCCATCGGATTTCCCATGGCTTTTCCATACGTGAAATCCCAGCAACTCAGCCCCCAAAGTGGGCGAATGTTCTGCGGTGATGTCCGAGTTGAAGAGTGGCTTCAGCTGGCCACTGCCGGAGAAGAACATGTTCAAACACATGAAGACCTCAACGAGTCGCTGGGAAATCCTATAGAAATCCTATAGAAATGGTGATTTTATAGGAAAATCCTATAGAAATCCTATAAAATTGTGATTTGATAGGAAAACCCTATAGAAATCCTATAGAAATTGTGATTTTATAGGAAAATCCTATAGAAATCCTATAGAAATGGAAGTTTTATGGGAAAATCCTATAGAACTGAGATGAAATAGAATCATTGGATTGGTTCAAGGGAAAAACGAAACTGGAAACCATGGTTTTTACCATGAAGATCATCGGGGGTTCCGGTTCAAATGTTCCCATAAACCAATCCAATGAGATGAAATTAGGATTTCATAGGGATGCTTAATGGGATTTAATGGGATTTAATGGGATGTAATAGGGTAATGGGGGTATAAACCAACAATATTGCACTGTTCAAAACCCGAAAGGTCATAGCCATAGAAAATCACCATTTTTAATAGGTAAACCATCTATAAATGGGCCATTTCCCATGGCTATGTTAAATAACCAGATGGTAATTTATTAATCCCATATAATCATCAATCAAAAGAGGGCTTTGAAGAGGAACCAATGTGTAAAGGCTGGAAAACTTGGAATAGAATGGGCATAGAATGGATGATATTAACATAACTGGAATAAAAGAATGGATATATATATATATGTGGATAATATAATATATGGATCATTGGAATACATACAATTACTGATGTTAAAAATCTCATTCCTATGGTGCTCCAAATTTTGGATACCTCATCCAGACACCAAAAAAAACCGCCAAGGCTCAAAGGTTCCGAAGGTCGATGCGAAGAAACACGCAGAGTAGGAGGAGGTGTCGTAGAGCCGTGGCATCATCAGCTCTAGAGCAAACCTCAGGAACTGTGATATCCAGTTTCATACATTTATATTCATGATCCATATATATATATATCCATATGTATATATATATATACCATATGGTTTTCATATGGTTAGCCTTCGTAAAATCAAATCTGGCTGGGAAATCCATGGAATCTCCAGACGAAATGATGGATGTTCAATTGCCACGTTTGAGTACCGCACGGTCAGGTCCATTAATGCTTAAGACTAGTAGTTAGTTGGATTATTGATCATTTCATCCTTCTAAGAGTGGTCAAGAATGGCTAATGAGGCCTTGTAATGACTAACAATGGCTAATCATAATCAAGAATGGTTAATAACAACAATAAATATAATGATCATATATATATAATAATAATAATAATAATAATAAAGAATAATAATAACAATAATAATAATAATTTTAATAATAATAGTAGTAATCATAAGAATGATTTACTGGTGCTTGTTTTTCCCATCCCCCATATCCCAATTTTCATGTGTCCTGCAGGGACCACTGCCAAAAATCCCAACGAAAAAGGCCGCGACTTCGGGAAAGCCGGGAATGCGCCACACATCGGGAGAGTTCTTCGGAAATGTTGCGAAAAAACTGAAGTTCCAGCATTTTCTTTTACTAATTTTACTATTTCTGCAGCTGTTTTTCCTCGATGATCCCATGTTTTTCCACATGTTTCCCGGGTTTTTCCACCATTTCCACGGCAGAATCGCTCCTCCGCCGCGGCTGCCGTGGCACAAGACGCCCCCCACGGGGGCTGAAAAGGTGGCGCCGACACCCACAGCCACAGCCGCAAGGAGCACCTCCTGGGAGCACGGAAATGGTACAATATGTGGGTATAACAAACCATATGATGTTCATGGGATATGATAATATGATAATGGTAGTATCATGATAATATGGTGGTAAAATGATGGTAATATGGTGATAATATGATAATATGATGTTCCTAATATATGGGTATTATAACCATAGTATCCAACTAGGGGATTTGGACTATCCCCATGAATATTGGTTAATATAGGGGATTATACTACCCAAATCTCACAATCCCCAATATATACCAACCAGACAATATATCGGTATTATAACCAACAATAGGATGGTAATATGGTGGTAATATGATGGTAATATGATGATAATATGGGATATGATAGTAATATGGTGGTAATATGATGGTAATATCATGAAAAAATGGTGGTATAAGCATATTGGAATATCACGGGAAATGGGAAAAAACTATGGGGAGAACTATATATTATGGAGATATATCATTGTAATGATAATAATAACAATGGGATATATTATCAATGGGGATATAATATCATTGGAATGGGGAGTGTAACTATAGATGGGGTATAAACCAACGTATAACTAGGAGTATATTGGAATGTCATGGGATATCTATCTATTATATATATATATACACAACCAACTTTATCTGGGATACCAACAACCATGGGAACGTAATGGGACTGTATAACCAGCCGGGGTGATTTCCAATGGGGAAAACGATAACTATGGACGAATCTATGGGAAATGATGTTTGCTGTATCAAAAATTAAGTGAAGAAAATGGTTCAACGGAATATTTGGAGCGTATAGCACTGGAAAATTCAATGAACTATTGATATTACATGTATAATATATATATATGGAGAATGTGGTGAATCGTGTGACATACCCTCCAGTACACTAACAGTTTGCGAACCGTTAAGTCACCGGAGGGTAATCCCCAAGATTTTCAACATCATAGTAGCCCTGTAATCATAATGGGGATTCGACCAAGCAGTTGAAAAGGGAAGATCATCTAAATATCATGGGATTTTTTATCTTACGCCCATAGGCCCAGCCATAGATGATTTAGATGATTTAGCGATATGCACGTCCGACCAGAGGGAATCCCATTCACAAATTCCGTCCTAAGAGTTATCCAATTATTCCTTTAAAAAAAAGGGATGATAATGTCGATGAAATCCTGCACCACCAATTTCGGATGGTTGAAACCCAAACAAAATAACGGGATGTTTACCACCGTTTTCAACTGGTACACTTTATTTATTCCATCCACAAAATAAAGCTTGTGATATCATGGCAATATAATGTGGTACTGTTCCTAATATAGTGCTACTATTTGTTGCTACTATTCTAAATGCTATTATGGTTTGTACCATAATATAGTACCATATTAGAAGAACGAAAAACCTATATGATATTGTAGCATATTCTGGTATATAATGTTACTATATGGCTATATAATGTTACTATAATGCTACTATATGGGTATAAAAGTACCTATATTGGTATATAATGTCATATTACCACCATATTACTATCATATTCCATGTTATCATCATATTATCATCATATTACCATCATTTTTTCATGATATTACCATTATCATATTATCATATCCCATGAACATCATATGTTGGTTTATAAACCCCATGAATACTATAGTTATAAGTACCATAAACCATGGTTATTGGTATATTCTGGTTTTTCATAGTACTATTCTGGTTTTTCTGGTAATAACCATAGGTACTATATTATATAGTACTATAATTGGTATAGAATGCTACGATATTCTGCTTTTCTCCCATCTCATTTTCGCCCGGTGAGGAAGAAGCGCCTGCCGGTCCAGGCTCACGGATGCAAAGCACCGTTCCGATTCCCTGGGACGTTCCGCAACGGGCCGCAACGGAAGGGGAGCCATGAAGCAACAGCCATGGGAAATGGCCCATTTTTCTAGGAAAATCATAGGAAAATGGAGGTTGACCCTCTGGTAATGACTAAGAGTTTGCTATTGAAAATTGCCATGGATAGTTGATTTACCCATTAAAAATGGTGATTTTCCATAGTTATGTTAGTTTACCAGAGGTATATACAATAATAATGATTGTGATATAATGGTGGTATAGTGGGAATATGATGGGAATACAATCATGAAATGTAGTGGTGATAACTATAGTATCTCAATGGAAATAACATGTCACATGATATGGACATTTATGTGAATATAATGGTTCCAGTGGAAATATGATAACAACCAATATAATGGAAACTAGGATGTCTCTGGTGTAATGGAAATATACCGATGGAACGCAATGGATATAAACAGTGATGAAGGTATAATGGAAGAATGTACTGGGAAGACAATAATTAATGGCCTAGACGGGTATATAGTGGTCATGTAGTGGTGATGATATAGAGGGTGAATGACTATAACCATGGAGGATTAATGGGAATTAATAGGAATTGATGGGATATATAAACCAACAAGCCTTTGGATATATACCCTCTGGAAATTTGTTACACAACTATGGATTCCATGGCCCACTGATTGATGATTTACCTATATCTGCCTACTAAGAATAGTGATTTCCCATAGCAAACTGTTGAATAACCAGAGGCTAACTAACCATATTACGGTACATCATGTATATACATCATGGGATTTCAGCATGGAAAAAATGTTTCAGCAACAAGTTCTGTTGCCACAACTTCCGGAAATTTCTGCGATTCTGCAGGGATTAAATCCCTATGTTTGATCATTGAATCACCATTGAGGGACGTTGGCCAACAAGAGCCTCCATGTTTGAGCAAAGCCCTATCAGTTCTATCCATATCACCATATCATTCTCCCCCACATCCAGCTATATGCCCATTTTATCAGCTATATTCACCACATAGCTAAATCCCCATGTATACCTGGTAATCCAACATGGCTTGCTGGAAAATCACCATGTTTCACAGGAAAAGATCGGTCATCCATGGGCCAATTGGCACTGAGGTGCAGAAGCATCGCGCTGATACACGAGGCGATGTGAACAAAGGGTCCTTCCTGGCGACGAAAGGAAGACCATGACGTTTCGGGGCGTTGAGACATGACAACATGGGTATTCTGCCCAATATGTATATCATGTGTGTATCTGATTGGTGGCTTTAACCATCTTGAAAAATATTAGTCAATGGGAAGGATTATCCCATATATTATGGAAAAAAATGTTCCAAGCCACCAACCAGTATACATATATATAATTATATACCACCAACCAGTATATATATAATTATATATATATCAGACACGGATATATGTGTTTGGGTCAAGATGAACCATCTCCAAGTTGGGTAAACTGCCATACCAGACCATAAAATAAGAATGAAACAATCCATTTCCAGATCTTTGCAGCATTTCACTGGGGGACCAAACCGAACCGAACGATACGCACCCAATGACTTGACCCATCCCCATGAGAAACGGCTTGTCATAATTCCCAACCACTTCGGTGACAACACACCAGTGACTAACAATGCTATTTTCTGACTGTGACTCATGTGAAGTCTTCACACCAGGCAAAAACAAAAAAAACCATCAACTCCCCATTGAATCTCCGTGAAAACATCTTAAAAGCTGGGGGAATCCACATGAATCCAGCAAACTTCCCAGTTCTCTCCGCTCAACCACCGTTCTCCGAAAACAAACCGCGGACCACCTTCCCCACCGGCATGGCGGCACCGAGCACCAGCATGAGACCGAAGGACTTCGCCACGAGCACTCGAGGCTTCAGGAAATTCCCCAGCTCGATACCACCTGGGAGCCGAGAAAACATCAACAGGGGAAAATGATGGAGGTACAACTGAAATAGTTGAGTGGTTCATAATGGTTAATAGTGGTTAATAGTGGTTAATAGTGGTTAATAGTGGTTAATAGTGATTCACCTTCTAAAATGGCCATTAAATGGGGAAAATGATGATTCACAATGGATTTAGAGGTACCATAGTTTCAGACAAACCCAGAAGATGTCATGGGAAGATTGATAGTTAATTCACAAAACCGTGAAATGTCAACAATAAATGTTCCTATTTAATTAAAAAAACATGAACATTCTTAATACCATTCAATATGGAGCTTTCCAATCCATGGGGGTACCCCCAGTTCTCATCCATACATGGAGTGTCCATGAAAGAAACCATCCATTTTTGGGGTCCCAATATTTTAGGAAACCCCTAAAAATTGTCATTCACCAAGAGAAATTGGTATCAACCAACAATAACAAAGGTAAAATGGTTACCTATGTCGCTTGATGGTTACCAACAATTACCTATTTCCTATTGTGATGATGGACATTTATCAGAAATTGGGATCAACATTGGGATCAACCAACCGTCATTTTTGCTAATGTCTGGTCAACAAAAGGGGATCTGACTTTTAATTTTCACCAGCAGTCCTATAGGGCGGAACATCTGAGGATACGGAAAATCGAGAAACGGGATAGCTGTCATGGGGAAAAAAAAAACCTCTGGTTATTCAACAGATAGCGAACTGGTAAACATACAGAAGACTATGGAAAGATCCCACCATTTTATAGCTGGGTATATCAACTATTTCGACTGGGCCATTTTCCAGTTCGCAAACTGTAAACGTTTACCAGGCCGGGTAGCCATGGAAGCCATGGACCATATCCTCTAGTGAAATGTCATGACTCTCCATGTTTCTCTTGTATCTGGTGATTAACAACTAACATGGGGGATATATGTATCATAATCAAATAATTGGAGGATACTATCAATAGTTAGTGTTTCTTCTAATCGCATTCCACCACATTTTCTGACTGCTTATGATAAGGGGTACCGGATGATTGAGCCAAACCAAGAATTAGACGGCTTATAATTGCTGAAGACCAACTTTCAATGACTGGTATTCATGAATGTTCTTATTCTTTCGTTCATATGCCACTATCGGTTGGAAATATATTTCAATGGTTTGACACCTATCCCTAGTGGCATGTAGTAACCATGACTATCCATATTATCTCCCATTTTTTCCGACTCAATCCCTGCCGAAACCATCGCAGCGGTTGCCGCACCGAAGCTGATCTGGGCTGAGACCAAGTTATAAGATCAATAGTGTTGATTCAATCTTCGCCAGCAAAAACTATTTAGAAACCCCAGTGGTTACCATCTTAAAACTATTTAGCAACTCTAAAAATCATGTTACTTTAAATGGTAAGATTAATGATTAAAAATAGTTGATGGTAATAGAAACCCCAGATGATGGTCATTAATCCTGAAATTACTGTTACTATTAATTCCCGTGAATTATCAAGAAACTGTGAACCTCCTGACAAACTGCTATAAATCTATCAGTACCATTAGATGACTATGAAGTTACTATTGAATCATCTTGTAGTTCAAATAACTCCTGCTAATAGTTGATTGACTATTACTTCTGACGGTTAAATCTCATTAATTTCTTCAGATTCATATCCCAGCATATCCCTATATTTTTCCATCAAAATCCAATTAAAATCCCATAAGACATTCCATAGAAGTCCTATAAAATCCCAATGTTCATCATGGTCATCCTTTAGATCCCATTATAACTGCCATTGACTTTTTTGACGGAAATCCCATTATAACTCCCCATGAAAACCCCTAAATTCCCCAGTCAACCATCATTTTCCCTATTTAAAAAAGGCCTTCAAAATGGTGAATTCCCCATGAAAAATGGTTAGATCCCATGTGATCAAAAAAAAACATAAAATCATCATTAGATCCAAAAAACCTCTGGTAAACTAACATTGGAAAATGGTCATTCATATATGATATGACCATTAAACATTTAAAGAGTTATGTTACATTACCAGAGGGTAGATCTTATTAAACCCTCCATCCCCATAAAGTCCTATCAAAATCCCAACAAAATGGTTAATTTTCCCTATGGAAAACCCGTTTAAAATGGTGACTTCCCCATCTGCTGAAATTCACATCATCATTAGAAATCCCATTAAATAATCATTAGATCCCATATAGATCTGAAAAAAAAAACTCGATGTTTTTCCCATGGAAATTCCCTTGAAATTCCCATGATTTTCCCGTCAAAAACCCTTGAAAAATTCTGGTTGGTGGTTGACCTACCCCTCTGAAAAATGATGGACAACTCGTCAGTTTGGGATAAAATTCCATGGTTCCAGTCACCACCAACCAGATTCCATATATGGGTATTATAACCAACAATAGGATGGTAATATGGTGGTAATATGGTGGTAAGATGGTAAAAGATGGATGGATGGATAGCATATTCCATTATTGAGTATTATATCCCATGGAATATCCCATTACCCTCTGGTGAACTAACATAGCAATTGAAAATGGCCATTTATAGTGGATTTTCCCATTAAAAATGGTGATTTCCCATTGCTATGTTAGTTCACCAGAGTGTAAAAACACCATGATATCCTGTTTCTGGACAGTCATTCAAAATTCCATGGTTCCAGTCACCACCCACCAGAAAATATATGGATGGATGGATTACCATATATTACCATGATATTACCATCACTATCACTATCAGCTAGTCACCACCAACCACTATTATTGCTATATCCCATTATGATCCCATATAATCACCATATATTAACCATATATTAACCATATATGGATGGATGGATATATATATATTAATCATTGATTATCATTATTACCCATTATATAACCATCATTAACCATCATTAAACATCATTAGTCACCACCCACCAGAAATTGTCAATTTTCCAAGGCACTGAGGATGCACTTCACCTCCGGCAATCCGCTGCCCGCCGCCTCCGGCGAAAAGCGAACCAGGCCATAGGCGCTCCACAGGAAGGCACCGTTGCCTTGGCCAAGCGACACGTACGGAGAGACGGTGGAACCAACGAAGAAAATGATGGTTTAAGTAGGGAAAAGTGTGATTTAACATTGGAAAATGGTGGCTTAACACTGGAAACTGGTGGTTGAACCATCAAAATATGGTGGTTTCACGAACAGAACTTGTGGTTTTACTCTGTTTTACTCATATTTCTATGCTTTTTCGTGTGGTTTGACATGTTTTTTACTGGTTTTGTTTATCAAAAAAATCTGTGGTTTAATCCATGGACGATGATCCAACAGGGAAAAAATGGTCGGCGTGTTGCCTCAGACCCGAGATTGCTGGTAGCCTCTGGTTATGTCAAATAGCCATGGAAAATGCTCATAGAAATTTTGTGGATTTTTCCCAGCTATAGAATGGTGGATCTTTCCATAGCTTTTTGTAAACGTTTACCAGAGGGTAAACCTCCATTTTCCTGTGGTTTTCCTATGGTTCCCATGGTTTGTGACCCCGCCATCAACCATCAACCATCAACGTCTCCGCATATCTTTGATGGCCAGTGAAGAGCGAAAATTTCACCGATGCCAAGAAGCAGATGAAGATCACCCAGAAGTTCAAGAACTTCCTTGGCGGACAATCGTCACTGGGGATGTTAAGATACTATGAATATATATATATATATATGGGTAAATTATAATATTTCACTAAACTGAATTGTTCGGCCATTTGGGGATGATTCTCCTTATGATTCCCCTTATTAACTATGATTTCCAGTGAGGTCGCAGTGAGGTCGTTATAATTTACCCATATATATATATGATGAAATAATGACGGAGAGAGTTTTTAGCAATGACGATTTAAGCAATGGAGATGTTCATGAAAATTGCTGTCTAATCTGTGGATTATATAAATGTATCTGGGGCAAATAATGGCGGGGTGTCCTTTCATAACCGTCAGTTAAGTGAGATATATGAAGATGGGGTGTGTGGCAATCTAATGTTTAGATTTATACTGGAGATAGAATGGGGATATAATTGATTAATAATTTATACCTAACAAAAAAAACAGGCTTATCTATGGATGTCACATGGTAATTACATTAGCTAGTCGTCATGACAGTCATGTGGGAAGAACCAATGCCATAACTCCGGGTGAGACATTGGAGATGCTGGAGACCTCACCATTTTCAGGGATTTCAACTGCTTTTTTCCCCTGATGCTGGCCCTGAAACTTGTTTCGGATTTGTGTTTTATCCAGGCGAAACAATTTTTTTTGAGTTTGCGTAAAAACTCACACCTCACGGAAAATATAGAATGTTTTAGAGATGTGTATAGTAAGCCTATCCATCAAAAAGACAAGAAACGAACAGTAATCTATCACTATGTGTGTCTGAAAATTGGGTATATCCCCAAAAATGATCAAAAATCTTACTATCATCATCTATATTGGGGAAAATTATATGGTGTTTTTAACCATGGGATTTACCCTCTGGTAATTTGTCAAAATAGCTATTGAACATGGCCATAGAAATAGTGAGTTTTCCCATAAAACAATGGTGATTTTCCATCGTTTTTTGTATGTTTACCATGGGATTTCGGATGTGTTCCCCTAAAAAAAAATCAGGCAGCCCGAGGCACGAGGAAGTTCCATAGCCGCTGAGGTCTTGCACCAGCTGAAGAGTTTCTTGCGTCGTTTCCTGGAAAAACGCCAGATATCCTATAGAAATCCTTTAGAAATCCTATAGAAATGGAAGTTTTATGGGAAAATCCTATAGAACTGAGATGAAATAGAATCAATGGATTGGTTTTCACGGGAAAATCTTCACCGGAAACCATGGTTTTTGCCATCAAATATAGGGCTTTCCGGTTAAAATTTTCCCATCATCCAATTCTATGATATAACAACTCCATACTGTCCATACAACTGCCATCTCATTAAAAATATCACTAATAATCCCACGAATATTACTAAACAATATAATTAACTGGCATAGAATATCACTAAAATCTCCATAAAATCCCACTACCCTCTGGTAAACAGTCCCAAAAAACGATGGAAAATCACCATGTTCAATGGGAAAATCCACTATTTCTATTGCCATTTTCAATAGCAAACTGTTAGTTTACCAGAGGGTAAACCTCCATTTTCCTATGGTTTTCCTATGTTTTTCCTATATGGATCCCATGGTTATTTCGCCATTTGGAAATTTTCCCATAGATGCCTTGGGACAAGAGGGTAAATAAACCATAGCTGCCATAGCTGTTAAATGACCAGTTGGTAAATCGCCATGGCAATCCCCATTTCCCCAGACGCCTGCAGCAAGCCGGAGCCGCGATCCACCGCAAAGGAGGCCACGGAACTCAGCGAGGCGCTGATCAACAGCAGCAGCCTGCCAGTGTGAGCAGTGTTATACCAGTGTTATACCAGTGTTATACTGGTTAGTTAATATATTCTGGGTGAAAAAATGACAAAAAATACATTTATCTGGGTGAACTATAATATTTCACCAACTTGAATTCTTCGGCCATTTGGGATGATTTCCCGTACGAAAAAACCATGATGAACCAGGCTTCGGGAGAACAGGGCGAACAGTCGTGATGAAATTGACCCAGATCAACCAACCAGTATGTGGAATACCCGGCCTGGTAAACAGTCCCAAGAAACGATGGAAAATCACCATGTTCAATGGGTAAATCAACTATTTCAATGGGCCGTTTTCAATAGCAAACTGTTAGTTTACCAGAGGGAAATCACAATCCATTGGATTATCAGAATCCCCAAGATATCGGCTGGTGATTCCCCCATAGTATCCAACTAGGGGAGAAAAATATCCATTAATATTGGTTAATATAGGGGATTATACTATCCAATTATCACACTCCCCAATATATGAAGCTGGTTGGTGGTTTTAACCATCTTGAAAAATATTAGTCAGTTGGGATTATTATTCCCATATATCATGGAAAATAAAAAATGTTTGAAACCAATAACCAGGAAGGGTAGTATAATCCCCGATCATCAGCAACCAACAGGGCTTTTGAACATGGAAAAACTATGAACACTTGGATGAAAAATTTGGATTTGATGTGGGGAAAGTAGTTGGCACACGCAAGGAGGCGTCGCGGATGCGCTTGTGCATTGGTCATGTCGCAGTGTTTTTCGCTGTGCCAATAGCCCGTTTTTGACGATCGTTTCTTATTTTTTTTCCATTGTGCACGTCAGAAGTTCCAGTTTAGAATTTGCAGCCGTTAGTTAGAAGTTGCGCATGTCGGTCAGAAGTTCTGCACGTCGGTTAGTGGTCTGCACGTCAGTTAGACGTTGCGCACGAAAAACAATGTGATTATCATAGGGATCTGGGTGGGGCGTCGGGGTTGAGGGGGGCTAATGACAGTCTCGTTTGGTATTCTCAACACACTCTTGATGCTACGCTCTCAACTTTCTCTGGGAACATCTAGCATGCTGTTGGCATACCAATATGTCTGGAGACAAAGTCTTGGACCGGTTGCCTTCCATTTCCTGCATGAGTTGCAAGGATTGCTGCAGCGGTGTGAAGTGAATTGTTGAAGCTGCAAAGCTTTGAAGATGCGCTTGGTTCTTTCATTGTGGTTTGTTCTAACCAAAAGCAAAAACAACGACAGTTCGAAAGTTACGGGAGAAAAAAGTTGAAAGACTTCGGGATGCAGAAAAAACTCGGTGATCAACGACATATGCATCATATGCACACAACATCACAGTTCGAAATGCTGGTTTCGTTGTGGTGAACACCGTGAACACCTCCCGCCTGAACTTGCGACCCGACTTGGGATCGAATCCAAAGGCATCCTCCTTGAGGTGATCACTCTTGTCCCGTTGATCCAAAAATGTTTGCTGGAAAAAATAAACAACTTTCTTAGTTAAAAATCCAATGGGGATTACATGGGATTACTGTAAATCCAATGGATCCAATAAAAATCACACATAAAAATCCAAGTGTTACTGAAATCCCAATTTTTACTAAGACGTAACAATAAAAATCCAATAAAATCCAAGATCCAATAAAAATCCAATTGTATAAATCTCGTTTCTTTCTCATCCCCTGTCCTGCGGCAGATTCTCGAAGACGCTCCTTCCAAGCGAGCTGGACATCGAGCCGGAAAGTCCAGAGTCCAAACTCACAGTAACTGCCATTGATCTATATATATTACCGTCTGGTTATTTAACATAGCCATGGAAAATCCCTTATAAATGGAGGTTCTAATGGGAAAATCATCTATAAATGGGCCATTTTCCATGGCTATGTTAAATAAGCAGAGGGTAACTGACTTATATATATGATGAAAAATCGCAGATGTTTTCTTTAAATCCAATGAGATACTTTTAAATCCAATGGTCTATGTATCGATAAATTGAATCATGATTCACCAACAGCCAGGCCGTCTCTGGACTGCCCCAGCCGGAAGCCTCGGTGTGAGGTCCCATTTTGTTTGTACAATTTGCCCAGACCATCAGGATTCTAATGTCAACCCCTAGGATGAATAAACCCCGTTTATATACGCTTGTTGAATTGGGGGGATACCATAAAAAAGTCGTATAAACCATGGTAATCCTCCATAAACCATATATTTGGAGGATTACCCCCGTAATTCATAAACCATGGTTTAGCAAAATCCGGAGTTGGCAGTACTGTGGATGGACCATGAAAAAAAAAATGATCCAGATTTACTATGTGGATCAGGATTGTCTATCTGGAACAGGATTTTTACTATGTAAAATCCTGATTTTTTACTATGTAAACTATGATTGTTATGAAAATTTCCATTTACTATGTGGATCAGGATTTTTACTATTTATTTTTTGCAATGGAAAATTCATGCGGAAAATGTCATGTTTGATCCGAAAAAAATATCATCCGAATATGAAACACACAGCCATTTTTACGGTGGTTTATTAAAAGATTTACATTTTTTTTGGGACCATGCAATGGGGGTGTTTGATATTAGGGGGTCTGATTAAATCACCACTAAACTAAGATTAATCCTCCTTAACCAATATCAACCATGATGATATTTATCATCCATCAGGTTGATATTCCATGCCTTTCCATATTTGTCAATATTTAACCATCTATTTTCCATAGTTTACCATACATCTTCCATATATTTTACCATGTTTGCCATGTTTTACCGTATTTACCAGACATGTCAAGAGCCACATTTTACCACATGATGATCGCCAGTCGCGTTGACTCGTCTCCTGCGTCGCTTCTTGCCGCCACTACGGAAGGACACGTTGGTCTTCCAGCGGTCAGCTCCAAAGTCGTACTCCAGGATCTGTGCGGTCTAGAGTCTAGAGATCCCAAAGTGGTGATGTCGGGATGTCGGGAAAGATCACTGTTGAAAGATCTGATACATCAGCGTTATGATGGATGGATATTAGTGAAGTATAATACATATTTGATGTAACGTTGTGATGGATATTAGTGTCATTATTAGTCTACAAATATATAAAGTTGTTCATCATCATCATCATCATCATCATCATCATCATCATCATGAGGAGCCACGAGGACCCATGAGGACCCACGAGGACCCACGAGGAGCCACGTCATAAAGCTCTGCTGTTCTCCCAGGTGGTGGTTTCTGAGAATTGGTTACCCAACTTGGGCCATCTCGGTACAACCAATTAGGAATTAGCAAGTAGAACCAAGTCTTAAGTACTTAAATAGCGGCTCCCGGATAACTACATCCCGCAAAAAAAATGATGCCGTTCTTGGGATTATTCTCCCTCATAGCCATACAACTCATGATTAATCTTCAACATGCTAACTAGCTGGGAATTTAGCCGGCATTACATCGGTACGGATTATAACTATCTGGCTGGTGGTTGACCTACCCCTCTAAAAAATATGACTTCGTCAATTGGGATGATTATTCCATTCCCAATATATGGAAAGTCATTCAAAAATCCATGGTTCCAAACCACCAACCAGCTATATATGATTATATGTATATATATATATGATCATCCCATTATAATCCCATTCCGATCTTACTATCCTATTCAATAAATCCCATGAGAAATCACCCATTTCCCATGTGGATCAAGGGGATACCCTCGGGCCTGCCATGTTTGATTACTGATGGCTACCCGGCCTGGTAAACGTTTAAAAAAACGATGGAAAGATCCACCATGTTCAATGGGTAAATCCACGAACTAAATCACCATTTTCAAGAGCAATTGCTGTTAAATTACCAGAGGGTACCTATTATAACTATAGATTGTTCTGATAGCCCAAATTACGAACTCAGCTATGATCGCGTCTATAACCCCACTCGTTTATCTTCACATGTGGAAAGCTAGTAATGCAAATTCCGAATGCTAACTGGGAAAACTAAACATTGTTTCACAGGAACCAGAAACACAACATCAGGGTAAACTCCTACCCTAGGAACAAAAATTGCGTTTCCAAAAATTTTGGAGGGAGCCCAAAATAGTTTAAAAACAAGGATGCCGGCTGTCTCGCCGCCCCCAGAAGGGTCAACGACTGATTTGCTTTGTTTTTTTTGAAATTTGCTTCTCGCTGTGGTTTCGGAGTGATTCACTGTCTTTTCACATGAACCAGAGCTTCAAATTCACTGTGTTTTCCAAGGCTTTTTGTTCTTCTTTTCAAATGTACTGTTTTTTTCCATGCAAACGAAGGGTTTGTTTTAGGTCCGAAAAATATATATATATATATTTGAGTTCATGCAGTAGATATACATATACACACATATATCTATCTATCTATCTATCTATCTATCCATCCATCTATCTATCTATCTATCTATATCCATGTGCTTGTACATCGAACGCTCAATATTGTGACTTCAATGCGAGACAACGACAACATGTCGAATGATGAATCGGCTAGTTCTTTTCTGCGTTCTCTACAAGGAACGTTAACATGCCCCACCCCACCCCAACCCTGCAGTTGCGTAGCATTACAACATGTGTGCTACTTACAAGGAACATTAACATGCCCCACCCCACCCCACCCCACTTCAAAAATAACAACCCTCGTGGGGGCGGCGAGTCAGCCGCCCACCAAAAAGAACAACAACAACAACAACAACAACAACCACATCTTTCAAAGACGATCCACCATTCCCCCAGTGCCAACCTTCTCGGGATGTAAGGAGGCGGTACTATTCTTGGATCCAGAGCCACGGGGCATCACACCACCACTGGCCATGCTGAAAATCAAGGCCAACCTGGCCATGAATTTCTGAGGGACCTAGAGATGTGGGACGATGGGAAAGATTAAGAAATGAAATATGACTTGGAGATCTCATGGAAAATCTGATATGTTCAAACAAGTGCAGTGTAGATATGTTCATTCACAAAATATCGATATTTTTTATGGGATAAAATGGGCAGGCTAAGTATCTGCAGGGATATCATGGAGATCTTATTTCGGATTTTTCGTGTTTGTCCCCAAGAAGACGCTGATTTGTGTGTTAAACCAGGAAGGTTAGTTCGATATGGAATTTAACCCATAATTCCCGGGTTTCTAACGGTAGTCATCTATGAATCTTCGGATGCGAATTGTGGATGCGAAAATACAGAGAATAAGCTGATGATAGATGAAGTGGGACATCATGTTTTGATCAATGGATTGGTGTCGTTTTCTGATTTCCATTGGTCCAATTCTGAGATTTGAGGATGGACGCTGGATGCTCATCCCAGCGACAAATGTAGCTTGTAGCTATTGATCCACGGCCGTTACAACTTGTTGTTCCCGAAAAGCCAAGTTGTTCAACGAAAAAAGGACTCAGTTCACCCCTGTTTGGTTGAGGAAACTGCGAAATCCATCATCAAAAATAGGAAATGAACCAGTAACTATAGTTATAAGTACCATAAACCGTGGTTGTTGGAGTTATAAACCAGCTTAGCTATCTTGGGGGCCCCACATTGTATGAATACTGGAAGGAGGCTTGTCCAAAACCTAGGAGATAATTTTCGCCCAATTCATGATCGGAACTGCCAAATGATGCTGCCCCCTTTCCGCATAAATTTTCTCCAGTGGCATCATTGAACTTAAAAACGTGCCATCATTCTGCAGCTTTGTGGAACAATTTGAAAGATATCTCCTGAAAAATGACATGATCATAACATCATAACTTTCCCGAAAAAATGACCTGTTTTTTTACCACTCTGCCATGGGTTTTCCCAAAGACGTGCATGGCCAAGCTAAAGCCGTGGAGCCGTAGATAGCCTTTTCGTATCTCCCCCCGGGGGAGTTTTCGCTTCTTGGGGTCTCATTTCCCAGCGAAAACCCACCAGTGGGCCCAGTAGTTCATCGAATTGGGGGCGATGAAAAATAGTGATACCCTTGGGTAAACATCCAAAAAAGATGTGGAAAACCCAGCCGGGCGAAGCCACGGAATCCCCACTCAGAAAGGCACCTGAAGAAGGCCTCCGGATAAGTCACCTGGAAATAGCTGGGATGACTTTTTTGTTTAGTTGGAATACCAGAAAAAAATCGGATGGGGATCGTATTTTGTGAAGAAATGTCATTAAATGTTGGATTGGTACAAAAATGAAACCAGGTTGTGTGTGCATGTCCAAGATTCAGGGGAATGTCAACACAAGTTGGATTCAGTGGGAAAAAACGGATGACTGAAAAATCATGGAAAAATGGTGGTTGGATATTCATGAAAAGAGGTTGGATTTTCAAACGAAAACCGGATGCCAACTGGCCAATTTAAATTCGAACAACCAGGATTTTAATGTTCTCAATATGATTTCGCAATCATTTCAATGGTTCAGATTTATAATACTGTTCTCAGTTTCACAATAGAACTCAATAAAACTCAATAACGTCTGGTAAACTAGCATAACTATGGAAAATCACCGTTTTATAGCTGGGTAAATCCACTATTTCGACTGGGCCATGGCTTCAATAGCTTTTTGTATGTTTACCAGAGGGTAGAGGAAACCTCGATGTTTTGATCCCATATGTTCACCATGAAAAAAATTGCCCTTCAGAAACTACATCATATCAATTGCTCTTGTATTCCATGACAGTATATTTCTATATATTTCTATATTTATATATATATACCCATGGTTATCAATTGGTGTTGGATTCATAAACCATATCTGGTTGGTGGTTGACCGTCAACCCCTCTGAAAAATCATGGACTGAGTTCGTCAGTTGGGGCCCGATTATTCCATTCCCAATATGATGGGAAAGTCATTCAAAATTCCATGGTTCCAGTCACCACCAACCAGATTCCATATATGGGTGTTATAACCAACAATAGGATGGTAATAGATGGATGGATGGATAGCAAAAACCCTTGAAAAATGGTAAATTCCATGGTTCCAGTCACCACCAACCAGATCCCATGATTGTCACCACAAACTGCTTCTGAAAATCTGTTGATGGATGACCATCTGACCATCTCCGACTAATCTCCGGACTGATGGAGTTTCCCCGTGTGACATTTATTTAAGCAAACACCGTTGAAATCTCAGTTTTATCATGATTCAAATCTTCAAGAAAATCGAAAAATGATGATCATGAACGTGATTGATAGTCATCAAAATCATCTATGATAAATCAGAATAAGAACCATGAATTTCTGCCGAAAATTCCACCCAACCAATTCATTTTGGTGTCTTTAAAAAGCGCCTCTTTTCGTTTGAAGATCACCACCACCACGGCCCACAAGAAACCTGAAGTCAAGATGTCCTGGAGCGCCGGGATTCCGAACGAATCATAGTAGTACCCGGCCTGGTAAACATACAAAAAGCATCAAAAAACTACGGAAAATCACCATGTTCAATGGGTAAATCAACTATTTCTATGGCAATTTTCAATAGCTAACTAGGATATCATTAAAAAGATCACTAATAATCCCACTAATAATCCCACTAATATTACTCATCAATATAATTAACTGGCATAACATATCACAAAAATATCTCCATAAAATCCCACTACCCTCTGGTAAACATACAAAAAACTGTGGAAAATCCACCCATTTTTTATGGGTAAATCAACGATTTCTATGGCCATGGCTTCCAGTTCGCAAACTGTAAACGTTTACCAGGCCGGGTATATCAAGCCATATGAACCTGGTGAAAATGAAGGGATGACCTTCGCATCACAGTCTGGAGGAGTTTTTACTCTGTCCTTTAACGATCATAATCATGATAGTACTAATAGTAGTAATGGAAATAATCATTTTAAAAAACAATGATAAGAACTGTAATAGGTAACTTCATATAAAAATCGTTTGACATGTTCTTTGATGACTCTAAGACATTTTAAGACTTGATCCATTCTCTCCATCACGAACTGTCGCCATTCCCATCCCGCGGCACCAGGCTGTTCGATGGCCTCAGATCTGGTGGCCCATGCATGCCCTTTTGTTTAGCATATGAAAATATGTGGGGAAAAAAAAAACACACTTTTCGGGGGGTTGAACAGTTGAACAGTTGAACCCCCCAATCAATCCGCGTTCGTAGGTTAGTGGAAAGCCTCAAGACATGAGGGATCAAGGAGACTCACAGAGGATTTTTTCTCGACCGCGGCGGCGATTTCGCCAAGTTTCTTCATCAGAAAACGGAGCCGCGTCCTCAGCAGCAACAGCAACAGCAACCTGCAGCATCATCATCATCAATCAATCAACCAACCAACCAACCAACCAACCAACCAACCAAGCAAGCAAGCAAGCAATCAATCAATCACCACCACCACCATCAACACCATCACCATCATTGATTCAGATGAGATCCCTACTTCCATTTCAGCAAAATATATCAAAATATAGGAAAGTTGGTCGGCTTAATCCTGCTCTTTGTTCGGTAAACCTCCATCAGTCTCAAAAAAGAACGTGCAATTTTCTTGGTATTCTATTTCTGTATTCCTATCTTATGGCACTTTTTATTGTACTATCTATATGGGAAATATAAATGGGTTATTCCTAATGTACTATCTATATACTATATGGGCTACATGGGTACTAATGTTGGTATCCCTAATGTACTATCTATATACTATATGGGTTGGTCTGAAAGTAAGGTACCCCCGAATTTCCTGGTTTAGAACCTCGTTTTTACCATGAAAACAGCTATCAAGTGCGGGGTTAATTTTCTCATCTTCAAACAAACTCACTTTCAAAACATGAAGTTGCTCAAACATATAATTACTATCATTCATATATATATATACTATCATAATGTCATAGTATCATTAAAATATCCTCATACTATCATAAAGTTTTGGACACTGATGTAATACATAACATAAGTACTTATGTATATTATGTATGATTATGTATGTAATACTTATGTAACATCTATCATATACATTCATATACTATCCCCATGGTCACAGTTTCGTTGCAGAAATCCGACCGTTTCGCCGCGCTGCAGGGTGGCTTGCAGCGCCAAGGCTGGATGGTCCTCTACGCCTCGGCGGGGGTCGGAAGCTCCAAGTTGGATGGTTCCTACGTCAGAGAAGTCAATGGCCTCATCAAATAGGGATTTCATAGGGAAAAACCATAGGAAAATAGTGATTTAAATGGGGAGTTGATGATTTTAATGACTTTTGATGGTGATTTCAATGGACTGGTTTAAGGGAAAATTTACAGGAAAGCCCCATGTTAATAGGAAAATCTATGGTTATAGTATGTTATTGTTATGGAATTCAAAGGTAGAGAAATAGTTCCTAAAGTATGTTATTAATAAATTACTATTAGTAAAGTTATGTTACTATTTCTAAAGGTACTAAAGAACAGGGAAAATCACAATTTCTTTAGTGACTTTAGTGACTCTAAAATTCTTGAATTTATCAACTACTAAAGTTTTGGAATTCAAAGGTAGGTAGTTCGAGGAAAACTTTTGGAAATAGTATGAAATAGTGAAAACGTGGACACCAAACCTATCACGATCAAATCCATAATACTAAAGAACAGGGAAAAACACTGTGAAAAAATAGCCAAATGGTGGGATATGTACTGCAAGACAATGTGGATGTGGGTTGTTGGTTCAACAAACTTCAATGGAGATTGAACATCATTGAACCATATGTTTAACCAGAGAAAACTGGTGTCTACCCTTTCCAGCGCCACAGCTCGTCTGGATATCCCAGCAGGACAAGTGCTGTCATTGGAGTATGGCCCCACTGATAGGTTGGGTTCCAGATCCTAAAAAGGCAAGACGGCAAGATGACCTGTAATTTGGGTAGTCCTACAGTCCTACACTTCTTTGCAAACAAGATAACTTCATTTTTGCAAAAACCAGATTTGGTAACAGCTAGGCTATGGATCAAACCATAAAATTGCGCCGGTAATTCTGGATGCGATTAACACCCCAAATCGATGTAATTCTGGTGTTACCCAAACAGATAGGCCATAGGCTTTTCACCCATCGATTTGGGGGGTCCCAAGGTATGGGTAATCTTTGGATAAAGACCTGACCACAGGTCTTTACGTCTAATCATAATTGGTTAAAAAAAATGTACTAATCATAAATCTTCCAATGATCATCTATCAAAATCAAATTAGGGGTGTGTTTAATGAGTTTCCCCAGAGAACCACAGATTTTAATCTATGTTAAGTATTAACAATATTAACTGTGGTGGTTAACAGAATTTAGTATTAACAATATTGACCATCCAATAAGTGTTAATTAGTTTCCCCATTGGATAACAATATAACAAGATTACTAATCATTAAACTAACATAACTATGGAAAGATCCACCATGCTATTAATGGGAAAATCAACTATTTCTATGGCCATGTTCAATAGCTTTTTGTATGTTTACCAGAGGGTAAACCTCCATTTTCCTATGGTTTTCCTATGGTTTTCCTATGGTTTTCCTATGGTTTTCCTATGGTTTGCCTATGGTTTTCCATCCAATGATGTTCCCCAATGTTCACCGATCGCCAGATGAATTTTTCGCAGGCACAGGTCCACAGCCGCAGCAGAAACTCGACACTGAAGATCAACGCAGTCAACGCCTGGCGGCGCCACCGGCCCATCGGCCCATGGGTCCATCGGCCCGCCAGTTGTTGCACTTAAAAAGGAAGTATACCCTCTGGTAATTTAACATAGCTATTGAAAATGGCCATTTATAGTGGATTTACCCATTAAAAATGGTGATTTTCCATAGCTATGTTAATTTACCAGAGGGTAGCTGGTAATATGATGGTAATATGATGGTAATATGATGGTAATATGATGGTAATATGATGATCATATGGGATATGATAGTTATATGATGGTAATATCATCTGGTTGGTGCTTCACCTACCATATATATAATATATATATATAGAGAGAGATAGATAGATGTAACTATAGTTATATTATAAATGGTGATATGTTTCACCATAATGGGATATATATTACTAACCATACTTAGGAATATATAGCTGGTTGGTGGTTGACCTACCCCTCTGAAAAATGATGGACTGAACGTCAGTTGGGATCATGATATTCCCAATATATGGAAAGTCATAAAATTCATGTTCCAAACTACCAACCAGATAGTCATCACTGTCATCACTGTAAACCTGGTTTAATGTAAAGAATCCATGTAGTCCGAGAAAGTCCTCATATATCCATATAGTCATCATCACTGTGATCATACAGTTGGTTGTGCAATATTGTATTTAAAGTATAGCCATATTCATCACTGTTATATAGCCAGTATGGCCATATTAACATGATGATGTGCAATACGGTGGTTGTCATCATTGATGTTTTTGTCAGTGATATCCTCCTGAAATATGACAAACTTCGCTGACTGTGCACCACCCTGTACCGACCTATGGAAACCATACAAGGTGAGACCCCCAGTTTTGTTGGTAAACCCATGAACTAGTTCGTTGTATCCCTCATAAACATCATAGGTCCATAGGTCACCAAACCGGAAACCATCGATTTTCCCACTAAATATGGGGCTTTCCTGTAAAATTTCCCTTAAACCAATCCATTGAAATCACCATTAAAAGTCATTAAAATCATCAACTCCCCATTTAAATCTCTATTTTCCTATGGGTTTTCATGAAATCCCTATTTGATGAGGCCATTGACTTATCTGACGTAGGAACCCCCATTGGCCTAGCGGTCTTCAGTCGAGCCACTGCCACCAAGAGCCGAAATTTCCAGAGTTCATCGGCCACCTGCAGATGAAGTGCCACCAACACCGCCAGCGCCTGGAGCGCAGGGGAAAACTCATGGAGCTTTCATAGGGATATCATGGGATAATGTTGTGGTTTTTTTCCAAACAAAAACTCTGGTGCTTTTCATGCTTTATGTATCAACCAATGGGGATTTATCAACTGGGGACATTTTCTCGGGAATTTCGTGAGATCTAACAGATACCCTCATGTGACCATCTCCTGCAGCGCATTCACCAGCAGCAGCACCGGAATCAGCCTTGGCCCATAGAAATTTCGTGGATTTACCCAGCTGGATAGCATGGTGGATCTTTCCAGTTCGTGATGGGACAGTTTACCAGAGGGTAAACCTCCATTTTCCCATAGTTTTCCGATGGTTTTCCTATGGTTTTCCCATGGTTTTCCTATGCCTCATGGTAAGTTCCATCGCTTCAATGGGACCAATTGGACTCAGATGAGACGCCAGCTATGGAGCTTCGCCAACCGACAAAATCTCCAGGAATAGTATCTTAGCAGTTCCTCTCCTGCGGCCCAGGCAAAGTGTTGAGGCGTGGCGTGGCTAAGTGATCCTTTTGCTTCTTAAAAATTGTGTATGTACATGTGTATATGTATGTATATATGTATATATATAATACATAGTAAAATAATATAATATAATATAATATGATATAATATAATAAATATGATATATGATATATGATATATAATATATAATATATAATATTAATATATAATATTAATAATATATAATATATAACATATAGTATATAACATATCATATATAATATATAATAAATAATATTAATACTATATAATATATAATATTAATAATATATAATATATACTATTAATAATATATAATATATAATATATACTATTAATAATATATAGTATATAGAATTTAATATATATATATAACATATAATATATATAATATATAACATATATAATATGTAATATATGATATATATATATATATATTATATATAATATATAATATGTAATATGTGATATATATAAATTACAATATAATTCAATTTAATTTGTTTTGGTTTTAAAAAATACTATATACAATATGTATATACGAGCATCGACCCAGAGATACACAGCGAATTCTCGATTTTCTCACCCCATCTTTGGTTTCACATGTTTTTTCACCACTTTTTTTTCACCGTGTACGGTGGCCTGGGTGTAGGAAGTCGAAGGTCATTCTCCGGAGTGATCGATGCCAATGTGAGAATTCCCAGGTGCTGGTGATGCTTCCAGCGTCGATGGACTCCTTGAGGGTCGAGGCATAGGACATGGGAAAACCATAGGAAAACCATAGGCAAATGGAGGTTTACCCTCTGGCAAACGTTAACAAAAAAACATGGAAAATCACCATGCTATTAATGGGAAAATCAACTATTTCTATGGCCATTTTCAATAGCTATGTCAGTTTACTATGGTTTTCCTATGGTTTTCCTATGGATCCCATGGTTATTTTTGGGTATCCAGATTTTTGGGTGATGTTCTCATATGTTCGTAGGATTTTTCGATGTGATCAGAGAAAAGCCGGAAGACACCGGCAGAAAAAAAAAATCGGTGATGGTCCATGGAATTCGTAGCCCCTTTCGTTATATTATGAATGGTGATGTTTTTCACCATTTTTGGGGATATATATCACTAACCACCAAGCAGATTCCATATATGGGTATTTTTTACCAACAATAGGATGGTAAAAGATGGATGGATGGATTACCATATATTACCATGATATTGCCATGATATCACTATCATTAATCCCCATTAAGCCACTATTAATGGAAATATCTGACCCTACTGATGGCCAAAAATCTTCCGCCTGGGTGGCCAGGGGCCGCTGCAAGTCCACCGAATCCACCATGGCTCGGTGAAGCCAGTGATTTCAAGAGGCTTAGGGCCCAAGGTGCCATAGGAAAAATGGAGGAAATGGCCATGGAAAAAATGGAAAAACCCCATGGAAAAACCCATCCAAAAACCATGGATTTTTTTTATGGATTCTTGAAATGGAGACGAGACTCAAAAACCGCTGTTGTTTGAAGTTTAACCAAAGATCATGATGGTAGTCGGATTTTGATTGGGTGAATTTGGGCGAAGGGTTGAATCGATTCAACATGAGAAGACAGCCCTTAAATATCTGCCTTGCCATGTCAACAGGGGCAATGCTATGCAAATGCTTACGTTTTTCTGTCATTGTCCATGAAATCAGACAGTGGCATGATGATTTCCAAGTGCCAAACTGCCAAATGGCTCGAATATAGAAAGATGCTAAGCCAACGTAACGTTCCAGCTGCCAAGCCAACTCTGTGCGTCAACTGATCCTTTGAGTAACCTGTCCCTATACTTCCAATGGACTCAGCCGAAAGAGGAACTTTCGCTGCTTCAGTTCCTCTTTCAGACTTCATATTCTAGCTGGTTGGTGGTTGACCAACCCCTCTGAAAAATATGAAAGTCAGTTGGGATGAATATTCCCAATATATGGAAAGTCATAAAATTCATGTTCCAAAACACCAACCAGCTAGTGATTTCCTAAACACATAGGAAACGAAGCCGCAAACCCCAAGGAAAATCCTTGGAACCTATTCCAGGATCACCAGCATTTCGATATAGACAGATCAATATAAAAAAAAAAACAATAGCAATAATATCAAAAACATAATATTATGTTATAATATGTTATTGATATCATAATAGCAATAATATAGCAAATCATAATAAATATTAATATTGCAATAATCATAATATGATATCAATAACATAATATCAAAAATACCATATCATATATTATGTAATATAATGTAATATATATATATATGTGTATATAAATTCATGATATGCTATACATGAAATCTTCGAAGCTCACAGAATCCACGCCTCACAGAAGCCCCGTGGTCGATGAAGCAAAGCTTCAAAGACCTGACAACCCAGTAGTATTGGTCAATAACTTTTAAGATAATAAGCCAGTAGCATTGGTAATAACCAGTAGTATTGGTAATAATTGTCATATAACCAGTCAATACTATTGGTACTTATAACTTATAACCCAGTTTTGTATGTATATATATATATATACATAGATAGATTTCCAATAATATTGGATAGTTGATGATTGATATAAAGTAATCTTGGTATAACCCCAGTTGTTGGCTGTATTGGTATATATTGGTGATTGCGCAGCCGCTCTTAATGAGGGGGTGAATAAATGCGAACAGTGTTTGTACCAGGTGCGAGTTGCTGATGTGAATGGGACGTGTCCATGATGAAAGCAATCCCGTTTTCAAAGTAAAATACTAAAATCATCTAAAATCAATATACCACCTTTTTGGACGAGGGGTCTGGTGCAAAGGTCCCATTGCATGTTTCTTAGATATTAGATATAATAACTGGTATAATTGTTGGTATAACCTAGCTATGTATATATATATGCCATAGTAGATAATTGATGATTGATATAACTTAATAATCATAGGGACTCATAAGGGAAGAATCGCCCATAATAAGGGAATCATTCCTATTGGATTTATAACCAGCCAATAATAGGGACATAACTTGATGTAACCATCAATCATCCACCACCATCACAATCATCATCATCGTCATCATCATCGTCATCGTCATCATCAACCTTGCTTTTTTTCATTTCGGCTATTCACCATAATATTCATCAGATATGTCCGGTTCCACAAAATCTACAGATCCACTTGTTCCTCGTCAATTTCATCAGAATCCTCATCAAAAAGGAAGAGTTCTCGACTCCATATCGATTTCTCAGATATTCACAGTTTTTTCTGAAAATATTCACAGAGTTATCAGATTTCTATCGATTTCTCAGATATTCACAGTGTTTTCCCGTCATTTTTTCGGGTCCCCCAGGCTCCCCACTTGAAGAAACACCCCCGGTGGCGTCCCCGGTGGCGTCCACCGTGGCTCCGTACGTTGCGCGTTCCGCTCCGCGCCACGGCGGCCGTGGGAACGTTGCTGTCCTCGCCGCAGTCCTCGCTGTCCAGCGAGCCTTTTTTGCGGCGATGGGATGGGATCCTAACAGAAGGATCAACTTATCAACCATTAATATTTTTATACATTGGTATTTAATGTAACTTAATGGTTGTTATATATAATACATCTCATTTATGGATAATTATGGTTTACCAAGTTACATTTATTTATGATATATATATATGTAACTTGGTATTCACCATTAATTTTTGGTAGGGTTTTCTTTCATCCCAACAATTCAGGTGAATTCACCATGGTTTACATATGTATAAACCATTAAATCACCATTAATACAGTATCAATATCATTCCATGTAATACTATCCATAATAATAATAATAATGATATTCCATTTTTCATATGTATACATATAATAATGTATCCCAATATATCACTATTAACCATAATTATAGCCAGCATATATCACTATTAACCATTAATATAGCCATATATCTTTATAACCTTTTGATTGTTCCTCAAGGGCACCCGGAATATACCATTGATGGTCAATATGGATATACCCTTGATGGATCAGTCATGTTCATTTATGATGGATATACTTATCTGGTTGGTGGTTGACCTACCCCTCTGAAAAATATGACTTCGTCAGTTGGGATCATGACATTCCCGATATATGGAAAAATAAAATTCATGTTCCAAATCACCAACCAGTATACATATAATAATTATACATGCATATCTATGTATTTATATAGAGATATTATATATCTATATATCACAAAACTAACTATCACTTCAAACATGGTAGTATGATAAAGTATGATAGAAGATGATGCAGCGTATAATGTACCAAACATCGACCAAACCGAAAAAAACGCCAAAAAATCGCCATCTTTTCACCCCTCCAGCGCCTCCAAGTTCATCAAAGCGTGGCCGCTTTGCCGGCGCGACGTCCTGGAGCTGGCAGAACTTCTTTTTTCTCATGGGATCATATGGGGATGGGTACCCTATCCCCCTAGTGAACATCAAAATAGCTGGTAAATGGATGTTCATCCCACTAAAAATGGTATCTATAGGTATTGATCCATACCCATATATGATCATATCCATCTGGAGGTTTCCTAAGTCATGGTGCTACCCCCTAGTTATCATCTATTTTAAACCATCCATGATATGGAAAAAGCCGCATTCATCGCGCCTCGGAGTCCATTGGAAAACATGGGTGAATTCTGCTCACATCGAGATGCTTCCCTTTTTCAAAACGCGTGGGATTTCTGCTGGGAAAAACACTGGATTTCATTAGGGGATTTCTGATGGGATTTGATGTTTTCGTCTCATCTGTTGAGTTTTCTCATGGGATTTATCCATGGGATATCCATGGGATAGCAACCAAAACTTCATGATATCCCTCCGGTCATCAAAGCTGGCACTGGAACATCCGGTAACAACAAAAACGGTCGTGTTGTTACGGTCGTTTGAAGGGGAAAATCATCCATGAGATGTTTTCAACCCAAAAAAGATGTCACGAAAAGCTGGAAATGGGGTTCAAAACATCCCCAAGTGGTGGTTAACAATGGTTTATGGCATTGGGTTTACCACATGACTATTTAATAGGGTAAACGGTAAACAGCAACGACAACTTTTACTGAGTTTTTTTCATGAATGTCAACATGGGATGTTAGCCAAAGTTCGGTCAATGATGTTTGATTCATGTCGGGTGTTTGTTCTTGTATAACGTTTCGATCACAAACCTGTGGCAAGGTTGGTATCACGAATCTGGAGATTGCAGAGATCACGCCTACTGGTAGACTCATACTGGTGATGGATGTATTGAAGGATGGTTTGGATAGTGAATATACTTTATTTGAATATGATGTGTGGATATTTTGCGTAGATATTATTTCCATACTATTCTGTATGGATGTCGATGCGGCATTTCACTTGTTCAAATGTTGGTTTACTGTATTGTCATGTATTGTCTGTCTTGCTACATCCATCTCAGAGCATGTCTGTTCGAGCCTTATCACGGCATTCGGACGTCTAGGGCGTGCTGAAGCAGTGCATGTCAGCTGAGATTTCTAGGCTGCCTGGCATACCGCAGGTTGGTTTGTTGCAACACAAACCAAAGGCAAAATAATGATCGGCCAGCCTCTTTTATTTACTGGTCGTTCACAAGCCAGCATTCCACTCTTCAAAGGGCAGGGCTATCACCACGCCCACGCTGTGGTGACTCCGAGGATTGCCAAGAGAGCACTCCGAACAGAAAATCTTAGTGATCACCAACGTCTGAGATCCAACTGCCGAAAAATACACACCAGGTGAAGTAAGGGCTGTCAACTTTCACATCTTGATTTGTCAGAATCTGTTCGGAATATCCCAAAATTCTCAGGAAACTCCTGCACTAAAATCTGTGCCCTTGGCTTTGACCACCCCAAACGGGGTGGGCACATGATTCTCAAAAGTTTCACGTCTGTACTGAGTACAAAAGGATCCATATTCTATCCTCATCGTTAAAATCACCAGATTGAAAGTCCATATTTGATCCCAAAATCCCCCAAGTTGGCTTTTAATAATTTTAATGTCCATTGAAAGTCCATCTCCATGCGTTATGGCGCGTTGTGGCCGATAGATGGCGCGTTAATGCCTTGACCTCGGCTCCAGCATTTCCTCCACCTGCGTCCATAGCGTCGCCACCAGCTCTTCGGCCGGTTGGGCCTTCGACAAACCGCAGGACTGCCCGGCCCAGGCCATCATGTGGTCCAGCTGGTGTGTCCTTGGGATCCGCTTGGGGAGACAGATATGTGTATATATATATATCACCATGGTGATTCAATGGGATTTTATGGGACTTAGTGGGCTTTCATGGGATGTTTTAGACGGGATTTCATGAGATCTAATGGAACATCACCATGAAATCAATGGGTAAATCCATGGATTTTTATCATCAATGGATGGAACAACAAGGGATTTTAAGCTCCAGATCTTGGTCGAAGGAAGTTTAGAAGTCAAACTTCCGACAATATGGACAGATGAAAAGCAGAGCAGGGAAGAGGCAGAGAGAAGAGAAAGATTAGAAGAGAGAAGATCAGAAGAGAAAGAGTCAGAAGAAA